ATCTTAATTATAGTTTACAAGTTTGATTAACTATTATCATTAAATCATCACTTGATTTGGTAAAATATTATCATTAACATGATACATAATTTATGTATTTATATTTGAAATGAAAAAACAATCAACTAAACAGTTAAATCTTGTTAACTCCTTAATATGTATTTTAGGTTAATCATTTTATAACAATTTTCGGATAATTAATTGTTGTCTCTTATACCTACACTTAATCATTGTGAATTAAAAGTTTAGATCATTAATTATTCAATAATTACAATTGTAAGTTTAACAAAGTGGTAACTTTAATTGTTATAATTAATTTGCTCTTTATTTAATTGATGATTAACTGTATCTCTTGATTCGTTAGCATTTAAGGTAAAGGGTGTGAATTGAGATGACAATTGATCATGATGAAAATTTCAATGTTCTCATCATGATTGATGAAGTTTTATTTTTCTCAAAATTCAAGTTCGTAAATATTAAATATCATGAGAAAGATTAATTGAAACCACAACATGAGCATTTGTTGGATTTCAATCTACAAAAGGATTTACCACTCTGGTGATTATCCTAATCCTTGATTGTCTTTCTTTGGGATAACTGTAACATTTTGTATAATTTTCTTGGTTACATTTTATTTAATTTACATGAGAATTTAAAATCGTAACAATCAGTTGAAATGTTGACTTTGTTTTCTCATTCAGAATTGATATGCAAATTTGATTCACTTGTGTAATCTTGACTTGAGTTAACCATGAAAATCATCATGAAATGTTGTTACCAGTTGATTTATCATGGATTATCATTTCAAATCCCTTTCTCTGTGCTCTGATTGATTATCTGTGTCTACAATTTGATTAATCAGTTGACTGTTTCTATTTTACTCGTTAGATTCTGATCTTGATTGTCATCACATACAATTAACTAATTAACAATTTACATCTCAAATTCATTTTTCTAGTCATGTTAATTTTTCAGCTAATTGTTTAATAACTGAATTATCTTGATTACTGTCATTCTAGTTGATTACTGGACATTCACACACACCTTTGTTTGGGTGGATCAGTTGATTAACATAATTTGAAATTTGATTGTTATCATGATTAACCATGATGGTAATTTAATCTTTGTGTTTTTATTAGATTTTAAATTGATTTTCATGTGTCAACAATTAAACCGTTAGTTTAATTTCCTATTAATAATCAATTGTCAATGTTAATTTGATTTGATCAGTTTCTAATAGTCACAATTTAATAAACAATTAAAAACTTTTTTCTTGTTGGTAGATTTGAAAAAAATTCACTTTCAATTAGTTAATTAATTTTTTTACTAATTAAACAAAACAATTTAGACTTGGAAGTTAATTTTTATTTTATCGTTTTTTTTTTCATTGCTTAAATTCATTTACCTAATTAATTATGCTAATTGTTAATCTCTATGATAATAAGGTTTCCAACAATTAACTAAACAATATTTACTCAGCAATTAAACAAGCTAAATGTTTACATTATTTTAATTTTAATTTTTAGTACTAAGGATTCAGTTAATGAAACGATTTTCTTGATTAACAATCAGTTAATTTGGTCTGATTCCCAGATTGATTGTTATAACTATCCAATTACATTTACTATCAATTACTTGATTAATTGTAATTAGACTAATCAAGCTAATTGTTTACTGTTGAACATGAGGGAGAAAATAAAATCAACTAAAATTAGTCTCGATTTACAATTTAATATGAAGGATAATTTTCCCTATGGAACTGATAACCTTTAAAAATGACAATCGATTTTAATTACAAATTAAACTTACTCATTGTAGGCAAAATTTGTCAACACTTAATCAGCTGATCGACCAGAAGATAAATTGTTATCCCTACGAATCAGATGATATGATGTTTTTTTTGTCTCTATATTGTAATTGATTAAATTTTCAGGTAAAAGTTCAGCTGAGTTAAATTCACATGAGAAGGTTAAATGTCACTTATATTCATGATCAGAATTTCATAAGAATGTGGATAAGTGTGTTGAGTTCATTTTCTTTCTTCATCTCTTATTTCATCTTTATCCTTTTGATAATCTTTCCTCATGAAATTCATGAAGATAAATATCATGAAAAATTGAAATAAATAGTTTTCTCAATTGAATTTTTCGTTTTTTCTTCAATTGAGTTGGAAAAGAAAAAAAAACCAAATAAGATTGACAGAAAAGTGGAAAGAAAAATTATTCTCATCATCAGATGAATGTTAAAAGTTATCATCTGATAAATTTCATCCACTAATAGATTCACCATGATGATATTCAATCATGATGGTTTCATCTTATTTCATATGATATCAATGACCTGTTCAGATAAATATCATGATTCCCTCTCTCCCATGTATCATGGGTATAAATGTGTGTGTATGTTTATTTATAATATAATATCGTTTTTTTTATCTCCTGTTCATCCGGAAGTAAACTTTTCCATCTGTATCCTTTTCTTCATGATCCATTGGTGTAATGACTTACACAACATTCATCTGAATACATGGATGTATGAATCTTGGTGTGTATTCATTTCATCATGTTTATCTACCGTCTACTCTTCCCATCCCAACCTGATATCGAATCATTTTATCAACCTCCATCTCCATCACTCTCTCTCTCTCTCTCTCTTTCATGAAAGTATTATAAACATCTCTGAATCGCCTCAGGCCAATTATCCTTGATATATATTTACCTTTACCCTACTCTCCTTATATTGTGTATAACTTGTTTCTCGATCAGATTTGTAATTATTATCATTGAGAAACATTGGTTATCTTTATCTACTTTGCTCTGAGCATTTCTCAATACATGGTAATCTTATCATGAAGATGAAGTTTCTGAAAAAAAAAGTGAAATAAAATCTCAACTCCGAATCATTTTCAATGAAACAATCTTGTTATCGTTTTTGTTTAGTAAATGTATTTATTTTAACCTTGAGTGAAAATATTATCAATCAATCAGTAAATTGTTGTTGATTATGATGATATTACAGTTATAATCTAATCTAATTTAGTCAATTGTCTTTGATTTTCACTATTTACCTTTCACTGAATTGATTATAACTTTAAGGGTTTACCCTTTAATTTGATTTACTTTAATCAAATATTATCAAAATCTTTTTGATTAACTTTATCTCTCCAATTGAACATTAATTTCAATTTTCCCATGTAACCAGAATCACTCAAGTAATCTAATTGTTTACTTTAATTGTTGATCAGTTCAATTCTCATTGATTAATAATATTAAAATACATGCTAATTATTGCTTGTTGGTCAATATATTTACCTTGATAATAATTAATATCAGATTAAATTGAACTGATCAGTTTCATCATGATACCATTTTGATTTACTCTGACTTGATTGTGATTTATTTTTGATCATTATTACTATTACATAGGTTTGCAATTAAAGTGATAAATCAATCATGATGGTTTTATATTGTTAATCTTAATCACAATCGATATCGTTATGAGTAATTTTTTGATAGTTTGATTATAACAAGTTAATCAGATTGATTATTAACAAGAATCTAATCATGAGTGACCAATAATTTACTTTACCTTTAACCTTTTAACTTGTATGAATCAATCAATTGATATTGATGTTGATATCATGTCACCATGATAGTTAATCAAGCTAATTCAAGTTAATTGCAATTAAGTTGACTCTAAAACTTAGTTGATTAAACTTTCACCCTAATTAAAAAGTGTATTGAAAAATTATGGTGAAAACAAAAGTGTTCAGTTGAAAGGTGAAAGTTGTTGAACTCAAGGATAACTTGAAAATAACAAGGTTCCAATGTTAATGGAAATATAAATACTCATCACCCTGTTTACACCCACACACAAGGCTGAAAAAATTTCATGCTCCTTTAAAAAAGTATATACATATTTACATTTATTCATGTATTCATTTTCATTATGATGATGATAATCATGATGCAAAAAGTTCAGTATCCTCCCAGAAAATTAGCTTCCCATCAAACCCCCTGAAGCAACATCACCATTATGATAAGATGAGGAGGAGAAGAAGAAGAAGAAAAAAATAAATTTCTTCTCATTCTTAATCTACTGACATCTCATTTGCAACTTTCACCTTACACTCCACCTCTTCCTCCACCTACTTGATCTTAGCACCATGCGAATGAAATTAATTCAATTGAGTAGCAACATTTTCACATTGAATGTTGAAACATTCCCTGAAAATGATGTAACAACTTATTCTCCCATTAATTGAAAGCTATCGTCACAATTTTAGAAATAAAAAAATTCTCCTCAAGATAATATTCTCATGGTGATGATAATATCATTATAAACAGATAAACAGAGAGATATAAAGTTGAATCAAATTGCAACTTTTTGTCTTATTCAAAATTTTTTGTTTCCTACTCTTCTTCATGGGGTTTGTAACCTTCTTCATGAGATATAATATCATCTTAAACTTGATCTACTCTGATATTATTCATGGTAAAATGTAAATCATTTTCATACAATTCTTACTATTGACTTCTTGAAACGGATTTATTATCATCTTATACAAATAATAATGATAATATCCATCATCCATCCTCATCTCTTATCATCATGTATCAATCATTTTTTTTTTCCATGGGATGAAAGATAAAGTAATAACTATGAACAACTTATATTCACGAGTTTGAATAAATCTCTTGAAGTAAAAGTATCTTGGATGTATAAACACATGAAAAGAATAATTTGAAAAGTTCTGAACAAAATATTATATACACTCGAAAATATTTTGATAGGATAACAAGAAAGTTTCAATTGACACTCAAATGTTGATCTCATCAACTTTTCATCTATGATAATGTTGATAGATAAACTTGGAATCGAGTGAAAGTTTAACTTTACAAACCATTGATTAACATTCTCAATGATTACTATTACTTTTACCATGATAATCATGAAATTCTGAGCAATTGTTTTAATTATTTTCTCATTTTCTCTTTCAGATAAAATTGATAACTCATTTTCCCGCTCAAGAAGTTCAAGTATCTCAAGCTTGGATAATATTTCCAATGAACCCATCCAGTGCCTAACATTTGCTGAATCGTACGCAACTAAATCAGGTAAATTATTGATTCTTATAATTAACATTGATTAGTAACAATTAACTAATTTTCTGGTATAGTGAACTCACCCAGTAATTGTCATGTTTGTTTTATATCCCATACAACACAATTTACTTGTATTATTTTGTTATTTTTCTTGATTGTTGTTTGTTTGTTATCATCATTTGGGTTGATTTTGTTTTCGTATCTAAATTGTTAAACAAAGAGGCAATTAAATAAGCCATTTTTTTGTCAACAATTAACTTAATTTGTTGATTTACATTATAACCAATTTAGACTAATCAATTTCTGTTGATTTAATTTCTTTCCAATTGTTTTTAACTTTAACCTCTACCAAATTATTTGATTTAGATTAATTTAATTAGCTTAATCAATTTGCCTCTTTATTAACTTGCTGTAATCAATTGATTGTTATATTGCCTTTCATGTTTACTTAATCAATTTGTATGGATTTTTTTCCTTCTTAATTGCAGTTAGTTAGTTAGTTAATTAGTTGATGACATTGATGCTGATATTATTTATTAGTTATTCAGATTGTATTGACTTTGGATATTGATTTTTTATATCATTATATTAATACTTACGATCCTGATTCTTGGTTTAATTGTAATTGATTTGCTCTTGATTGATCAAATCTATTATAATACAATCCTAATGTGTTAGTTGGAAGCTCTTACAATTGTATTACTGATGACAATTAGATTATAATTTGATAATATATTTGATGATTTCTATTGATTGGTGATTAATTGATTGTTGATTTGTTAATTGTTTTCCAGAAACATCTTATGGACCCTGTTTATGGGTTGGTACCAATCAAGGATCAGCATTATCCGTAACAATTACGCTTCCTGAAACAAATGATAATCGTGTATTATGTTTACAATCAGTCCTAGCAGTTTCCAGTGGTAAGTGATTAACTTTCAAGAGATTAGTGGATGATTAAGTTTAATTTGATTTCTAATCAATTGTTTTTATTTAATTACAGGTAACGTTTTTAGACTCAAGGGATCAATTTTGTGTATATCATTTTTAGATTACTCTGGAACCATAGTGGGCCTAACAGATTCAAAGACAGCAACACCAACCGGATTAAGTAAAGGAGGTGGTGGTCCAGGTTCAGGGGTCGGAGGTGGTGGTTCATCAGGTTTACCTGGTTCGGGATCAACAACTGTAACGGGTATTATCAATGCCGCTGGAATTGATGAGAAACGTTCTGGCTCTTTAACTATATCACGTTCATCAAGTTCGGGTGCTGGTAATTTTAATATATCACGTTGTAAGGTTTCACCGACTTCCTCTTCAACCGATATGAAAGATTCACAGTTCGTGGTGATTGTTTCAGAGAAACAAGCTCGAACCATTAGTCTACCAAGCCAAATGTGTATCGCCAAAGCCGAGCTGTCAGAAACTTCATTCACAATCAGAGCTGATGTAATTCAAATGAAATTTTCAGGTATATTTTTAAACCACAATAACAACAGCTGATCAGTTTTTCCCTAAACAATCAATTTACCAATTGATTGATTTATTTTTCTCATCAACTTTTTTCCTTCTCTTCAATCCAGAAAATGGTAACTGTATGTGTTTGGTGACATATCTTGCAACCGGAAACATTGTTGTCTACAGCCTTCCTAGTCTTAAACAATTAATTGATATAGATTTTCCTTCAGTCAATGTTAGGTAAGTCTAATGGTCAGTTAATTACTTAAGATGATTAATCGATTGTTTTTCTGTTTTTTTTCTCTTTTTCTCTTTTTCTATTTTCTTTTGTATTGAAACCTTTAGAATTGCTCGAACCATTTCCTTTAGTACCAATGGACATGGAATGTATTTAACATCCCCTTCGGAAATTCAAAAGTTCACAATAGCATCTTCCCTGAGAGATATAATTCCAGATATGGTTGGTAACCTTTATGTTGTCAAAGAGATGCCGGAACCACCAAAACAATCATTTTTCAAGGGACTATTCAGTGGTGGACCAAGTATCCTTGATCGAGAGGAATTATGTAATTATCATTATCAATATAATCCTCGTTTCTGTGTGTGGGTTGATTTCTGATTGATTTTAACTGTCATCTTGTTTGTTTTCATTATCCCATTTATCCTAATCCTCTAGTTGGTGAAGCTCAATCCGGTAAAGGTTCAAAAGTAGTCGCTAAACTAATTCCCGGTTCCCAATCTGGTTTGGATCATGCAAAGCTACAATCTGGGTCACTTGCTGCTGAATTAGCTAAAGCAAGAATGGTTAGTCAACAAATTGTTTCATTTGTCCCAAAATTTATCCCCTAGGATTTTTCAAATTGTATCGTAAACCATATTGTTAGTGGTCAGCATCAAGTACATTTATTATTGGTCATTTTTTTGTTGTTGTTCTTGTTTCTTCATCAAATGTTATCCTTTACACTTAGAGGAAAACATTAGGCTCAATCCTTTTGAATGCTAAACAACATCTTGAAATGTTTTTCTTCTTGACATCATCATTATCATTATCATCTTCATCTTATTCTCCATCACTCCCATTTTAAGTTAAATCTTTTGTATAATCATCATTATCTTCATGTTTATCTTTCCTTGTTTGTTGAAATAATAGTTTAGGTTAATTCTGGTTCATCTCGCTGAGATTTTAATGACATTTCTCTCTCTCGGACTTTCTCGCATCATCTTCAAGATGGACAATGATGATAATAGTTCTCTATTAGGTGTCTCTTTACCATGAAGATAAATTCGGTTATCATGTTCATATTCTGATGATGATTATTATTCCAAACCATTTTCTATCTCTCTCTCTCTTTCTCTCTCTCTCTTATCTTCCTTGCATTATCTAATATTTTGCTCGCTTATATTTGCCATTAGAAAGTCATCCTTTCCTCATTGAAGCTAATGTTGTGTAAGAGAATCAAAAAAACTGGACACAACAAACATGAAACAGTTTACTGACCATTGAACATGTTAACATATTATTATATAATTTTCGCTATGATATTATTTCAAAAAAAGATTTGAGACACTTTTGGCTATTCAAAGGTCACTTATATCATTTTTTTGTCATCATCTTTGTCCTTTTGAATTTTTCTATGTCCAACCTTATTCAATGGCCAAAGATATTCCAACAGATTCCTGGTTCTGTTTTTTTTTCTTCCTCTTTTTTCATCCTCATCCTTTTCATATCCATCCTTGGCTCATAAACAGAATCATCAGCTGGATAATTATCCAACCAAGTGATTTATTAATAGTAACTTTCTATGGCTCTGATAGATTCTTGTATTTCTGTTAATGATGATAATCAATGATGATGATGATGATGCTATTAGATTACTTTAGTTACAATTGTGGTTAATTGTAATTGTATTGTGATTCTGATAAACATCACAATCTCTATCGCTATCTCTTTTTGTGACAAATAATGAAAATCAATGGTGAAAGTAATGAAACATATTCTGGTGATGAAGAAAATGATACAATCAAACCTTTCCCATGTTCATTTAGTGATTAATGATTTCTAATAAATCCAGAAAATAATATGATCATGTTAATTGTTACAATAATCAAAAGTGAATCCGTAAAAGTTGATCATATGATAAGTTAATTTTAATCAAATGATGGATTAGATTTAAGAAAAGCAAAATGGATTTACAAGAAAATGATTACTATTAATCTTTGTTGAGCTTAAGAGACAAGGATTAAGATTGAGATCGAGAAAGATCAATGGAAAATCAATTATTATGTTAACCATATTCTGAACGATTTAACTAATTTTCTCATTGGTCAAGTTGATTAATCATTTTGAATTTTAATCATCAATGATATCAACAATTTACTAATGATTAACACTAATGGTTCACTTTCTCATGATGAGTATTGAAGTAATAGTTTGTTTCGATTACAAAAAAAATGTATCATATTGATCGTCACTCATCATTACCTGAGTTTCTATATTGTTATCATTGATTATTCATCATCTGAATCAATTTACTAATCTTGTTATTATTTTCTTGTTCATTTTTCACCCTGTTCTCCCACATTGTCTTCCAGGGATTGACAGAGAGAGGTGAAGCTCTCGAAAAGTTGGAAGACAAGACAGCTCGGATGATGGATGAATCTGAAGGTTTCCGAAATTTATCACGTCAATTGTTGAACAAGTACGAGAACAAGAAATGGTATCAATTTTAGAGATGAAAAATTCATCAGTAACCTATTTGGAATCACCATGAAGACGAATGATGGTGAAAAAGATGATGATGATGAACATTTTTATGACAACCGATTCTGAGGAATGATAATGAATGGAAACTGAAAGCAAGATGACGATAAGATAATAATATTTATGATGGAACAATTTTTTTAGAAAGAAAACAAAGAAAGGAAACAAAGAAAAAGTTCTGATGATAATCATGACACCCACACACCTACACATCATCAACATTCAAACCACCACCACCACCACCTTTCACATGATGATTATGCACTTGGATGATTCAGTTATTGTTCAGTTATTCATATTTGATTGGAAATCATAATGATAGTGATGACAAAATGAACATGACAACAAACTTTTCCCCTGTTGAAATCTGTTGTTATTGGTCAACATTTTGATTATCATTATGATTAACTAATTGTGATCCCAATCATGCAAACAATCAATCAACTCTCACTCACTCACTCTCTCTCTCTCTCTCTCTCTCTATCTTTTAATATCTTTGCCTGTTGTAATGGATTAGTTTTAAAAAAACAAAATTGTGTCAAATTGTTATTATTCATGATCAAAATGATTAGTGATTAAAATGGATTGATTATTTGTATTATTATTGTAACATATTGATTGTGTATCTGAATCAAATTAATCATTCCCATTGATGTAATCATTGAACAATATTGAAACTTATCATCTTATCTTAATCATCGGGAAATTGGAAATGATAGAATCGATTTAGTTTTAATTGTTGTTAATCAGCTGAATCATTTATCATTCACTTTCTTACATTGGATCAATCAAAAGGATTACTACAATTAAGCAATTTAATTGAACATCATCATCTTGATCACTAATCAGCTTCCTAACAGTGATTTTAATCATCGTCATCATCCAAAATCAACGATTACAATTTAATTACCGAAAATGAAATTAACCCATAATTATTATATAAATATATATATATATATAAATTGTTAACATAACTAATTAAATCATCTGTTAATCAATGATTAATCATCCAAATTCAGGTTGATGATAACGATAGTTAATTAAGTCAATGAAAAGGAAGAGAGAATCAAAAATTAATTCATCTTAATCATTACCGAATCATAGTTGAAGCAATTTAATTTAATTCCAACCTCTGGTTATCATTATCCTCTAATTTTTTGGTTAATTGTTTGCAATTTTAATCAATCAAATTAATTAATGTATCAACTCATTTTACCGTCTGATTGTTAATCCACTGGAAAATTTTGTTAATCCTAATCCAATTGGAAAATCCTTTAATCAAACTTGTAAATTAATTGTGAAAACTTTTTATTTAATTTTCATCTTAATTGTTTCTACCTCTTAATTATTTTTGTTTCTAATCACCATCATCATCATCAAAAAAAACACCACAATTAACTTGAATGATTATATTAGTTGACAATTATCTTGTAATTGGAATCAATTGTTTAATTAACTTGCGATCTCATTGATTATTATTATTGATTTTGATTTAATTACTACTACTAAATTACCTAAGTGACTTTCTGACCATCAACAATTAAGAGGATTAACTTGATAAATTTAATGATATATTAGTAAATAATTAATTAATTAATGGTAAAGATATTTAAAGAAACAATTTTAATCATCGAGAGAACGAGTTAATAATTAACTTAATTGTTACAGGAATAGAAAGAGACAATTATATATAAATATATAAATCGAAATGCAATTTTTATTTATCACAATTTAAAGAGACAATTTAATTATTAGAGTAACAATTAAGTCTCATATAAATAATAACCATATATTTAATTTTCAATCTGATTACAAATTGATTAAATTTAGTTAATTGTCATCAACAACTAAATGAATGGACAAGATTTTATCATTATCATTGATTATTATTGTTATTTATTGATTATTTGTAGTAAGGAAAACAATTAACAAACCAACAACTAAATTGTACTTGTAAAATGTAATTAACTAATCAAATTAATAACAATTAATTACTATAACAAATTTCAACTCTGTTTATCGTCTAGAAAATTAACCAAATCAAATTAACACAACAATTAAATTGTTGTCCAGATAAATCAATAAACTTTTCATTTCACTTTTAATCATTTGTTAATAGCTATTAATGATCAATCAATAATTAGTTGAAACAAAAGTATCATAATCAAATTTATATGATAACAATTAAGTGAACAATTAAATTTATGTTATCATTTTGTTTATTTACAAGAAAATCAGGAAAAAAAAGTTAATTGTTGATACAATTAAATCAACGTTTACAAGTTAATTGTCAGTCGAGGACAATTAAATTAAGGGGAGAGTTGAAATTGTAATGATTTACAATTGAATGAAAAAAAGTTGAAGAAAATCAAAGTTTTAAATGATGAAAATAATTAATTTAGATTGAAAATTAAGCGAAATAATTAAGCCAACAATTAATTGTAGAAAGTTTTTGAAGATGAAGACGGTTGATTGTAAACACCATTGGTAAATTGTTGGCACTTTGGGAGGTTTGAATGAGGTGCCGTTTCCAAGATAATACAGTTAATTAGTTGATTGTTGGGACTGATTGGAAGGTTAATTGTTCGTCTTTCTATAAAATTGTATCTCTAATTGTTCCAGGTTCTTTCAATGTCGCTTTCCGCCTTTCAATTGCTAACATTAACTTCCGCCGTGGACCCAAAGGTAGACCAAGTGATTTGAGATCAGTTTCATTGAGCAACGCAAGTGATTCAAGATCAATTTTTTCCTTCTGAAAAATTTCAGTGTATTCAAGCATCCCCTGGGCGGCGAGAAATAAAACCACCGGTGGGGTTGTTGGTACCACCATGGGATCAGGGCCATTGCTTTTGTCCACCTTGCAATTGGTCACGGTGACAATACCACCGCCTCCGTTGGTAATAGCACCGTTTTCAATTTCACTAGCTCGTGATTTGGGCTTGGTGCTGTTGTTATTGTTGTTGTTGTTGTTGATGATGTTGATGTTGTTGTTGTTTTTGTTGTTTTTTGCTGAGGTCACGGAAGCGGAATCACCGATTAAGGTGTTACCATCCTCATCCCACCCGCTGGTGGTTCCAGACATAACGGAAAGAGAGGCATTTCTTTGTGCTAATGAACCAGCGCTTCCAATTGAATCGCTTCCGGTTCCGTTGTTACTATTACCATCGACTGTTGATCCATTGATTGTCTTATCATTAGTACCATTTTGTGCAGCTCTTAGTGCTTCAAGTGAATGATAATGATTATCATTTCCGTTTCCATTTGTATTACCATCGATATTACCTGATGATGATGAATTAATCAGCTCATCATCATCTTCAACTTCATCTATTGATTTATTACCATTAGAATTGGTATAAGGTGTTAATAGACTCGAAGCTGAAAGTATTGAATGTCTAAATGAAACAGAACCAAATCCTGGCCTTTCAAATATTGAACCTGATTCGTGGTGATGATGGTGAGGGTGGTGATGAGAATGCCCATTGTTACATGAGATCATTTCATCCCCTAATCCAGAATCAGCCATGTGACTAAGGAAATCGGGCTCTGAGACTGTCCGGTGAAGTCCACCACCGATTTTACCACCACCCAAATGCTGATAGTTTGGTGAAAATGACCTATCATTTGACGGCCGCTGATGGTAATAGTTTGTCGATGAATCGTCATAAGATGAACCAAACAAATCCCTCAGAGCGGGTCGAGCATATAATCGGTCATTATTATTATTCTGATTAGATTGATGATACTGATTAAGATGAAGATTGTGATGATACTGATGGTTAATATGATTATTGTTACTGATCTGATGAGATGCGGTTGATTTACTATTGATACTGTGATTACTCATCTCACTGCATTTACCTGAATCCAGGTAACCATTTGAAAGTGATAGGGAATCGGTTTCCTTGCAAGGGATTGAAGCGTAAATATGATGAGCGCTATTTGACCTTTCGGTGTTTATCTTATTGTTAATTACATCGTATTTACGTACATAAAGTACATCTTCACCTCGCCTGATCCCGGTTAATGATCTTATTGACTTTTTCCCGTTGGTTAATAATAAATCTTTGAGTCCAGGTTCAGATCCACTTCGAGATTTATAATCACCGCTGAATGCGGTTGATATTGAATCGGATTGTTGTTTACGAAGTAAAACTTTTCGAGAGACACCACCGAATCCACGGTTTTTGTTACTCATGGTTCCGTTGTTAACGATATCGGAAAACTTTGGTGCTGAACTTAAGGATCCGTTAACGACAGCCACTCCTGGGGCCGGTGTTGGGGTGGTGGTGACGGTGGTTGGAGTTATTGGTGCTAAATGAGAAGTCGAGGAAAACGTTGATCCAAGATTACCTGTTGAGAGAAACAATTGGATTAAGAGTAATTTGATTACGTTTTGATTTCGAAAATGAAAGTTTCGAATCTGTTTACCTGAATGTGGTTCACGTCGAAGTGTACATGGTAAAGACGCTATTGGTTCTAAAAGTTTTTTTCGAAATTTTTCCATTGATTTTTCCTCTTTTTCCGCTTTTTTATAAGCTTTTTTGGCAATCTTTTCGAACGCTTTTATCCTCTTCTCTGCTTCCGTTATCGATTTTTCTTTCTGCTTCTGTACCATTTTCGGATTAAGGGCACTTTGTTTGGCCATCGTTGTATCAAGAAAATCAAGTATCTCCGACTTTAAATGGACGGCAGCGCAATCCTTGGCCGTGTGAAACTCATTATTCAATGACCACAAATTAACACCAAAATTGACTAGAAATGAGACACAATTGATGTGTCCATTTGATGCTGACCAATGTAAAGCCGTGTTACCGGTGAAATCACATTTATCCGGATCACCTCTAATTGTGGAGAAACAAAATAAAACAATAATTAACTCAACAATCAATTGATTCACTCCGATAGTCAATAACTAAAACAATCACCAGTTAAATTGTACCATCAACATTTAAACCCAATCAATTGTATTAATAATAAGTTAGATTATGATTACAGTTTATATTTAGAAAGTAAAAGTTTTTAAATTATGGTTAATTATCAATTGATTTGCTTAATTGTTGTCATCAAATTTGAAAGTTTATCTTAATCAGGATTAGAGGTTAATTGTTGAATATGATTAAACATATACACACATACATGTAATTATTATTAATGGTTGTATATTTGTCCACAATTAAGGTAAAAATGATAATTAACTCACGATTTAGATGCTATATTGAATTTAAATACAACTAAATTGTTACAAAATCAATATAATAGTGCAACAATTAAAACTCGTATTAATTTAGCCAATGTGATGATCAGTTGATTTGTTGTTGCTCTTACAATTAACTTTAATAACGTTCGTGTAAATTGAAAATGCTACAATTAACTTCAATCTAATTGAAATGTAACAATGAAATTAAATTAAATTTTGGTTTAATTGTTTAAATCTTGTATTGTTTTTTTGCTGCTCAGAATTAACATTTTCAGGATTAAATAATCACGATTCTGACAAATAATAAATGATGATGTTGATCATCATCATCTTAATCATCAAAATAATTTAATTCAATGATTACTTGATTGTCTTCATTTCCTTTATCAATTATACATTATTTATGTTTAACTGATTATCATCATGGTCTTAATATTAATAGTTAATCTTTAATCATGATTGACATAGTACAGATGAACCGTTAATTTGATTAAGATGATTAACAATCAAAATGATCAGTAATCAGGATGAACATTGAAACTAATCATTGTAATGAAAACCAAACCCAAATCCAGAAAAACAATAAAATGTTAACTGTAATGGTCAGTTGATTAAGTTGATTGTCTTGTCGTTAATCATCATATGATTACAATTACTTGGAGAAAATAAAAAATTTCTGAGAAAGTTAATTGTTGACAATTTGTTGAGATTTACAATTGTGGGCAGATTGTTGAGTTTATCTTGATGATGTCAATTAAAACGTCAACTTGTATATATAAGATGCTACAAAAGGGTAACGCCCGAGGCTAATTTTCCCATTCGCCCTTCCGGAGATGAACATTATCATGATGATGCTCATGATGATGCTCATGATGATGATGCTGAAAATTACAGGTAAGAGATGAAAATGAGAGAGAAAGTTGAATGAAAACCGGACATTGACCTTTTTTTGTTCACATTTGTTGGTTAGCTGATTGTTGTTGATATTTATTTACCTGTAAATTACCTTTAGCTTCATGTGATTTAGCTTCACGCATTTTGATTCATTTGAATCACGATTTAAATGTAAATTCACTTGTTAATTATTACAATTAAGTGCAACAATTACGGTAAACATATTCACCTTTCTCAACAAATTTGAACAAAAAAATTGATTTGGTGAAAGTACAATCAACAAGTTGATTAAGATGATAATAAGAGCTTTGATTATTTGAACAACAATTAACTATGAAAATGATTTCTTGATTAACCGGTAAACAATTAGCTAATTGATAGGCTCGTTGATTGATTAGGTACAATCAATTAGATTCTTGTAGTTGAAAATTAATCATTTTCATTAAAAAAAAAATTAATCGCAATCAGTTAACTGTTAATACAATTTGAAACACTTTCACTTGATTATCTTTTGTTTTATTAACTTGATTATGATTAACAATTAACTATTACCACTAATCCTCAACAATCAAGCTAATCAAGTGAAATATTCATTGATATTAAATTGCTAAGAGAGCAAACAATTAACTACTAAATCAGTTAATCCGATTAAATTGTAAGTGAACTTTTTTTTCCTCAACTAAATGATAATTTAAATTGTGACTTTAAATTAAGCTCTTAATGGTTATGTTAATTGTTTTGATTACGATTCTTTCTGGATCTTGATGGTTAATCATTTAAATTGTTTGAGGTTAAATTGTTGATACAGAAATTAAATTAATGGTTAAAGGAAGAGCAATTGAAATTTATATAAATATAAAAAAATTAGACACAAATTAGGAAATGAATTAAATTAAATTGTTCAGATGATTAACAAAAAGTTGAATTGATCATTAAAAAGTTTGATTAAAGTTTGAGAAAATAATTAAAGGTAAAAATTACAATTCATCAAATCTAAATAAAGTTATTAATTGTAATTAACTTTAAAAGTGATAATTTAAATTTTGTGTGAGTATCATAATCGTAATTACCAATTGTAACAATCAAAAGGGTCAACGAGAGTTAATTGTTACTGATATGATTAAATTGGTTTGGTGATCACATTGTTGATAGATCACAATTAAGAGTTAGAAAGAGTCAAATCATTAACATGACAATTAACTTTAATCATGTTCATGTCATCGTATATGTTAATTGTTTATCCATTTAGTTGATTATCAAAACAATTCAATGATGATCAACATTAATTTAATTGTGTATCTCACCTTAATTGTTAACCTGATTAAAGTTATAATTAAACCCATGCAAAAACAATTCACTGTTAACTGATTAACTCAATTGTTTTAAATTATTCAATTCAACGTTAACCTTTTCATTTGTTAATTGTTACAATTGAGTTTCGTTGATTACAATTAAATGGGTGCCAAAGGATTTTAAATACAATCATCAAGTTTCACATTAACAATTAACAAACAAGGTTAACAAACAATTAAGGGATTTGGTATTAAAAGTTTACAATTAGCTGATGATGATGATGGATTTGAAATTGATCATTGATTAAATTTGATTACTTTGAGAAACAATCAGTTGAAATTCAGTGAATCAGTTAATTGTTACCAAGTAAATAACAATTAACTAGAACATGGTAAATAATTTGTTGATTGTCAACAATTGTTGATAATTTGTTATTGTTTTCAAGATTTTCAAGTGAATCGAAACAAGTGAAAGTTTAATTGTTGTTCTTGATCATTAATCAAGCAAATCAACAATTAGCTTATTAATACTAAACCCAAACTCTAGTTTATAGACAATTGATTACAAACACACACACACACAAACAATTTACTAATTACAAGGGAATTAACTAATCAACAACATAATCAAATGCTTAATTACCCAATGGAAGCAAAATCCAATCATGATTATTGAACTTTAATTACAATCACAATTAAAGTTTCAAGTGAAAACAAAGTCGCATGGTAACAATTTAATTGTGATTAGAATTTTTTTTTCCTGTTCATTCAACAATTTAGTTAATTGTAAATCTTACTAATCATCATGATTAACCTTGGACTAAAGTTTGATTTATCATTTTAACGGTAAATCCCTTGTAATGAAATCAAGTTAAGGTAAATATTTGATTAAGAGAAAGTGATTAAAGTAAATAACAATTAACGATATCAATTGTCAACTATATTGGAGTAAAAAATTGAACAATCAAAACTAATCATCATCTAATTATATTTAACTTAACCTTAATTGTTTGACAAGAAGTAAAATATAAAAAAAAATCTCATTTAGATGAAACAATTAACTTGAATTAAATGAAATAGTTAAATGATGACGATGATGATTATTGACAATTGATGGAGATGGAGAAATGATTAGAAATGACAATTAAACTAATACAGAATTAGTGGTAATCATAATCATATCTTAATCAACAATAACAATCTAATATCAGGTTAATCCAGTCAAGTTAAATTTTCTACTCATCATTAAATTGTTGTAATTTATTAACAGTTAACTAATCAACTTGTTTTCAGGTGAGGTTTTATTTTGATTAGTTGATTGATTGACAAATCAACTTGAGAATGATGAAAATTAAATGAGAGTTTGTAACCTCACCCGATGTTATTTATTGGAGTGTCAGTGACTTTGCAATTAGTAAATTGTAGTAACAATTAAACTCAAAATCAAACTAGAATACAGTTATTAACAAATGGTAGATTGTAATGTAAATAATAACTGAGTAAAAGGATACAACAATCAAGGAAATAATTATTATTAATGTTTACAATTTACAAAGTCCAATGGGGAATTTAATTGTCATTAACGACAACAATTAACAATAAGAAACTGTTTAGTTCAGTTTTCAAACTGATTAATTACTAAGATTAGATGTCTGAGCTATTGAGTATGAGGACCAACACAATGACTACTTCGAGTAACGGACTGAACCAAATCGACTCAGATCAGGGACATCGAACACAACTGAGGTCGAAATTGAACTTCTAACTCGACCATTACCAGGATACTTCCAGGATAAAGATGATATAAGTTACATGGAAATGGTTGGTGACAGGAAATAATTGAATTCGCAAGCGGATTAAAGTCCATAGTTTGTGATAAAAACTCCGAAATTCTAACTGTTGAAACCTGATCACTAATTCACTTCAATTCAATTCCAATTTTCTAATCAATCGATTTAGTCTCTTGACCGAGTTTCTTATAATACCAACTTGTTGTTTTGGCCTCGATAATAATACGAACAAGTAAATGGTCCTAACCCAATCTTCACTCCCGCTTATCCCATAGGAATGATATTCTTGCAGAATTTGAAATGCTATCGAATTTTGATTTCGATATAATCTTAGCACTTGAGACTGTTCTTTAATGATTTAATCAAATCGTAAATCGTAATCATGATCAAGTATTAATTTAGTTTCTGTGAAAGTGTAACATTTAAATGTTTCATCACTGACTTTTAGCTTCAGTTAATTGTACGTTTTAAGCAATTAAATTGGTGAGAAAGGTAAAAAAAATCAAGTTTAATCCTCAAACAATCAAATTGAATTATTTTAATATGATAACTAAATTTCAATCATTTGACCTAAAATTAAATCAGTTGAATCCTTTTGATTTGATTGGTGATTTGATTTCAATACAATGAACATTTTCAGTTAGAGGTTTTTGATTGACTCTAAATCATGATGATTAAACTTTTTGATTAACTATATTAATAGAGTAATTTAGTTGATTGTTATGCTTTTCTAAGAGCAACCATCTCTTTAATCATTAAAAGTGATTGTATTAAAAGTCATTGATCGATATTATTACGATTCACAATTGAAACTAATTGCTAACAATTTGATCACCAAAGTGAATTAATGATTAACAATTCATTTCCTACTTTATTTTGCTATCTATTCATATAATCAGTTAATTGTAATATACTAATCATTTGGGTATGTTGATAGACAGAATTAGTATTGCACCATCATGATTAACACCATGATAATCATAATCATCACCATTAAAAGTGATTATTATTAAATCAAATTAACTAAAAAAGTTGGAAAAAAAATCAATCGTTAATTTGATTTTCTATTAATAATTCATCTGAATGGGATTAGATTATGATTTAAGATTATCAATAATACATTTCTCAATTATAATCTATTATTAATTAGTCTGATTTACTAATTGTTTCCCAGTTTAATTTAAATTTGGTTGGTTTTTTAATCAACTCGATCAAAACTAATAGCAATTGTTTAAATTGTTAATTGTTAATCTAAACTTTCCCATTGCTTTTGATGATGAACAAATTTAATAAGTTAATCAACTTTGTATCGTTTTAATAGTTGCAATAAGATTTAATTAGCTATTAATAAATTAATTGGTTTTCGCAAATAGTTAATTAGTTGGAAAACAATTAAGTAAACAAAATTAAGGCTTAAGATTGACCACTAACACTTAATGAAGACCAAGTGATGAGCCTTTATTTTTGTTAATTAATCGAATCTATTTTAAGTAATTCTAATCAACTGTGTGTTTAAAGGTAAAGTATTGATTGAATTAATTAACAATTAAAAGCGAAAAGGGTAATTAATCACAATATAAGAGCTAATTTTAAATCTACTAACAATTAAAATGAATCAATTCGCAGGTTTAAATGAATGGAAACATTAACATGTTGATTGTTTAGTTTGATTGATCGGATTTTTGGTTCTTCTTTTGTTTTCTTAAACTTTGGTCGGTCAAATAGTTTCGTAATGTAGTAGTGGACACTTACCCTCGGCCAATGAGTAATCTCAGCACATCGAGATGACCATAATAAGCTGCCCAAAGGGTCGGTGTTAGTCCGTCTTCATCCGGATGATTGCAGTCCTTTCGAGTCGCTTCCTTGAGGATATCTTGAAACCATCACGAGCTGCCCGATGAAATTTATAAGTTAAACTTTTATATATCCATTTTTCTTGTAATTATCCAATGATTAAGGTTAAGAAACTGTCACAATCACATTCACCAAAGGATGTTCATTATTTTCTCTCTCTCTCTTCTTTCTTACCTGTACATTTATCCTCATCATCATCATCATCATCATCATCGTAATTATCATCAACCTGGTCTGTTGATTGTGTAATTATTAGGAAAAAAAAGTAATACAATTTACAATTTTAATTCATTTTTCAGCGAAAATTTTGTCAACAGAAAACTTTCTGACTCGTTTTCCATTGATGAGTCTCAATCAGATTTCACCTCAACTTTTACTATCACATGAATTAATTTCGCCTCTCTCTCTCTCTCTCATGTCAATAACTTCATTATCATCATCTTTTTAATCATAATCAACTAATTAACTGTTCATTAATTCAGAAATTAATATTTACAATTGACTGATTTGTGTATCAATTTAATTTATTATATTACAATTTGTGTTACGATGTAAATGGTTCACTCACTTTAACAGTTATGATTTCGTTGATTTTTTTTTTGTTATCAATTGAAATTTATTAATAGTAACTAATTTAATTTAATCAGCTATGGTTGTAGATTATTTGGCTAATCTGATTAGCCTGAAAAATTAAGGTAATACTTGAATAAAGGTAAATTTGATTAAGTTGATTGTTATTAGAGAAAAGGATTTGTAGCCAAACTTGATTGTAAACTTTTTCTAATTGTGAAAGTTTATTACATATGAAAAAGTTAATTGTTGTTAGTTTCATTGGATATGAGAAGATTTTTTTTACCTGATAATCAATGGACAATCAAACAATTAAATGTTGAAAACCTTGGGAAATCAAAATAATACCTTTCAAGTCAATGGTAGTTTTGTTAATCAACATCCTTTACCTTTGTGATTTTTGTTGTTCAATTTAAATTGTGATCAACAATCAATTGTAATTGATGGTCAGTAGTTAATGATAGTCTTTCATTTTCTGGTTCCTATTTTCTGGTTTTCCTTTTGTTGTTGATAATTTAACCCAAATGGTTCAGTGAATTTACAACAATCATAATTTGTTGCTGTTAAAATGGTGTTGATTTTGTTCATTTGTTATAATCAATTTTAATCATAATCATCAACAAATTGTTGTTGTTCCTGTTGATGGTGAAACAATCAATTAACAGTGTTTATGATGAGGGTAATTTAGGTATTGGTTTGATTACAATTTAAAGGTTAACATAATTGTAACTGAGAGTCAAACTTTTTTTTTCAAGGTTAATTGTAAATATTTCAAACTCTTATTGGGGATATGAAAATACAATCAATTCCGGTTCTAAATGTATTCAAATTTGATGAAATAATCAAAATAAAAGTTGCACTTAGATGAAGGTAACAATATGATTCTAATTAAATTTGATTGATAAATGGACACAGGGGAGAGAAAAATAAATCAATTGTAATGATAATAAAAGTTAATTGAGTTTAAATCGGCTTAATATCTTGATTGTTGTTCCAGTTGTTGAAATCTCTGAATATTGGCAGATAATCATCATGATTTATGGATGATTATTCTGATTAAGTGATCGGTAAATTAACAATGAGCTTTGACACCAGACTTGATCTTCTCAATGACATAATTTCGTTGTTTATCAGTTAATGAGAGATCCTTTGATTCCTCGTTGAATTCAGTTAAATTTTTCATTCCACAAACGTAACCATTGAGTTTGGCCGCAATTTCCGATAATTTGAGAGCTTCATCATTAAGTCCAAGAGTTTTAAGTAGTGAGGGATTACACCTTAATTGGTACTTCTGATGGTAATTCTCAGCATCATAGAAAGGACCAGCAGCCGCGATTTCAGTGACGATTGGGCGACCATGATTAACTTGATCTTCTTTCATCGTTTTCTCAGCCAAACTTTTCTGTAACTCGGAGTGATAATAAATCGCTGAGATATATTGTCGTTTGTAGGGTTTAGCAGTTGGATCATGATTTCTCCAGAAAATGTTCAATAATTTCTATTGTGATGGCAAGGAAAAGAAGGAGAAGAGTAAAGAAAATGATTTAGAACAAAAAAAATAAATAATTATATAGAAAATCAAATAAGGTAAACATCATTTACCTCGTAGGAGATGATTGAATCATCGTAGACCAATTCAACCACTTCAACGTGATCTCCGATTGATTGGTAAGTTGGGCCTTTGGTTGTTCCTCCACTATAGCCCACCTTGGTGGTCAGAACGCCTCTTTGGGACCCGAACAAAGCCTCGACGTGCCAAAAACACCCCAATCCGAAACAAGCTTTTTCTCGAGCCATCCTGGTTACCATTAATATCCAAACGAAAATTTCACTCACAAATGAATATGGAAACTCTGATTATCGATTGAACAATTAATGGAAATCACTTGGGTTCTTTTAACTGATTGGAAATGGAAAAAGGAAAACAAATTAAATCAAACAGGGAAACGGATTAATTGATAAAAATCAATTATAATTCATTCAATTTATTTAATCGTTGAAAGTGAAAAAAAATTCATTGTTTTGGTTAAGATGAACAGTGCGCATGCGCAGTAGCTATTCAGCTGATGCAATAATATTGATGAATTAATATTCATTTTGATTCATTGATTAGTGATCTTTGTAATTACTTGACGTAAATTGTTGATGATGAATCATATTTAAGATCTTCTATTTGGCTAATATTGATCATGATCAATTATTTAGGTTGTTTGCTGTGATGATTAATTTGAAAGTTAACTTAATTGTAACTCAGTTTGAAGTTTTTTTTCAAGGTTAATTGAAAATTGTTTAATTGTTTATTGATTTAGGACGGTAACGGTATTATGATAGCATAGAAAGAGGAGGAATTGATTGACAATCAAGATGAATTTTTGAATCAAATGTTGAATTGTATAGTAGTTCATGGGAATGTTGAATTAAACATTCGGAGAGAAAGAGAGACGATTGATGAACTGAAAAAATTGTTTGATTGCGAATTGCGAAAAAAAATTAAGCCATAATTTCAAATTATCGTTGAATTAACAAGTATTCTTTGGTTCCAGTGGTAACAATCAAGGGCCAGATTTCTTAACATTGATAATCTTTTGACTTAATGCCTGTGCAAATTAAAAAGAGAAGAAAAAAAACAATTGATTAATTAAAGTTTCGAGAATTAATTTTAATTAACTAACCTTTGCTATATCAACTTTCGGGCAGTGGATTAAATGAGTCCCTTCACCAGATAATAATCCTCCGAGTTTCTTTTTATGTTCCTGTAAGATTAGAGTAACAATTTAATTAGATGAGTCGTTTAAATTTTTTCTTCCAAATAGATGAAAGTTGAAAGAGTTTATTGATTTAATTGTTTACCTTTAGAGTGATTAAAATATTTGTCCCATCAACTATTTCGACTTGAGCAATATTATCATAACCTTCGTGCCATTCAAGGTCCAAACATTTCGAGAGGAAACTTTGCTTTAGGAACATCACTCGATTATCGGTAATTAGTAAGACACTTTCTTGGGTAAGGTAACAATGAGCGACATAATTATCGGTAGATGCGAATCGACCCTTGTCAACATCACGTAAGATTGATTTGCCGATGGCCTCGTGTCGATTGTAAGGACGAAGAACACCATCCATGTGAAAATGACGCGAGGGACGTTGTTTCTCAGCCTCAGCGTTTATATCAACCGCTCTTTGGAGAGCGTTAAGTGACCCAGAAGTGAAATCGATAACACCCGTGGCCGGATCGGCAATAATACCAACAACACCTCGACCAAAACCTTTAACTAAACTGACAGGTCGTACCAAGTGAAATAGGTACAATGTAAAGGTGGAATCCGACGTCGATATGGTACCAAATTTTGACCAAAATCGATGGTTAAATCTTCCAGTGTATTGAATATTCTTACTGGCGCTGAACCGGGGAAATAGTTTGTCAATTGTATGACAACTGAATTGTCGGTAATATCGACATTAACTACAACCAAACGATCGGCTACTCGAAGTAACATTGATACAGGTTCTTTTAATGAAATTGGACGGGATGATTCCGTTTTCTGTTCGGGTAGACGGAAATAAAGTGAACACTCTTTGTTACTCTTCGGCCAAAGTGATTTGGTACTTCGAGTTGAAACTAATATCCATTCATCATTATCTTCACTAATTTCGAGGTCCAAATTTGATTTGTTAACAATTGAGTAAAATGGTGAAACTGTTACAATTTTGGTAAATCCGAAGCTGCTTAATTCAATCTCGATGGAAGCACAATAATTAAGTTTATCTTTTCCTTTGGCGATGACATTTCCTTTGTTTCCAACGGCATCGATTGAGAAAGAATCAGAGAATCGGGAATCACCAAAAGCGAGGGAAAGTTTTTTCTTACTAAAAAGTGTTTTCGGTTTAAAACATAACAAGATGGGAACTTTTTGATTAGGTGGATGATGAGTTAAATTATCACCAATTTTGTAGGTTAAAGGTAATCCAGTTTTATTGAGCATCCAAAATGGTGAAAATAGTGATGCGATTCGGCAGCCGATCTCATCGGAATTGCAAAAGTTTATTGCCAGATCAAGGGTTGGAACGGAACCCGATTCAATTGGATCGATCTGAGTGAAAGACCAAATTTCAATTTGATCATCTTTCATCCATCTAAACGGAAATTTGGCTCGACAGACCCATTTTTTACCTCGATAATTGTTTAGTACAATTACAACTCGATTTGATTTTAAATTTAAATTACATAGATTATGAGCTTCTCCTGGTTCAATGAGACCTTCTTTAGGTGATTGTTCATCTGAAAATTCAAGGGAATAGGTAATACTAAAAGGTAACAGGTTACGAAATTTGAGAACCGGATAAATGTTGAACTTGTAACAAAAACATTCGGGTGATGAACGCTGAGTATCCTCGAAGATTATATTTTCCATTTTACAGCCCACTCGAATAAAGAAATCGGGATCTTTCTTCTTGGATTCACAGGTTATCGTTGAGAAAAAGTGTGTAAATATCTTCACCTCTTTAGCTTTCCAACAAATCGCATCTCTTGGTGTACAATAATCGTCACTTGGTTTAACAAAGACACACTGGTACTTGGAGTAAACAATATCCACCGGAAGGAAATAAGATGCACTTGGTTCAATTTGATAGAGGAAAGTGTATTCCTCCATATTACCTGAAATATCAATGTAATATAATCGCATTGGTATATGGAAATGATTTGTTATCTCAACGGTTGACCCAAAGATAACTCGTTTTGTCCGAGAGTCTCGATGACCAATATCAAATATCCATTTGTATTCATCACCAGGATAACTTAACAATGGGAAACGGAAACACTTTCTCTCGGTTCCTCTGAGTGAGAAACGTCGGGTTACTGTTTGGCCTTTGTGGGACAATTCACAGACTACCTCGTTATCGTGATCGAAAGCGCTTTCTCTGAGATTGTTTAATTTGGCAACTTGACCATTGGCTATTTTAATCTTCTCATAGTGATCTGATGTTTTCACTGCGTCCGTTAAATTGTGGACAAATTTACGTGTATCAACAACAATTGATAAATCCATTCCGGTGAAATTTGAAAACTCAATTAAATTCTGTCCCAATAATGAAGTGTCCGGTTGTTTAACAACATTGGTAAAAGCTTGACCAAGATCGGTGATCACACTTATTGCCGATTTACACAAAGTCATCTCAAGTTGAGATCTTGATTCTAGAAACGCGCTTACCCTTGAATTTGAACCTTCTTCCGAAATTATTTTCGCTTTCAGGTCAAAGTACCAAGGTTCTGCATCGATCATTTCGATAATCGGCTCCCAGGAAAAAGTTTTCTCATTGTAATAATCCATATAACATGATGAGTTCATATTTAAATTGTTCCAATTGTCAAGGATAATTGTATGTGATGAGATCAGTTTAATTAAAGGCTGTGAATCCATTCCTCCAGATTCAATTGTAATTGAAATATTTTTCACTTTAACAACTAATTGTTGTAAAATAAAATCGACTTTCTTTGTATCAGGCTCGTCGAAAACTAAATCCTCTGTGGCCTCAATTGCGGGTGCTACTGTATAATGTAAGAAACTGTACTTGGTCACTGACGATAATGGTTTGGGTGAGAAGATGGCCAATTCCTCTCTCAATTTATCTTCACCTTGGTCATCGGGTTTCTCTTCGGTAGATTGACCAAGTGCACTTAAAATGGACATTAAAATTTGAATTGTGTTCGGTGAGATAAACAGGCCAATATCGGTAAAATCAATGTCAATATGTTGGGAAGCTGAACCATTCATTTCAGCGATCATGTAAATTTCAAATGGACGAACAATATAATTGTCCACTTTTTTGGTTTTCTGGTAATTTTCAAGGCTTGTGATACCCAGTTGAATGTGACCTATTGACCCTTTAATGGACATGACATCGTCTTTCATTTTAACATCAAAATCCATCAAACTGTTGAAAATAACTGCCGGAGGATTTTCCATCTCGGTTGATTCAATTAGTACAATATCAGCTTCGGACATGGTAAATTTAACGCTCATCAAAGGAGTGTCAACGGGTTTGGTGATGTAAATTTTTTCGGGCGATAATTCAGCGACTCGAGCTCTGATTCCTTCTCGTGTTGAAGCGGTTAATTGTTGAAAATCGGTGGTAGGTGATGAAACATTTGAATTACTAGGTAATCCTTGTAACGATGAGGTGACAATATTTGATAATTGAAGTAAATAATCAAGAGCAAAGATCAATGTGAAACCGGACATTTCAATGTCAACGAAAGTGTCAGTATCGGTTTGCCGTTTAAAGTGAATTTTCAATGTTTTCCCTTGGGTATCAGCAGAAGTTGAAATATAATCATTACAGTACATTAGACGACGTAATCGACGATTCTTGGAAGGTCTTTCATCACATAAAACAATGTCACTCATGGTCATTGTGAGTACCAATGAATCGTCCGTTTTCATTGCACATTGGACATCAAATCCTGCTAGGTAAGCATTGGTCAACTTATTTTGAACATTTTTCTCTTCCTCTTGGTATAAAACTAAGTCCACCTTGGGCATTGCGAATGCCACTTGGTATCTATTGAATATCCTTTCGACAACTTTATCATGTTCCTCTTCCTCTCGGATCGCGTCCACATGGACAACCGCTTCCTCGACAATTGTTGTCGCTAAAGGTAACGAAACCTCAGTACTTGAGGGATGTAACTTTTTACTTTTCACCTTTTTACTTCGAGGTTCAGCTAAAGTGGTTACCATTGCTGAACAAGTAACATCCTCACCCGCCAGTGGTTTATCAATATCATAGGCAGCGGATACATTTTCATTGAGAATACTCATGATTAGCATTAAATTGGTTTGTGATATTTGACAGCGAACCTCTTCTAGTGTGGCACTTAAATTCAATTCGGGAATTTCTTTGTTATTTTCAAAATTAAGATTTCGAGTTGCTGACAGATTAAAACTTAAAGGTTCAACGATACTGTCCAATGATTTCTCGGTTCCGTCTTTGGTCATAGAGACTCGGGTATTTGTTAGTTCACATTTAATGTGATCCAATAATTTTGAATGGGAAGATTCAATTTGATTGCTTATAGCGATTCTACCAAGATCTACTGATAAACAATGTCTTGACTCCCAGTTTCGAGGGACAATTATTAATGGTGCTTCTAGGATAACATTGAGTCCAATTTTAGTTGCATTTTGGTAGGCATCAAGTGCCGTTTGTTTGGCAAATCCAGCGGCTGCAGATGAAGCTGCAATAGCGCGTTTCTTGGCTGTCTCAAAGACGGCAAGGAAATTCATTAATCGAACAATAAATTCATTTAGAAAGACAATCTTTAAACGTCCAAAGTGTACATTTAGCTGCATATCAACGTTACCCGGTGAGTGTTTTGTTTCAGAAGGTGTAAACATGGTTAATTCAACTTCCAATACTCGTTTACTTTGAGAGATTATTATTTTTTCATGAACTAGGTTACGATTTGCGATCCGAGGATTATAAGGATCGCGAACACAATTAATTATGGCAAAATCATTCCAACGAGCTTTAGTATTTATCCGACCTGTTTCGTAAATTGTTAAATCGGCTTCTAAACCCTCCAAAGTTGTTGAACAAATACCACCGATGGCAAGGACAACACTGTCCACGAAAATTGTCGTCTTTAAATTGATCACTTTACACATTTCAACTTCTCGTTTCTTTTTCGGTTTAACCAATACTCCAGGAAATAGGTTGGTACTGATTTGACTAGAAACTGAGGGTCTACGACGATTGACCGCTCGATCGACATCATCGCCTGCAGAGGGTAAACTGTTTGCTATTTTTTGTGTGTACAATAGTAACTCGTCCAGTATTGGTGAGTCAATGAACAATTTACATTGGGCCATTTTAATGTCGATACTTTGGACAACATCTTCAAAAGTTGGACCATTTTTAAGTGTTGAACGGAATTTAAGTTGCAATAAATTTTCATTCTCAATTGTTTCGATTAACTTGAACACTGGAGCTCCGGCTACATCAAGATCGTGAACTTGGACTAGAATTTGACCCAGATAAAGGTCAACAATGGTATCGAAACTTTTAACAAATATTTCCGTTCCAACTTGTTTAACTGAAAGAAGGAGCAGTTCAACTCCATTGTCAGTTTGTAGATCACAGGTTAACGATTCGACCTTAAAATTTAGCACAAGGTGAGTCATTTGAACCTTTGAAGATCGAGCTTCAAGTTTAGCTGTTTCTTGGGCTATTTTGAGAGCGTCGTTAGTTGCCTTTGCCTCGTTTACTTCACTACTCTCGACTTTTGGTCCAATGTGAAGGGTCTCTGATTTTTTAGGTGTAGGCACAGTTAGGAGTAAATTGAACAATCGGCATAGTTGAATGTTTCGAGCTTTAAAAAATATCGAAGGGATTGTACCTTCGATTCTCATTTGAGGCATATGAGGATCATCGGCAATGATGGAACGCATTAAACACAGTTCAAGGCCAAAAGGTTCCAATAAATTATTAACTGAAGGTGTTTTCTGAGTTCGAGTTTCGTTTAAATCATTGACCCAATTTTCACCGGTCGTCAAAATTATTTGAGTTCGAGAAACTTTTAAACGAAATCTTTCATAGGCACTTTCTCGAACTGCATTGATCAAAGCTTCTTCTCCAGAATCTTGATATTTTAATCGTAATGAGGTCGGTGAATCGTCAGTAAATTCAGAGGAAACATTAACCTCACCACAAGAAAGGATTAAAACATTTTCACAATCGTTGACACAACCACGATCAGGGATAACGATATAAGAAGGTTCAATAACAATGTCCACTTTAAGGGTATTATGTTGTTCAATTGCATATTCTAATCCAGTTACAGACATCATTTTAAATTGGTTAAATTTAATCTCAGCCAATGCTTGAATCTGATCGAGAGATACATCGCTTTGTGGTGTAACAATGTCCAAAAGCGCGTTAAATGTTGGTGCATGATACATGACATCAACACCTCTCGCTTTACAGGTAACACCATAATCAAATGAAGCATCCAATGGATTTGTTTCCAATGTGATTTCCAGTAAATCAAGATCACAAACTTGATTGGTAACCAATTGATTTTCATCAACACCCTTTAAATCAATTGCATGGACCAATGTACCAATACGAAGGCCATTACTTGAAGGTCGATAACCTAAACGGGTAGAAACATCGTTAAGTCCAAAGGAGATTATGTTGACATCTTTTTTCTCGTCAATTATGCAAACTTGAATTGCTCGTAATTTAATTGCAATTAGGTAAGCCTCGAAAAATGGTGGATACTCTGCTGGAACAGATTCTTCGTAGCCGATTGCTTCATATAATTTAGATTTCTCATCTGTCGTCATCTCTTTCTTAATCTCATCCAAAATCGGTTTTGTCAATGAGTTTTCATCATCTTTCTTGGATGATCCCCAAATCCAGCCAAACCAACCACCGCCACCTTTGACCTCCTGTGATCGAGCCTTTTCCGCTTGAATCTTTTCCACCTCAAGTTCAACTTGACTTCGTACTAAGATTATATTGAAAACGTCCAACTTTGATTCCAATTCATCGACAATTCCTGGTTTAACTTTCTTCGGGTTTAAAAGGTACTTTTTGTAAGCCTCTTTGTAATCTTTCAACAACTGCCGATGAGCTTTAATATAAGACCAGGACCAAATTTGATTACGTTGACGAATCTCAGTCTCCAAGATCGCTGTTTGTACAAATCGCCACCAAACTGATGCGTTTCCCTTAACCGGTACATGAGGTCTCCATTGACGATAAGGTGCTGCCAGTTTCATACGGTCAACCGAATCAAGGAGAAGTAGAAAAGATTCAAATTGTCCTCGATTTAGTGCCAAGGTAAATTGATCTAAAAGCATATCAATGTCAAACATGGGAACTTGAAAATCTTCCTCTTTCGGTTTTCTATTGATAAAAGTTTGAGCTGTAAAATTGTTTGGCCTTAAAATGTAAGTTAAATTTTTCGGCTTATTCCATTTTGATGCTATTCGAGACTGAAATTCACGATCCATATCGTCTTCATTTAAATCGGATATAAATTTGACATCATCAGAACAGTTCCAATAGAAAGATAAATATTCCAATGAGATATGTTTAAGGAAAGAGTTCTCTCGATTTGATAAACTATATTTAGTACAAGTTTCTTGGGATGTGACGAAAGCTAATCGACTCAGTGTTAAGCCTTTTTCGACATTTTATCCATTGGATATGAAAAGATGTAGGATGGAACCAAGATCCATGTGAAGAGAGAGAGAGAGAGAGAGAGAGAGAGAGAAAAAATGATACATGGAAGGAGAAGAAAATAGACAAAATTAGATCAAAGAATAAAGAATATTGTATATTAAATTTAGAACAAAAAAGAAAATAACAAAAGATAATTAAGGAAAATTATCATTCAAAATTCTAAGTATTGAGTAAATACAATCAACTGCTTAATTGAATAAACTCGAAAGATAAACATGATGATAAGGAAGAAATTTGTTCTCTAACATCAATATAACAACATTGTCTCTCTCACTGACTCTCTCTTTCTCTTTCTCTCTCTCTATTTCTTAATCATATAATCTTGATGACAAGGAAGCAAATTGGTTGATGTGATAGAGTAACAATTCGTTGTCAAGGTTATTACAATTACTTGAGTTACGAATGAGAAATATTCTTACTCACGTTTATGGAAAAAATAGAAAGAGACTCGAAATGGACAATGAAAGAGAAAAAGTTAAGGTAATAATGAGAATGAAAGAAAAGCCTATCAGCCTAAAAGCGATGATAATGATGAATTTACAGGTAACCAAATGAATAGAAAATCTTTTTCTACCTGAGAAAGATTAATATTTGAAAAGAATATATTTTCTTTCCCCAATATGGTTAACTGTTTGAGGAAAAAATAAACAAGATAACCTCTTGTTATTATCTTTTCAAATATTTATACTGATTGTTTGGTTAAAATGATGTAATTGAAATGATTAAATGTGTCGATAGGGAGATGAAATAATCTAAATTTGTGAGTAATCAGATTCATCTGAATGAATACAAACTATCACATACCCATAGAAAATGGTGACTTAGGATTAGTGAATTTGTCCTCGTAGCAAATGTGAACATTGTCAACCTGAATCTCCAAATTTCGGATAATCTGAGCGACCAATTTAGTGACGAAATCGTCACCTTGAGCTGATTCATCTTCTGAGCCTGAAAAAAAAGAGGAAATTGTAAGAGAGAATTAGAGAGAGAGAGAGAGAGAGAGAGAGGAAGTATAATTGTATTAGAGATAAAAGAGTTAAAGATAAATTGTAATCATGATTATCAATTTGTAATTGGAAAATGGATACTAGAGAAATCAGAGTAATCAACAAGATCAGGTAGGAGTTTCTTCAACAATCAAATGTAATCACCATGAAACCAAAGCATTTTAAATTGTTTAGAATGTTACAATTAACTTGGTGGATTTTGTTTTCCATATTGATGGCAAGGATTCTGTATGGTGATGATGATTGTTGACTTTTTTTGCTCTTGTCTCCTGATTGTTGTTGACATTAAATTGACATAATAAGCACCTTTTAGATTAGCTGTTCTCATTGCTTCTTCAATTTGTTTCAATTGTTTCTTTTTCTCTGCTTCCATTTGTTTCTTTTCAGTCTCAGCATCGTATTTGCTTTCTGGATGGGAAGAAGAAAAAAAATGATTGAGATGATCAATTTAGGAAATAATTAGTATACACATTTAGAATAGAATTCATGATTGAATTGGATTAGAGAAAAAGGTGAAACTTACCAACATTTGGAACACAAACAATGAAAATATCAGAGATTGAGAAAACAACTCGACTGGTGTAAAGGGAAACCCAAGGTATCTTCGCTTTGAATTTACCAATATGTCCATAGACAACCCTGAAGGGTAAGTTAAGTGAATCAAAGGCATTTCCCTTGATTGCCAAATTGTTCAGTTCAATATCACCTAGAATATTTATAAAAGAAAAAAGATTCGATTAGATTGGAAATTTGATAAATTCTGGTTAATCTGTCAGGTTACCAGAAAATGAGATGAAAATTGTACTCACCGGTAAAAGCAGCTATTTTTAACTGATTGGCAGACAAATCATCAACAAATTCATTTAAATAGGTATTTAGTAAATTGGAAGTTAATGATTCAAAAACCATCTTCAAATACACACAACAATCAAGTGATTAAATCACTCGTAATGAGATTATGATTAAAGATTTGCTAGAAAATATAATCAGCAAAAAGTAAAAGTCTCTTCTCTATCTGTTATATACACAAATGATTATATTCTAGGAGAAGAAGATGATTAATCCAATCCAATTAGAATAGTAATCAACACATAAGAGAAAGCAGATGTTAGTTAAACATAAAATGAGATAAATAAATTGTAACAATTAGATTAATTGTAAATGGTAGAAAATAAAAGTCTCAGTGAAAATACAAGAAAATGAAACACAAGGTAAACAAAATGAGAAAAAATCGGTTATGCTTTTTGTTGATTGTTCACATTTACATTCACAGTATTTAGATTAATTGTTTTCTCGTAATTAGATAATCACTATTCTTAAAGTAGTTAAATGGGTAAAAAGAAACAATTAGATACATAATTAGGTTGATTAAAATTTAGGAACAACAATTAACTCTATTGAAGAAAAGATGTAAACACAATCTCGTCAATAGAAAAAAAGAAAACGAATTTTTCTCAATCACATGTTAGAATTAAACTCCTCCCATTGAGAGAATTTATTTCTAATCATTAGCGACAATTAGAATTAATTTTTTGGAGAACAATTGATTTCCACATTTAATTGTTCGCAATTTAATTCCTAATTTGGTTTCCTTCTTTGAACAGTGTTAACAATTTATGTTTCCAAGAGACTGAGAACTTAATGGTTACTATGTTTCGAATTTTTTTCTTCTTTTCGTTTTGTTGCTAATTAACAATTAGTTTCGAATTTTGATTTATATTTGTGATAAGAGAACAATTATAAAGTGGATTATTTTAATGAATCGTCAATATTTTAATTCGATTTGGATTACATGTGATATGGAAAATAATCAATTTCAATATGAACAATTGAAACTCGTTGAGTTTTGGTTTTGTTTTTACAAAGATGATAACAATTTGTTAAATATGAATAATTTAAATTTTCGCCATGTGATTGAAGAGGTAAGAAGACAAAATTTACACAATATTGTAACTAAATTGATCGATTTTTGTGTATGGGGAGATGTGTTTGTCCGTTCGTTAAAATCTGACCACTTTGGGCTTCTTTTCCCTCGCAATTGGTATAAAATCTTGAGCATCGGCACTTCCCGTGGTTCCCATTGTGTCCAAAGTATATTCCTCTTCCGGTTCGCCATCTTCATCTTGTCCATTCCTCTCGTTTTCCGGACAATCTTTGGCTAAATGGTTAATACTTTCACATATTTTACAAGAACCACCTCTAGGATAAGCACCTCTCCTATTATCCGGACAATCTCGAGCAATATGACCTTCCTGTGAACAGACAAAACACCGAGCGAAATCAAGTCCTGGTTTACTACTTTTACATTCAAACAATTTATGTTCAGTTGAACCACATTTGTAGCAAACATCACTCATGGTATCATTTTTAGCCTGAGGACATTCAGCTAACTTATGGCCAAAACCACGACACCTGAAACAAGCATTTTTAACTGATTTTTTCGTATCATTTTCGGCATTTCGTCTCTCCATTCGTAATATTTTCTTTATCTCCTCTGGATCGGTTCCTTTGGCATTCAATGAATTCCGTAATTTGGTTAATCGGTTTTCAACATCATCTGGAAGTGGCATTAATCCATGATCAACAGCACTTTTCCAATTCTGTGACCTGTAACTGCCACCACCTCGTTGGAAACGATTACCACCATCTCTACCACCACGGAATCCACCGCCTCTCCTATTACCTCCACCACCACCTCTTGAAAAACCTCCGCGGCGAAAACCACCACCGCCACCACGTTCACCATCTCGATCGTAAGGTTTACCACCACCTCGACCTCCTCTTCTGAATCCACCACCACCACCTCGGGGTTTACGGTCGTATGATTCAGTTTCCGACATAATTGAGATTATTAGAGTTACAACACAAAGGGAAATCAATTACAATTTAGAATTTAAACTTTGATACAAAATTAAATGTCTGCCAACGAGAATCAAAAGCACATGTGAAGTTAAAAGTCTCAAGTCTCACATTGGAAAAGGTCTGACACCTACTGGTGATCAATAGAGTAAAACCTGAAATGGAAAAATTTTCTTCCGTTAATTTGAATTTTGATTTACAAAAATTATGGTTTGGTTATATTTTTGGATAATGGTAATGGCACACCTTTGCCTTTTGTTTCTTTAATTGTGATTTGGTGTCTCACGGCTATGAATTTGGAAGAAACAAAATTAATACAAAAGAAAAAAGGGATGAAGGGAAAATTTTGTTGAAACATTGATTAAATTTGATGAGATAGAACATGTTGAGAAAATGCCATTGATTCTTTCCATGTTGTTGAAAATTGGACCATTTTTAATGGTTTTTTTAATTTTTTTTTGTGTGGATATGTAGATGTGTATTTGGTGGATAATAATAATGGCTTTGGGATTTTCGATCCTTTGTTTTAATCATCTTCTTCAGATTCAGATGCATCCGAGTCCAATTTTTTTAAAGCAGCATCAACATCGTCAATACAATCTTTAAACTTTTTCCATTCATCCAAATTTAAGCTCAATCCTTTCTTTCCTGGGCATTTTTCACCTTTATCATTGATCCAAAATTCTCTAATATCAACTCTTAGACGACCTTTAAAGGAACCAACAGAAACGAAACGATTGTTACTCAATTGGAACCTGACATCGGAACCTTCTCCTTTACTATCACTGTCGCTGGCTTTACCCTTCGAACCTAAAGATAATAGACAGCAAAAAGAAAGAACAAGGAAAAGAACAACAAGAAAAAACATTAGCAATAATTACAAAATTGAGAGAAAATGAAAAAAGAATAGAGAAAACATGATGTAATGATAGAATCCAAAGCCAATGGTAGAAAAAGCCACAGAGGAAAGGAAGAAAAAGAGAACAAAAGAAAAATAAATTCGAAATAATCGAACAATTTTAAACAAAGAAAATTACCTCGAGATGGTTTAGGCATGATGAGAATATAATTAATTCAATTTAAGTCAATTAATCAAGAGACACAATTAATTTTAATCAAAATTAACGGAGAAAACAATTAGTCCGGAACAGAAAAAAAGACAGAGAAGAAACAACCGCGCTTAGTTATAGATGCGACAGGAAAAAGAAAGAGAAAAGAATAGAACAAAAATGGAAAATCTGATCTGCCATCTGTCGTTCTTTAAATGAACTAAATAGAAAAACAAAATCCTTCAGAATTTTAATTCTACTCAACAATTTAATCAACAGAATTTATCTCTAATTTAAAGTTCTACAATTTATTCATAGAAATTTATCATTTTCTAATCATCATGAATCATGGAATTGGATACTCTAGATAAAGGTAAGCCATTTAGTGACATAATTATGAGGTAACTTGGAACCACACCCGGTTATCAATGGTCGATTTTTATTAAACATCAAATTGAATATTGGTGATTTTTTTTGATTAATTAGTTTAATTGTATCATGAAATTACTTCTATTCAATTGTGTAACAATCAAGTTAATTCTTGATCTTTTTCCTTTTTTATCATCTTGAGAATTTGATGTTCTAAATTGTGCAAGTTGATACAATGAGTTTAATTGGAATTGTGATTCAACTGCTAACATAACATTCCTAATGTTGATTGTTTTCTTTTAATTGTTGTTTCTTAATTTCGTTTGTATTGTGGTAGTTATTTTAATTCTATTCTTTTTTTGTCTAATCTAAATCTCTGTTGGCAGTAAGTATATTCATCACTGATTTATTGTTACCAAGTGTTATTATGTTGTGAGTGAATAGTCAACGTGTTCGACTTAATTTGGATTATAAATTTAATCATTGATCACACTTATCAATTTAGGTTTTGTTCTGATTGTTTAAAGTGTCATTTCCCATCATTATACAACAATTCATCACTCGACTGAAAATTGTAAACGAATTTCAATATTATCTTGAGAATCTATCATGTTAATAATCTTGTATTTCTTTTTTTTCTCTATAGATTCCAATTCTTTTCAACTGAGCTGTTAATCGTCATTCTTTAAATTGATTGTCATTGATTACTAGTCTTCTATACAAGATATTCACCAAGAGGGAATGATTAACTTGGAGTTAATTTTCAACTAATTGCCGCTTGTTACATTTCCACCTTCCACCGATCAGAACGATATTCCAGAAAGTGAATAAACTCAACCCTAAATTTACGTAATTCCAAGAATTAAATCAAAGTAAGTTCTAAATCATGTTCAGTTCTTAGTCAACATTTAATTGTCACCACTAACTAATTCCAATAGTGGATTGAACCCCGAAAATTTGTACTCGTTTAGCTTGATGATGATGATGAAAAAACATCTCTACCTATGGAGGCTACTGAGAGTTACTATTTTTGCTGTTGATCCTATCAAATTGAATGCGAAAGATTAACAGAGCGATTATAAGATTTGGGTGAAAACAAATGTTGATTAACAAGAAATCTAAATGATTCATGGATGATCAGGACAATCAAGATATAAATTTGTAAAGAATATCATTTGTTTCATGTTCTTTTAACCTCTACCCTAAATAGAATCTAGTTAATCAACTTTACCAGTTTAACATGTTCCAAATGAGTTAAACAACATCATCTTTCCTCATCATCACCAATCACCATCATCATTTTAATCAAAAACAACAACAACAACAACAACAATAAACAACATTTGTTGAATTAATACTTAGCAACCAATGAGTTTCCTCTCCATCTTGATATTTATCCTTTTAATTCATCCTCTTTCTGGTTCCTCTCTCTCCTTATAGTCGTTTCAATTGATTCCTATTTGTTTTTATTACCTTTTGTTATTATTTACTAATTGAAAATTCATCTCTCTCTCCCTCTACAGTCTTAATTAAACAGGATAATTAATTCACTGGTACATGTAATCATGACTCTGGACAAATCTGGCCTAAACAATGTGATCCACAATATTTACAATCTCTGGTGTTTCATTTGTCTTTACCTGTTGGGTGCTTATTATGTTATCATTGAATTAAATCGTAAATTTGGTTTCATTAACAAAGTGAAAACCTTTGATGTGGATACTGCAGTTACCTGTACCCTGGAAGGTAGAGTTGCCATAATAACCGGCGGTGGAAGAGGAATCGGCTGGGAAACAGCTAAAAGTTTAATCAAAAAAGGATGTCATGTTATTGTTACCTCATCAACTAAGCCGGGACCACAACTTGATTCATTAAAAGAATCCCTGTCTCCACAAATTGATGGTTATATCGGTAAATTGGATATCTGGCATCTAGAATTATCAAGCCTTACATCAGTCTTAGAATTCATTAGGAAATTTAAATCATCGGGCCTTGGATTAAATCTTCTAATCAATAATGCAGGTAAGAAAAAGAAAACTGTTTTTCTATTCAATATTAACAATGAATTCTAATTATTTCTCTCTCTCTCACTCTTTTCTTCTTCTTATTCTCTTCCAGGAGTTATGTTTGCTCCCTTTTCATTGACAGAAGACGGTTTTGAATCTCATCTGTCCATCAACTATTTAGGCCATTGTTTATTAATCTGGGCTTTCCTTCCTATTCTCAATGAAACTGGATTTAAGAGTCGAAATCTTTCTCGGATAATCAACGTTTCCTCCAGTACACATTATGCTCGTAATTTACGGTTAGATGATCTAAACGGATCTAAAATGTATTCACCTTATCATGCATACGCTCAATCAAAATTGGCCCAGATAATGTTTACCTTTAAACTTCACCGTTACCTTAATGAAAAGGGTTCTTATGATTTGGTAACTGTAAACAGTGTCCACCCTGGAGTGGCCAAGACTGCTCTCTATGAGCATGTTTGGTGGGTCCAATTGTTTCCAGGTTTAGCTTCAATGGTCTTCCGAACTCCCAAAGAAGGAGCTGAAACCGTTCTTTATGCATCCCTATCACCCGAAATCGATGGTGTTGGCGGTAAATACCTCGAAGATTGTGCCATTGTCCGTGCATCTAAATACTCTTACAATGAATCTAAACAAGAAGAACTTTGGTCATTGACAAGATCACTATTAAAACCATGGATTGACCAAGTAGAAAATAATTCCAGTTAATTTTCCGGTTTCCAAACACCACCAACAACAAAGATCAATTCCCGTCAAAGAAAAAAACAAAGTTTAACTCTCCCAAATCCATAGATTTTTTCACCCTTGAAAATTTACCTTAATTGTGTTTCCAAATTGTATAACACAAAATCACACACACTTAAACTATTTATTTACCCTTTCCTTTTGTAACAACCACCAAATCAACAACAATTATCCTAAAACAATTAAGCAAACAGCAAACTCTTGTCATGTGATTGTAAACATTTACCAATTTTTTATATAATTATTATTATTATTATCAATTAATAATAATTAATGACTATCAACTTATTAAATTCTCTCTGTTGAAAATTGAATAATCATCAATCTTAATTGATTACAATTAAATTGTTCTCAGAACAAACAGAAAAATGAAAAAAGGATCGTATTGATTGTGCGTCGATTCCTAATGTTAATCAGTCTCAGTTTCACCTTTTTGTTTGTTTACATTTTTCTCTCAACTATTAACCTAATTGTGTTTTCTCTCACAATTAAACCAGTGTCATTTTACCCTTTTAATTTAATTGTGTTCCCAATCACAATCAACCAAATGATAATGACAACAGTGGAAGAGCTTAAAAATGAGATAATCCATCTCAGATTAGAAGCAAATATGAATCGTATCGCTGTTTCAAAAGCGATTGAAGAGTAAGTCACAATTTACTAATTGTCACCTGAGAAAATCACCTAATCACCATCACAATCAAATGACCAGTGAAAACAATGTTTACGTTGATTGTTAACTCGTTACAATCATCAGCTGATTTCGTGTTTACTTTCATCTTGGTTACATTGATTTTCTTGTTCATATCAACTGATAATCTTAATATTTTGCTCTGATTTTCATGTAAACAATTAGATGTAATTGTGATGTTATGATATATGATTTTCTCTCTGTTAATTGTTCTTGATTAACAATCAATCTAATTGCTTTTTATCTTAATTTCTCTTTAGGTTGAAACAATATTGTCTTGAGAACCAGGAAAATGATTTTCTGGTTTCTGGTTCCATTTATGATGAGAATCCATTCCGAGAATCTAAAACCTGTGGAATTTTTTAAATTATTTCTCATTTGGGTTAATTGTTGGCTGACAATTAATTATTTCCACATAAACAATGATCACCAATTGGCACCATCACCACAACCCCAATGAACAATTAACGATAATTTGCTTTTTTTTCTCGTCAACACTTTAATCACGTCCAAATCAAACCATCTCCACAATTAACTAATTGCAATCAGTCAATTGTTACTTTGTGTTAATTTGATCAACAACAACAACAACAACAACTGGATTAAAATTTTGATTTTCTTGTCGTTGATTAAATTTACCAATTTAACGATTGATTTTTAATGTTTCCTTTTTCGTCAATTGTTTAACTAATTGTGAGATTAAATTGTAATTTAAAAGCTTCCCCTCCAATGGACAAAGTTTCATTAAAGTTTCACTTTTAATCTTCAACAATTAGTTAATTGGTGACTGATTTCAACTCAACAATTAAAAGTAAACAACTTGAATCTATTGATAGAAATTTTCAGAAACAAACAATCAACTTGATTACACAATCAAATCAAAACGAAAACATCAAATAATTAACTTGAAAAACAATTTAATCAGTTAATTAAATGTCAATTTTTGGATTATAATCTTGACACTAAAATCAAATGATAACAAATTAACTAATTCACTTAGTTTAATTTAGATTGGAACAAGAAACTTTGATTAATTGTTGAAGATTAACAACAAAAATAGCGACTAATTAAGGATTCATTAAGAGTAATTAATTAATTATATTAATCCAATGCTAGAATGAGTTAATTCAGTTAATTTCGTGTTAATCATTTCATGATAATCTCAATGATGTTGAAATAAAATAAGACAATCAATTGATTCAAATGAAAGGTTAATTGTAATCAGTATCAAGAAAAACTTTCATTAGTTATTAACTGACCAATCAGTTAGTCAATTTAATCACTATTACAATTAACTAGATATTAATCAATTCAATTAAAATGAAACATTCAATTAAACGGCTTAAATTTGAAGGACATCATCTTAATTATTTGTTTATTATTTTCATCCACAATTTAATAATAACAGAGTTAAATTTGCCCGAGGGCAATTTAAATCACGATGGATAATTGTAATCAACGATTACCAAATGAAAGTTAATCATTAGAAGGTAAAGAAAACATTTACAACCATAGAAAATTTTTTTCCACAATTAGTTTAACTAAGTGATTGGGAAGAAGAAAAAAATTGATCACTTTTCCTTGTCAATCGTAATCAACGTTAATTGTTGATTGTTGATTGTTGAAAATTGATTGTGATTTGATTCATCAATATAAATAAGTGTATGTGGTTGATGGTTAACATATTTTTCCACCTCTTTCCTTGTGAGAAACTGAATTAACTTTAATTGTTTGTCATCTAAATAAAAGAAAACACAATTAAGTTAATTTCTAATCAATCAAGGTTATCATGTCCTAAATTGTCCAGTTGATTGCAATTTAGTTGATCATCAACATCATCAACTTAATCAAGGTTAATCAATAACCTTTCAATTTATTTAATCAACAATTAAATTAGAAATCAAACTTTTAATCCAGTTTGATTAACTACATTATTGTTATTAGATAATATTAATTGTTAGATTTAAATTGAAATTAATTCGGTTTCAATGATTAACATCAATCAATTGAAATCAATAAGCGAAAATTATCAAAATGTACAACAATTTGTTAATTGTTGTTAAATATATTACATATTCTGTGTATCAATATTAACAAATAGGTGAAAATTGAAATAATCACAACAATCAGTTGATTATTTGTATTTACAATCAACAATTGAAATTCATTGATTGTGATTAATGTAAAAATAAAACATAGGAAGATGATTATTGGTAAAATATCATTATAATTAACATTATCATCAACCAGCAATCAACAACAATTAACATTATTAGCCTTAAATGACCTTCTATTAACCTTCAATTTAAGGTTTAAATCATCATTAAATTGATTGTAGTTGATTGTTAATCACATAGCACATTTGTTATAACAACATTACAATAAAATTTAGTAAATTGTCTTAAATCACAAGCAACAATCAAGTTAACTTGTGTTGGTAATTCAAGTTTGACAATCAACTTAATTGTAATACAAATATCGTTTAATCAACCAAATTGTATCAACTATAATGTTTAATTGTTCATCATGTGCATGTAAAAGTTTATTGGTTAATAAACAATCAATTAACTTATATTTAATTTGATTATTTCTCATCAATCGAGTAATCAAAAGGTTGATAAGTAGCAATTTGTTAATTAAGAGACTTGAAAGTTATGCAATTTAAGTTAAATTTATGTAACAATTTAATTGCCTTTTGATGATTTTACGATTAAATTTTTATCCCTTAAAACTTTTGACAATTAGAAATTAATAAATTACCATGATAACCTTTTTCGCATACGAATTGATTGATTAAAGAGAAAGTAAATTGATTAGTTAATTTCCAAGAATCGTAAACAAAAGGTTAAAAATTAATAGTTGGGATTAAATTGTTATGACAATTAGAAGACGAGAAATTAAAGGAAATCCTTGAATTTGGGAGAGATTGTGAAAAGGGAAAATCGTAGTTAATTTGAATTGAATATTTGGTTGATTGTTAACCAATTGGAGGCGATTGTTGATCAACTAATAAGTAAATTGTTGTGATAATAACGACAAATTAAGGGAACAGGTAATGGAAAAAGGTAAATTGTTGGCTGACAATTAATTATTTCCACATAAACAATGATCACCAATTGGCACCATCACCACAACCCCAATGAACAATTAACGATAATTTGCTTTTTTTTCTCGTCAACACTTTAATCACGTCCAAATCAAACCATCTCCACAATTAACTAATTGCAATCAGTCAATTGTTACTTTGTGTTAATTTGATCAACAACAACAACAACAACAACTGGATTAAAATTTTGATTTTCTTGTCGTTGATTAAATTTACCAATTTAACGATTGATTTTTAATGTTTCCTTTTTCGTCAATTGTTTAACTAATTGTGAGATTAAATTGTAATTTAAAGCTTCCTCCAATGGACAAAGTTTCATTAAAGTTTCACTTTTAATCTTCAACAATTAGTTAATTGGTGATTTCAACTCAACAATTAAAAGTAAACAACTTGAATCTATTGATAGAAATTTTCAGAAACAAACAATCAACTTGATTACACAATCAAATCAAAACGAAAACATCAAATAATTAACTTGAAAAACAATTTAATCAGTTAATTAAATGTCAATTTTTGGATTATAATCTTGACACTAAAATCAAATGATAACAAATTAACTAATTCACTTAGTTTAATTTAGATTGGAACAAGAAACTTTGATTAATTGTTGAAGATTAACAACAAAAATAGCGACTAATTAAGGATTCATTAAGAGTAATTAATTAATTATATTAATCCAACGCTAGAATGAGTTAATTCAGTTAATTTCGTGTTAATTTCGTGTTAATCATTTCATGATAATCTCAATGATGTTGAAATAAAATAAGACAATCAATTGATCAAATGAAAGGTTAATTGTAATCAGTATCAAGAAAAACTTTCATTAGTTATTAACTGACCAATCAGTTAGTCAATTTAATCACTATTACAATTAACTAGATATTAATCAATTCAATTAAAATGAAACATTCAATTAAACGGCTTAAATTTGAAGGACATCATCTTAATTATTTGTTTATTATTTTCATCCACAATTTAATAATAACAGAGTTAAATTTGCCCGAGGGCAATTTAAATCACGATGGATAATTGTAATCAACGATTACCAAATGAAAGTTAATCATTAGAAGGTAAAGAAAACATTTACAACCATAGAAAATTTTTTTCCACAATTAGTTTAACTAGTGATTGGGAAGAAGAAAAAAAAATTGATCACTTTTCCTTGTCAATCGTAATCAACGTTAATTGTTGATTGTTGATTGTTGAAAATTGATTGTGATTTGATTCATCAATATAAATAAGTGTATGTGGTTGATGGTTAACATATTTTTCCACCTCTTTCCTTGTGAGAAACTGAATTAACTTTAATTGTTTGTCATCTAAATAAAAGAAAACACAATTAAGTTAATTTCTAATCAATCAAGGTTATCATGTCCTAAATTGTCCAGTTGATTGCAATTTAGTTGATCATCAACATCATCAACTTAATCAAGGTTAATCAATAACCTTTCAATTTATTTAATCAACAATTAAATTAGAAATCAAACTTTTAATCCAGTTTGATTAACTACATTATTGTTATTAGATAATATTAATTGTTAGATTTAAATTGAAATTAATTCGGTTTCAATGATTAACATCAATCAATTGAAATCAATAAGCAGAAAATTATCAAAATGTACACAACAATTTGTTAATTGTTGTTAAATATATTACATATTCTGTGTATCAATATTAACAAATAGGTGAAAATTGAAATAATCACAACAATCAGTTGATTATTTGTATTTACAATCAACAATTGAAATTCATTGATTGTGATTAATGTAAAAATAAAACATAGGAAGATGATTATTGGTAAAATATCATTATAATTAACATTATCATCAACCAGCAATCAACAACAATTAACATTATTAGCCTTAAATGACCTTCTATTAACCTTCAATTTAAGGTTTAAATCATCATTAAATTGATTGTAGTTGATTGTTAATCACATAGCACATTTGTTATAACAACATTACAATAAAATTTAGTAAATTGTGTCTTAAATCACAAGCAACTTAATCAAGTTAACTTGTGTTGGTAATTCAAGTTTGACAATCAACTTAATTGTAATACAAATATCGTTTAATCAACCAAATTGTATCAACTATAATGTTTAATTGTTCATCATGTGCATGTAAAAGTTTATTGGTTAATAAACAATCAATTAACTTATATTTAATTTGATTATTTCTCATCAATCGAGTAATCAAAAGGTTGATAAGTAGCAATTTGTTAATTAAGAGACTTGAAAGTTGTGCAATTTAAGTTAAATTTATGTAACAATTTAATTGCCTTTTGATGATTTTACGATTAAATTTTTATCCCTTAAAACTTTTGACAATTAGAAATTAATAAATTACCATGATAACCTTTTTCGCATACGAATTGATTGATTAAAGAGAAAGTAAATTGATTAGTTAATTTCCAAGAATCGTAAACAAAAGGTTAGAAATTAATAGTTGGGATTAAATTGTTATGACAATTAGAAGACGAGAAATTAAAGGAAATCCTTGAATTTGGGAAGAGATTGAAAAGGGAAAATCGTAGTTAATTTGAATTGAATATTTGGTTGATTGTTAACCAATTGGAGGCGATTGTTGATCAACTAATAAGTAAATTGTTGTGATAATAACGACAAATTAAGGGAACAGGTAATGGAAAAAGGTAAATACTAAATACAGGGAAGATAAGATGATGAAGATAGAAAAAAAAATTCTTTTACAAGAGAGAAAGAAAAAAACATCAATGGAGGATAAAAAATGGAAATGGATGCGAATTGTGACAGAGAAGAAAACAAGGAGTGAGAGAGAAAATGAGAGAGTTTGAGAGAGTGAGATTGAGAGAGAAAAGGATTGAGGAAAAAGTCAACAATTCGGGTAACACAAATTCTGTTTGGAAAATGGTTCTCATTGATTAGCTTCCATTGGGCATTTTGGAAGTGATTTAAATGGCCCCAAGCTCAAAGTCTCTATTTAGTGGATATGATCAGAGGAGAGAATCTGTTGAGAGAGAGAGAAGATAAATTAGAAGAGAGAGAGAGAGAGGAAGATGTTGATGTCCTTCGAAAATGAACTAAGCTGATTATTAAGGTAAGAATGCGAATTAAGACTAAAAAATAACGACAGGTTTTCGAAAGAGAGCCAGAGGGAGGGATAATGGTGGAAAACTGAGTGAGGGTGAGAGAAGGAGAATGAGAGAGAGTGAGAGAGAGGAAAGGGTTTACTTAGAAATTGAGAAGGCTGATGATTAGCTGGTTCGGTCAGTAATTTGGTTGGAAAGGGAAAATATCCATTGGAATTACAATTATTAAATTATTTACTTTTTCTCTCCCTTCAGTTTACAATCAACAATAAGTTTACATTCGTAGTTGATTTGTCCACCATCATGATCTTCAGCTAAATTGTGACTTCCTCTCTCATGGATACACTTTCACTGACAATCAATAATCATCAATGATCACAATCAGTTAATTTTAGTTTCGCATCTTTTTATCATATTGTTTATCCTTCAAGTTACTTTCATTAATTTGATTTGGTTCCAATTTCCTCTGGATGTGATCTAGTTATTAATGTTAATTACAATTGACAATTAATGAACAATTAACTTGTTGATTGTTGGAAAACTTTTTTTTTTCTTTGAGTGTGTTTTTCAATTGATCTTTATAATCTTAATTGATTCGTTAAATTGTAATTACGATGGTTACATTTGATCCGAACAATAATCCATCGGCTTTAAGTGCTCCAGTCATTTCTATAAGTACAACATGTGAAACAAATAATTCGTTGGGTAAAAGTAACCTTGCCGTTCGTGGCCGTAACCTTTGTTTAACTTATGGTTCAGGTCCGAAAGCTGCCTATGTACTTAATAACCTTTCGATGTCCGTTCCCGCTGGTGGGATCTATGGGCTTCTTGGTCCATCAGGTTGTGGTAAAACTTCACTGCTCAAAATAATTTGTGGCCTTCAACGAGCGGACACTGGGACTGTTCGTATCTTTGGCTGTAAACCAGGTGAACGGGGCAGCGGTGTCCCTGGCCCTGGAATAGGTTACATGCCCCAAGATGTTGCTCTTCTTCCCGATTTAACGGTTGAAGAGATGTTGAGTTACTTTGGTAATTTGTATTATCTTCCCGCTCCCGTGATACGAAAACAGATCAATGATCTGGTCAGTCTACTTGAAATTCCAGATAAAAAGCGTATCATTGAAGCGATGAGCGGAGGTCAACAGAGACGATTATCATTGGCATGTACAATAATCCATAAGCCACGATTAGTGATTCTTGATGAACCAACGGTTGGTGTTGATCCACTTTTATGCTCACGAATATGGGAATTACTTTATGGCCTGGCCAGGGAGGAATCAATGACCATAATAGTGACCACTCATTATATTGAAGAGTGTCGAAGGGCCAAAATGGTCGGTTTCATGAGGAAAGGTGAAATTTTGGAAGAAGATGAACCTGAGGCGATGATTAAACGTTTCTCCGCCGAGAATTTGGAAGATGTTTTCTACAAAATTTGTTTGGCCCAAAAACGTCGCAATACTTTGATAGCCGCACCTTTGGTCAATCGAAAGGCAGTCCAACGAAAGTCACTTTCCGCCGTTGTAATGGACGATTCACATTTAGATAAAGTTGAACCATACAAATCGCCACAAGATTCCCGACCAATTTATTCAGCATTCTGGCCAACCTGGACTCTTTATAAACGTTACTTGCTTCAGGTCAAACGGCAGCCCATTTTTTTGATATTACTCTTCCTGTTTCCGATAACATCACTTGGATTTCTGTACATTTGTGTTGGCCATACACCTAAAGATTTACCCGTTGGCTGGGTTGTTGAAGAAGAAGCCGAGTACGGGTCACTTCACGCTCGACCGGAAGACTTTGACGAGGCCTTCAATTCGTACCTGATACCATATTATCCCGATCTACTGAAAAGCCACATCAACTCACAGATTATAAATCTAATCCCATACAATAGTTTAGACTCTGGTCTAGCGGATGTGCGACGGCTTAAACTGGACGGAGTGATTCATATGACCAAAGGCTTTTCTGAGGCCTTTCATGAGAGGTTAAATTATTTGAGTGCGAAAGATATTGACGATGATACCGTTAAGAGAGGGACAATTAACATCTATGGTGATCTATCGGATGCTTTTGCCATGACCACGATTGAATTGTGTCTTCAATTGTCTCTTCTTGAGGTGATGAATGAAACCGCACCGACGGCTAACCTTCCCTACCATAGTAGGTCACTTCCCTTTCAAATAGGTAAACCCATTTATGGTAATTTAGGTGATAAAAACAATTTCGGCCTTCAAGATTACGCTGCACCGGGTTTCATGGTGGTTGTGCTTTATGGTTGCTCATTAGGTTTATCGGCTTTAAGTTTGGCCGCTGAAGTTGCCGATAAAATGTTTGATCGTAACTATTCAACTGGTATAACAATTGGTCAACTTTTAATTGCTCAAGTTGCCGCTCGTTTCACTTATCTGGCCATTAATTGTGTTCTTGTTCATGTAATAACCATCTTTGTTTTCGGGGTAACAAATCACGGGTCTTTCGGCCTTGGAATTGCACTTTTACTCTTACAAACACTCGTAGGTCAGGTAAACGGGATGGTTTTTGCTGCCGTTTTCCCGGCTATTGAACATTTGGCCTTCGTTGCTCTTGGATCACTTCTCTATATGCTTTTCATTTCGGGTGTTTTCTGGCCTGTAGAGTCGCTCCCTTACTATTTCCGTTACCTGTCGATTTCCCTTCCGTTCACCGAACCCGCTAAAGCGCTGAGAGCGATCATGTTAAAACAAGGAGCTCCTTTCCACCCGTTAATCTGGCCTGGATTCGCTGTGTCAGCTTTCTGGTTCTTTGCGCTTCTCGCTTTATCCTATTTAATATTTTCAATTAAATTCAAACGAACTTGAAACAATTAGAAGATTTAATTTTCCATTAAACAAATCAAACGAAAAATAATCAACATACTCACTTTTATAAATAAATTCATTTGTTAAAAAAACGAAATAAGCAAATAAATTGCCTCAGGCTCTTTATCTTCGAGAAAAGTCATTTCAATCAAATGATTAATCCAACGATTAATTTTTCCATAATCCATGAAATCAATTGATTAGTAAATCTTTTGATCACTTCTGAGACTATTATTTAGATTATCGGTCTTATCCAAAGATGATTAACAATTAAAACTTTTCTGATCAAGTCTTTTTCTCGAGTGACAATTAACAGTAATAAAATAATTTCGGAATAATTTATAGAGTTAATTTCTTACCTTTATCAATAGAATAATTAATTAAGCTTCTAAAGGATTGAATTAATTGAGGTACAATTAGTTGAATAATTAGAATACAAATATTAATAATATAAAAATAGATCAACAATATTGTTGAAATTAAAATTGAAAGTATTGAAAATAAATTTAATTCTTTGATTAATTGATCTAAATTGTTATTAAATTAATTGTTTTTCAGTGATTAACAAGATAATTAGCTTGATGCTTGTTTTCAACTGATTCCTTGTTTAATCAGATTGTTTTTCATGAGATTTTTTCTGTTATTTTTGTTAATCAAATTTCAACGTAAATTAACAAAATTATGCTGATTCTTTTGGTATGATTTTGATGGTTCTCTTGGATAAGAATTTATTTAAGTTAATTGTGATCGTAAACACGCAATTAACTTAATTTCCATAGTGATTATGTTGCTCTTCCTCTATTCTCATCCTCTTTTCGTTTATGCAGCAAGAATTCAGTTAAACTTTTGTCTTTACCAAAGGAAACATTGAGTTGATTATCACTGAAGAAAAAGAAAAAGAAAACATTAATTATGAGGAGTAATTAGTGGAATTTGAATTTCTCTTGAATAATAATAATTACCTTTCGTTTTTGTCTTTAGTTTCTTTCTCCTCGACGGTTTTATCGAACTCATCGTGTTCATATTCTCGATTATCTTCTAGCTCTTTAGTTTGACCAGTGATAACTTTGAAAAGAAGCTTAATGATGAACTAGAGGAAAATGAGAAAAAATTAATGACAATTTAGAGAACAATCAACTCAAATTGAAGGTTAATTTTTCTAAAATTACAAGATTAAAACTTACCGAGAACCAGTAGAGATTCATGGTGAGTAAAATGTAAAGAAGTGAATTGAGGAAAAGTATAAATGGAACTTGAATCCCATTCTGATGAACATAAATTGAAGAGATGAAAATGTTTCTCAATGGGAACCAGTAAAGTCTTGTAATAAACCAAGTAACGGTAAATAATAAGAAGCCAATATTTGCGATTGTCTCAAAGAAATTGATATTCTTGTTATTCTGTCGTTTAAAATAGAGACAAGTTTTGGTTCCTTCCAAAATAATATCACAAGCATCATGAAGAAATATAGCAATTAAACCAGTTCGATGGCACCTGAACACGAGCGAAAGATATGCAAATTAAAATCACTTGAGAATTGAGCTAAAATTTCATCGACACGTAAAAATTGATGAAAATTTCTCTTCATCTTCCAATAATAGTTCTAAAGTAATTCGATATTGGGAAAGTCGAATCAATGATTATTCAATTGGTGTTCAAGGAAACAAAGACGATATAAGATTGGTAATGGACAGAGAATGATGATGACCATTCTTATTAATGTGATAGTTGATATATTACCTAATTGATAGAGTGAAGACAAGAAGAAATGAGGCAACAATATGATGTCCAATTAAGACCAATGAGTCACGTCTCCAATGGTCAACGAATATTGTTGCATAAAGTGAATGGAGATAAAAACCAATTTCAATTAAGAAAATGTTATAAATTTCTTTCGGAATATCAAGTGACATGGAATAATCTGCAAAACAAAGCAAAGGAAATTACTCAATATTATCAGAGAGTCTTGAAAGAAGCCAATTAAACAGAACAATTAACCAAATTGTCAAATTGGCGCGTAAAAATGGTCCAAATTTGTTGATCAGATGCAAAATAACCTGAGAGTTAGTTTCAATTATTATTCCAAATCTAAATTCTAGACTATTGAATAGTTTCATTTTTTTCTCTCCTTTTGCTGATCGGAACTTAATTTTTACCTCGTCATTTCAACGGAAAGAGAGAGATTTCATCATGATGATTACCTTTCCAGACATCGGTTGGTTTATAGAAATAATTTGTTCCTGGTTGCCAGAGTAAAATATATGCAGAGTAAGACCAAGTTGAGAGGTAGAACATGAATTTCCATGCACTTTCAGGTAACTTATCGCTTTCTTGCTTTGGTAACACATAGTAACGAGCAATTGGCTGAGATTAGTGGATTAGGGATGATGACGAAAAGGTCGTTAAAAGAGAAAAGAGAAAAATTAACGGTCGATTATTAATCCAGTTCAAAAAGAGATTAGATTTTCCAGTTGAGATACAAATGGGAAAAAAGGGAAAATATTGATGTACCTTGAAGATGTGACTTGTCAATTGATTTCGTAAAATTGTCCAAAAAATGGCCAAGATAAACATTAGAAGATAATCATTTCGATGAAGGTTAGTTAAGCACTTATTTAAATCTTTAATTGTATCCTCAGGGAAAGAGTAGTTGGTCAGTAATTGGTTAAAATTGTCACGAATAAAATCACCAGATTCCAAAAAGAATAGAAAATAACTTGATGTTGGTTCCCATGTATAATTTGAAGGTAATGAAAAACTGTTCATGGTGGAGATCAACTAAATCACTGAAAAAAAAGAAAAAAGAATTTTTTGTTATTCTAAAGAGAGAGAGAGAGGGAAATATTCATTGGTGATTAATTAATTCTTGTGATAATGACAAATATAAGGAACAGGTAATTGATAAAGAAAGGTAAATACTAAACAGGGAAGTTGATAATATACTGTAAATAGAACAAAATTTTCTGCAAGAGAGACGAAATTAAATACCAATGAAGATTAAAAATGGATGCAAATGGCGGAAAAGAAGATGAAGAAGAAGAAGAAGACGAAGGAGACAGAGAGAGAAGAATGGACTGAATAGAATTTCAGAGATCAGAATGAAATCAGAAAGATATTCTTTTTCTGGAAAAATGCTTCTCATTGATTGGTGCCCATTGGAAAAATATCCAGTCTCAAGCTGAAAGTTTCTACCAGTAAGAATAACAGGTTAGATATTCTGTTGAGAGAGAAAAGTGAACAACCAATTAAATTAGATTAAAATTATAGATCAGTTAATCATGAAATTTATCAATGATACCTTAATAAATTGTAATGACTTTCTGAAAATCTGATTCAGTCCTTCAAACTTACTTTTCCTCTCTAATGATAGTAACAAGTGTAACAATTTAAATCGGTTCACTCATTTCCCATGTTTACTTACCAATCGTCTCTTAAATCTCCATATAGCAACCTTAAAACAATTAGATAAATTTTTCCATTAACTAAAAAAAAAGAAACAAAAAAAAACACTTAACATAGAATCAAATTAAAAAAAATAAACAATAACAATCTTTTCAATCTGATTAATTAAGCTTATTAGATTGTCTTTCTTACCTTTGATTCCTTGTTGTGAAAATTTTATCAATATCGTTGCTAATTAAGCTAATTAAGCTTTCAAAATACTCAATTGGTTGTAGAAAATTAATCCAACAATTAAGATACTAAAAAGAGAAACCAAATTAACGATTAACTGAGATTTTAAAAGAAAAAGAAAAGAACAATTAACTTAAAAATTTTAAGTTAAAATTCTTTTTAGACAACAGAGGGCGACACATGTAATAGAACAAAAATTTTCTCTTTTTTTCTATTGATAGATTTGAATTTTTTGTTCTCTCTGTTAATTTGGTTTCTTCCTTTAAATGTTGTAGTTAATTGTTTTTACATTCGTTTTTAATTGACGTGGTTAGTTGACCAAATTATTATTTAATTAGTTTTAGTAAATTATAATTCTTGGAATTTAATGTGATTGAATTATGTTCCGATCAGAGAAACAAGTTCCCATTGGGTTGATTGTGGGTTTAGGTGCTGCTGCTTCGGCTGCTTTAGCTGCTTTTTATGTGCTAACCAGGAAGGAAGATGAAACCTTTGACCTTGACCCTCGATTGGAAGCTCCCACTTCGGTACCTGCTTCATTTCAATCAGTACAATCAACAACAGTCCATAAACATATACCTAGAGAGGCAATTGGATCGGTTATTGGTAAAGGTGGTGAAAATATCCGATTAATACAAAGGAAAACCAATACTAAGATCATTTGTTCAAATGGCAATTCAACTGTTGATGATTTAGATCGTACATTAGTTATTAAAGGTTCTCCCTCGGGTACTTTAGCTGCAGATGAGTTAATTGATTCCATTATTGAACAATCCTTGGCATGTATTGTTCATAGAGTTTATATTTCTCCCAGTGAGGTTGGTTTAATCATTGGTAAATGTGGTTCTACCATTAAAACAATTTCAGAAGAATCTGGAGCCAAGGTTAATATTCCAAAGAATCTCAAAGGATCAAGAAATCAACATGTAGCAATTGAAATTAGAGGTAAGTGTTTGGTTAATTTTTTATAGAAAAATTTACCCTTTTAACCCATTTAGAGATTTGATCATTATTACTCAAATTACCATCTAATCATTTTGTCAATTTTATTTCCTTTTTTTCCTTCAGGTGAACCGGTTAGCGTACAAACAGCAGTTAAAATGATCAATGCAAAGTTAAAATCAAGCAGATCGATGAGATCACCATCTTTTAACAATAGTCCAATTGACAATTACCGTAACGGAGATTCATCAAGTTATATTAATTTTGTACCAACATATATAAATATTTCCTCCGTTGGTATTGATAAATTTGAAAGACTCGAGTCCGAAGTGACAAATGGTTGTGAAAATGTTTATGTGGCCAGTGTACAAAGTCCGTCAAAATTTTGGGTCCAGCCGTGTGGTACAATAAGCGCTGACCTTGACCGTTTAATGATTGACATGACTGATTATTATGAGAAAAGTGATAATCAAATTAGAGCTCGATTAAATAATTTTAAAATCGGTGATATTGTAGCAGCTCCGCTCAAAGGTGATGAACATTGGTTCAGGGTGAAAATTGTAGCTCATGATAATAGTAAAGGTCAACCTGATGAAGGTGAAGTAACTGTATATTACCTTGACTTTGGCGATGAGTCAATTGTTCTAGAGACGCAGATATGTTCCCTTCATGAAGAATTTTTAAATCGTTTGAACTTCCAAGCAATTGAGTGCTCACTTTTTGGCGTTGAACCCATTTCAAGTGATTGGAGTGAAGAAGCCATTAACTATTTTAAGAAAACAGCTCGAACTTCACTTTGGGAAAAAGTTTTCGTAAAAACTCACAAAATAATCAACATAGATACTGAACCTCGCCAACATTATGTCATTGAAATGTTAACTCTTCAAGGCTCAACCGACATCAGTATTGCTGAATCTCTGATTGAGAAGCGATTTGCTGTTCCCACCGATGAAAGTTAACCTGTAAATTAATTAATCCACCATCAGAATCACTCCCAAGATTAAAAAAAACCTTTTGTAAATCTAATTAGATACTCTACTCAATCTCTCTATATATATTGTGGCCTAATCATCATTAATGTTTACCCATCTTCTTAAATTGAATGTAATCTAATTTTCTGTCAACCCTAAAATTTTTCTCAACTCTCATTGGAGTTAATTTTCTTGTCTTACAATCAAAATTTTGCCAAGTATAATTTATTATTTAGTATTTAATTTAGCTTTTCCAAAGATTAACAACTAAAAATAGTTACATGGGAATCAAGTCAATTACATCCTTGGTTACCAGATGAAAGGAACAATTGAAAGAACATCAAACAATTTAAACGCAGAAAATTTGGTTAATCAAAGATTAATTGGATTCCAATGTTGAATTGATGTTCACTGTGATAATCTAATGCTCATTTTTATCCAAATATATTGATCATTCAAAGATTGGAGTAATGAAGAAGAGGAGAAAAACAAAATTAGTTGATATTATGTGTGAGTGTTTAAAATTTTATTTGTCAAGTCAAAGATGAAAATGTTTGTCTTTTTGTTCCGATGGTGAAACAATCAACTAATTTCTATGATAACTGTTAATTGTGTCTCTTCACAAGCCCCATGGATCCATCATCATCTCTGGCTCATCTTCCATCTCAATTTCTGGCGATGACATTACCATTCCAACCATTGATTTAGTCTTTGAATATTGTAAATCATCTTTTTTACCCATATCAATGATTCGTATCCTAGGAACTTTAATTATCTTCTCCATGGCAATAACTTTCGTCTTCTCACCACCACCACCACAATTACAATTACACTTTCCACCGGTTGGATAAGCCTCCCAATCATCACCACCACCGCCACCGCCGCCACCTCCTTTATCTTTGCCCATTTTACCAGCACTTACATTGGTTATGGAAAAACACAAACAGAAGCAAAAAGCGATCACAATTAATTTTAATTTTAATCTCATCTTGATGATAATCTCTTCAACTATAATCAGTTTCAATTATGACAACCTCTCAGCACCACTTTGATTATCATCTTTCACTTGACAGCTCAACCTTTCCCCAATTAGAGACAAAGACAATTTTTTTTTACTGCAATTTGATCATCTTTTTTTAATCGTAATCAAATTATGCAAAAATGATTAACCTTTTTTTGCCCAGATGAACTTGAATAAGCGTTTCTTTTGTTGATGGTTAATTAATAACTTTCTTTAGCTTAATTGTGATCATAAAAAAACCAGCTAATTTCATCTTTTATTGGAGCAATCAACAATCACACTTTATGATTAATTACAATCATCACCAATACAGTGGTGATTTATTGCAACTTGAAGGGTACAATTAATGTTTACAATTAAAACTAAAATGATTACCTTTTAATGCCAATGACCTGAAATTATGTATAAAAAATAAGAAAGTAATTAAATTTAACCAATTCAGTCCAACAATCAATGACTCTCTTGATTCTCACTTAATTTGATTGAATTTTTTTCTTCTCGCAATCATCACAATTAACTTTCTTCAACAATTAGTTGGAATAATTTTTTTTCTTTCAATTCTGGTAAAGAATCTCAACTTTTCAAATATGTTAAAATCTCTAATTGTGATCAACTTAATTCTGTTAATTAACATGGTTCTCGCGGGTTTTTTCGCACAATTTAATCTTCGCCGTTGGTTAATTAAGGACAATTCCCGACGTAGGTCAATGATGATGCCGATGATGATGAATTCGGGGAAAAGCTCAAAAGGTGAGGACGAAAGTGAAGATTCTGAAGATGAATCAATGGCCGATTTTCCAATGGAAAGTGTCATTCAAGATTCATGGGGCTCGGAATCAAGTCAATCTAATCAACAATCGTCATGTAATTGTAAGTGTAACAATTAAACTCTTGAATTGGAGTCAAGTTGAACTGTCCAATTAAAGAGTTAATCTTGTTTTGTTCATTAAACTTAAATTGCTCTCAATGAAATGCTAACCCTTGTTTTCATTTCAATTATTGTTTATGGTTAATTTGTTGTTCAGTTTAATTGTTTGGTGTTAATTGTGTTTCCAGGTAATTGTGGCGGTGGAGGAGGCAAGGGAAAGAAAGGTAAGAAAGGTAAAGGAGGTGGAGGGACAATGGCGATAGTTATACCCAAGTAAGTAAATTGTTACTAATTGATTGTGATCTAAATCGTTACAATTAAAGAGACAAATGTAATAACAATCAACTGTTTATAGAAATCTTTGTATTGGTTGTGAAAATTGTGACAATAAGAATGAAATTAAAGTTGTAATTTGGTATTGGTTGATTTTCTATTACTTTCCTTTGATTAATTAACCAAATTAGTCGCTAATTAGATCAGTTAATTTAATTTTCTTTCCACAATTAGGTATGAATATTTTGACGTTCCAATGGCAAAGGAAATCGAAACTGAAAGTTTGGGTAAAGTCACTGAGAAATCAGTGACTTCTGGTTGGGGCGATAAAGGAGATTCTGGATGGTAATCAACAATTAGTTAATTGTTCGTCGTTTAATTACAATCATTTACATGGAAAATGATCAATGAGTAAAGAAATGGAACTTGGTTTTTAAATAGAAATTGAAAATTCAAGAATAATCAAAAGTACAAATCATTATAACGATTTAGCTTCAAAGTTAATCACGAAATAAATTGATTAATCAAATTGATTTGATTGTTTTTATCCTTTATTTACTTTTTTTTCAATTGATTTATTTAATTAGTTTAATACTTGCGATTCATAAAAAGATGATAATTAGCAAAGGGGATGCAGAATGATGATTAAAATTGTTTACGAAAATGTAGTTCGATTGGGAAGAAAAGTCAAATCAAGTTAATTGTCGATTATTGGGGTTAACAATTAAGGTAAAGTTGAAGATTATTGGGCAACTTGATTGAGTTTTACAATTAGATTTCTTCCCTTTCATTTTTCACAATTTAGTTATGGGAAATTTTGTTTTTAAATATTATCATGTCAGTGAAAGATTGAGGAAACAATTAATTGTGATGATAAAACAATTAACTAATATTTTGATGGGTATGGATGAAGATGAACACAAAAAGTAAATGAGAAAAGGAATAGAAAGTTAATTGTTTTTGATTTAAATTTGTGATTAATAATCAAAAACGTGAAAAACGTTGAGTTTTATGATGTATTAATAGTTGTGTGGGTCAATCGTTTATGTTGATTGTGGTCAGCAAAATAAAAACAATCTGATCTTGTTCAGCTCATTGGCACATGAAAGCAATCGGGTTGTAAATAGTATTAATTGTAGCTCTAATCGCCATCAAGTAATCATCAGAATCAAGATGATCCAGAAAGAGGGAATGTAATAAAAAGGAATCATTTAGTTGGATCATCCATCGATTTGATTTAGTAAAATCCTTGAGTAAAATAATTTAAATCCTTGTAATTGTGTAAATCCAGGAAAAGAGAGAGTGAGAGAGAAAAAAGGAGATTTAAATCAGTAACAATTAGCGGCGATTACATGTAAGTTATATGATGAGGATCATCTAACGATTCCATTGACGAGCTTCGGCTTTTCATGTTGTTAATTGCAGATACGGACAAAAGTACGGTGACAACCTGTAGATAATCATGATGGAGAAGATGAAAACAATTAGAATTGACAATTCTTAAAATGGTTGGAAAATGTTGTAACCCACAAAAGGTTAAATATATATTACAATCAACACCCAATTCTTAATCACAATTCAACCTAATCGAGACTTAATTGTAACTTGTTCTAACGGAGTAATAACCGTAAGACTATTAATCTTTTCATAATAATAACACAATTATGATTTGTGGTGAATAAAAAAAAACAACAACAATCAAAAATTTCAAGATGAATCAAGTTAATCTATTTTTTAACCATTAACTCATTTACCTTGTTAATGGTGACAATTAACCTCAACTGTTAACTATTTTTTTTCCTTCAGCTAATATATTTTTACCACTCCAACAATTTACAGATGATAAACAATCAGTCAATCACAATTGTCAAATACTTTAAATATGTTTTGTTGATTGTTTCTCATTTTGATTGATTATTTGTCAACATTAAGTTCAAGTTTAATTGTGATCAATTGATGATAATATAATTAGCCATTTTTGTAGGTGAATTGTGAAAGGTTGAGGTTTTACAAATTGTGATTAACTAATTGTAGAATCAGCTTGAGATTTTCTTGTTTACCTGGAACAATAAGAATCCACCAAAAGTTGAAATCCAAATCAATTTATGCTTGTAAATCCAATCAACAAGTTTGTCTTTGCAACCAGACTAAGAGGATAGATAAAGATACAATTAGTTAATTACGATTAGGTGACAATTAGTTGACAATTACTTACTTCATGGTAAATTGCTTCACTACTCATTGGATTAGATGATGGAGATGAAGTAAATCCTAATTCTTTGGGGATAATTGAGTAACATGATTTATCGGTCTCCTCAGTATTATGGGCAAACTCTTTGGGACCAGTTAATCCACAACATTCAAGCTAATTAATTAATAGAGATTGGAAAATTAAATAACCGTAACAATTTAGAAACACAATCAAATATAATAATAATAAAAGTCACGATGATTTAACAATCAAAATCAGTTTGATTATTGGTCTCATTTTAAATGATGAAATCATTTCTTTTCTCGGGATAATAATTTTCTTTTGATTGTTACAATTTTAATCCAATTTACCTGAGATTGAATTAAATTACGAGTTCGTTGATTCATCTCATTCCAACCTTCCTCTACGATCTCAGTTACTTTAGCACGTAAAATCGATAGCGATATGATTCCTCCAATTTCCGCTGCGATTGTCAATACCGATAAAAATAGAAACTGTAATTGCAAATCAATAAGAATGAGAGAGAAATTAAATTTACAATCAAATCAATTTTAAATTGTAGTGTTTTACCAATTATTATCAATGAAACAAGTGTAAACAATTTACTGATCGTCAACTTTTACACTTTAAACTCAATTGATTTGAAAAAAAAGGTAAACAGTTAATGTGATTACAATTTTATCGTGATTCTTGTTAAATTAACTTGTTGCTTTCTATCAATTCTGTTGATTGTTAACTTTGGAATTGAACAATTTGAACAAAATCAAACTGGATTAAAAAATCACATCGTGACCAAGATCACAATTACATCAACACTTGATTAATTTAACAGAAAAAAAAATTAAACTGAAGTTAATTTTAAATGATTAAGTGATTATCAACAACAACAACACCTAAAGGGAGTTGTCCTGATCAGAAAAAGTAACAATTTAAAAGTTTATATTGATAATCAAACAATTAATCGTAATAGAAAGTTTTTTTAACTGGATTAGTTAAAAAGTTTTAGCCACAATCAAAATCAACTAATTGTACTTACCAGTTTTAACATACATCCACCACGTCTATATGAACCCATCCAACCCAGAAGACCTGATAATTAATGGTGAACAATTAAAGATCGTGTTAATTAAGATTAATCTTAATCAAATATTGAAAGTAATCAAGTAATTCAGTTACCATTGGTGAAAAGTAAACCTCCAAGTCCCAAGAAAACGTAAATGATGGGCTATTATAATTAAAGAAAAAGAGAAAATAAATATTAATCATTTTAATTAATAAATCAATTTTTTGATAATCAAATTAATTGGTTGTCAAAAATTAGAGTGCAAATGATAAAAATATACAAACATAATTGAAGAAAACAGTTAAACCCTTTCAACTTGATTAGATTTTAATTGTTGATCAAGTGAAATTGATTTTTCCAAGTTAATCTTATTGTTGATATTTACTTTTTTCTGTTCAATTGGTAAATCAATTTTCAGTCTCAATTTAATTGTTTTATCGAGAGAGAGAGAGAGAAAATAAAGACAATCATTTGATGAGAAAGTGATTAATTATTGAGAAAAGCAAAGTAATTAACAATCAATATTATATCAGTTTTTGAATAAACACTAATATTGACCTGGAAAATAAGGAAATTGGTGTAAGGTGAATGCAAGGGTCAGTTTACACTGTCCAGTGATCTCAACAAACCGTAAAGTTGAATGTTAATTATCCGGTAAGATGACCTTAACATGGAGTAATTCACATTTCCGGTAATTTATGTTGATTAACTTAATTGTTATGAAAGAAAATGAGTTTGAAAAAGAATTGGAAATATTTCAAAACAATCAATGTAATAATAACATAAACTCACTCGCTCTCATTGAAATTTGATTGTTGCTTTGATTTTAATTGCGATATCGAGAAAATTTATTAATTGCAATTAAGTTATTGGCCTCTGATTGTTTACTTGTTTGTGATTAAAGTAAAAGAAGATATTATTTCAATTAAAGTAGATGAAAAAATTAAAATGAGGCTATTTGAGATTAGGGAATAATAATATAGTTAAAACTAATCATTGATCTGATTGGTGATTATTTAATCTTCCAGCAATTAATAGCATGATAATTAAACTTATAGCAATGCGGAACTACAATTATCTGAATGAAAAAATGTATCATCATATAAATTATTGAATAATAATTTGAATCAACTAATTATTATGACTGTTGATAAATATTACAATTAAAAGATCAAGGATATTAATTGAACAAATATTGATTCATCAAAGTGGTGGATTAATCAAACTTTAGGATTTCCTGTTGATAAATTCAAACTGAATTAACTTGAGTCACTTTGTTTAATTTAATCAAGCAAATTGATCAACACAATTAAGACAATAATAGTAATTGATTGTAATTGTTTGGCAACATTATCATGAAAGGTAAAATTAATTCAAACCAAATGAATCATTTAATCAATGCAACTCATCAAACATAATCATTAACCTTAAACTTCAATTGTAATTGTTAATGAAAGTTTACAATTAACAATTAAAAGGGTAACAAACTTAATTTGGCAAAAGTTTTCACTTGAACCGGAAGATGATTAAGTTAATCAACAGTTTAAATCTTAGAAGGATTTTACTTTTCCATGAAAATAATTCATGGGATTGAGAAGGAACGAAATTGATATTCATTTAATTGTTACGATAACAATTGTAATCAGCATGATTCCAACAATGAACAATTTGTACAAATACAAACTCGCAAATCGGATGGTTAACTTTCCATTGTATTTGATTTGCCAGAATGGAGATGAGACTTTATTACTATTGCGGGTGGTGAGAGTGACAATTAAGAGACAACAATCAAAGTGAATTTAAATTACACCAAGAGAAATACAATCATCACTTTTGATCATTGATGAAAAAGAAAACTTAAAATTGGAAAAAAATTTCCAAACTAAATTAAATTTCTCAGATACTTTAACCAAATTGATGTTACAATCAAACTTACAATTGTTGTCAATTGTTATTATGATTAAATTATTATTATTGTCATTAAATTTGGTTATGTTTACTCGTTGCGATCAACAATCAAGGTTAATTGTGTTAAATTGCCTTGAAAATAATAATCCTGTGGTTCTCAAGTACATGAGATGTTTAATTCAAGTCTTATTTTTAAATTGTTGAAATAATCTAAGCTAATTTGGTTGATTGATCACAAATTTGAGTGGTAAAATTAACAATGTAACAATTGAATTAACAACAGTTACTATGATATTCAATCATCTTTACAGTTATGATTCACTAATTGTTTACTCAATTTATCGCGAAAATATTGATTGATACAATAAGCAATTTAGTCTGAACAAGTAAAATCAACAAATGGAAATGATTAAAATTGAATTAAGCAAAACTAACAAGCAAACGATTAACAGTTAATTATTTTAGTTAATGATAAAAAATCTCGCTAATTCAACCATTCAGATAAATCATATTACCTGTCAAACTGATAAAAAAAAGTTAATTTAACTGATTAGTTGATTGGATAAGCAATAAAAAAAAGTTCAACTAAATCAAATTTAAGATTGTTTGTAAATCACAATTGATTTGGAATCAAGATGATTAAGATAAACGGATTAAGGTCCATTTTTGAGTTATCCCAAATGTTGACCTTGAAATGAAAATTTGACCCAAATTCAATATGTCATCATAGTAATGATGATGATGACATATTTTCACAAATCATCAGCATCAATAAAAAAAACAAATAGCAAAGTTTTTAAGCCCAAATCTTAATTGTCAAAATCTAAATTTAATCAATTCAGCTTAAAGATTGTCATTAATATCTAACTGATAATGACAGTAAAAATCAAGGATTCAAATGACTTGACCTGAGAGTAAAAGCTAAAAAAGGATTAAGATGATGAGGATAAGCATTAGACAAGATTAAGGATTAATGTAAAAAAGAAGTTGATTTTTTATTGAAAAAAACAAACTAAAAACATGAAACCAGTTTCATGATGAATATTAAAAAACTCAGGCTATTGAAATGAGCAGCAAATTTTGAACGGGACGGAGGATCAGGGGACTCAGAATTGGGCTTAGATCAGTTTATCGCTTGAGGCTGGGCGTGAGTAGATTACCCCAAAAGTACAATTAACTAATTGTCAGTAGTTATAGGAACTGATTGCTTGATAATTACATAACAATTGGGTTAGGAAAAGTTCAGGATCAGACTAAATTTTTTATCCTCATCGTTAATCAATATAATCAACAATTTCATTGATCATTTAGTAATAATTGAAATTAAATTATGTTATCGGCTGTCTGATTATGTTAACACATTGAAACAATTAAATAATTTTGTTTAGTTTAATGTCAATAATCAGATAAAACTATTAAAAAGCCAATCCTTTTTTTAAATTGTGATTGAAAACTAACTGATTGATAAAATATTAAAAAGTTAATTGTTGGGGAGAAATCGTATTATCAAAAGTTGTCAGATGAATCCTATTAATTGTTTAATCCTAAATTATTGATCAAGTGATGATGGACAATTTAATCAACCATTAGAAACATTAATTGCGAAGTAGGTGTAATTGATTCATCGTTTTTTCGGAAAGAAACTGAAAGATTAATATGAAAAAGAAAATGAATCAAAATGAATTTTCTCATCATGAACACCTTACCCTGTAATCATGTTCACGATTGATTATTCATAGGAATCAGTTTTTCATAACAATGATTAAGCTTCCGCTTTTTTTGATAATAATTGTTATTGGAAGCGAAAACTAATCAACTTTTTTTTCCCACTCACGAAAACTTTTCAATTCTGATTTCTGAGCTTTATTATTATCGGAACAACAATTATATCAACTATAGCTGATATAATATTGTTGTTAGTTTCTGATTGTTGGTGGTATCATTATTAACTATTATTAGTTAATTGTTAACATCTACCAATCCAATTGAATTGAAAGTTAACCAATAACAACAAATATCAAAAGTTATCTTGTATTTAGAGATATAATTAATATTTACAATTGCAAAGGTAAATAATATTACAACAACAGTTAAGGTAAGAGAAATGTTGATTGTTTGGGTCTAACTAATCAAATGAAAAAGCTTGAAATCTATAAGAAATTGATTGTAATCAATTTTGATACACTTTGATTTGTATTTTCAGCCATTCAAATCAGTTTAAGAATGAGAAAAAAAAACTAATTGTTAATGGTTGATTATCTTAATTTTAAAGGACTGGCTTTTCACCTGAGGGTCAAATATGAATATCATTATTATTATTATCGGTTTTATGATAATCAAAGTTGAATTATGTATGAAACGGGATTGAGAGAAAGATATTTGCTATTCAAGGTTGATCTAATTGTGGTGTAAAAAGTTTCAAGTTAATCATGTAAATTAAAAACTCATTAAACTCACCAAACCCCGTAGAGAGGCTAAAATATTATATACAACTAATAGTTTCATTCAAAGTTATCGTTAATTTCAATTCAGTTCATCATATTATCATCATGACCCTGATCTTGATACACTTTGATTATTCATCCTACATTTGTCCAATTCAATGTGCCCTTAAATTTGTATTTTCAACAACAATTTAAACAAATTGTAACGAAACGATGATACAATTTTACAAATGAAAATTTAACAACCAATTAATTGATTGATGATAATTTAATTATCTATTTACCGTTGTCCCGTTGAAAAAGTTCTTGGCTGTTGATGATGTACTCAGAATCCATAATGTAAACGCAATTAAGATGCTCCCAAGAAACTAAAATAGTAAAAGAGATGAAGAAGAAAAAAATTAAGAAGTTATTACAAAATTAGATTGAAAATTTAAGAGGTTCAACAATTAAGGTGAGTTAATCAAACGAAATTTAATAGTTAATTGTAATCAGGGTGTAGATATTGTTAGATTGATTAATAAAAGTGTGTATATGTGTATGTGTATATCCTGGTTGATTTAGTTATCATGAGATTGTGAGAGTTGATTGAATTAAACAAATCTTCAAATTTCAAGTTAATCATCAAAGATAATGAGTGACCTAATTTTATTTATAATCAGAGTTTATTGTTTATAAATTGAAATGATTTAAATTGTCATTTGAAAGTAAATCAAGTTAAGGCCATTTTAACGGTTCGATTGACAAAACAATTCCAATCGCCTGAATAACCATGATGATGATGTAAATATATCAGATTCACTAAATTAATCAATAATAATCAGGATGATGTTCAAATCAGTGAAAGGGAAAATTTTAAGTTAACATGATTAACTTTAACTGTTTATCATTTGTTGTTGATAAAATAATAAGTACCCAGTTAATTGTTGTGATAAATTGAAATTACAATTAACAATTTTTAGCATAAATTTCATTCAAAAGTTAAGTATGATCATCGATGAATCCATCATCTTGAATGTTTCTATTTGTTTAAAAAATCTTCTTAATTGTTGTTCAATTCACAGACAATCAAAGGTAAGAAAACAGTTATCACCATCATCATGATGAATATCAGCTCAATCTAAAAATTTAACAACTATTTTGGTAACAATAAAGTTAACTGTTAAATCATGATGTTATATTTATACAAGTTATATAAAATAAATCACAATCAACAATTAAACATTCACAATCAGCAATCAGATGATGGTGATGAGCAAAATCATTTGCATTGTTATAAAACAATTTACTGATCTAGATTTAGGATTTTGATTAAAAAAGTGAGAAACAGATGATAATATGAACAATTAACAGTTGATATTGAAAACCATAACCAACAATCAAATTGGATGAATAAATTATAAGTAAATTATATGGAAAAAGTTTAAATATGTCTAGTTAATCATAAATATCACAATCATCATTAACTAATGGTCATTAAACATCATCAAAATGGACAATAACAATTAGCAGAAAGAAACATCAAAAAGAGATAAAGTTTTTTTTTCTTCTAGTGATATAACTGAAAATGATTGTTGATTGTTGTTCTAAATTGTAATAATAATAATGATAATAACAATGAAGATGATGATGATGATAAAGAAGATGATTTTTCTCGGGTTACTGTAAAAAAATCATAGTAAAATTAAATAGGAAAAGGTCAGTTACCCGATAAGAAGATGAAACTGGTTTTACCTTTTTTCTTTCATCTTCTACCTGATACCTGGAGCATAAAAGAAAACGTATTCACGGTAGTATGTTAACTTGGAATTTGCAAGTAACCAGGTCATTAACGGCTTTTGGCCGGGTATCGACAATGATACACCGACACTGGCCTGAGAATAGTCGAGCGTAACCTTTCAATGAGTTAAACTGGTACTGTGACTTGGGTTACACTTTTTGATTGTTTTTCATTTTGGTCAAAGTAACAATTAACTAATTGATAGGTTACATTGGGCTACTGTTAATTGTGATGATACTCTAATTAAATCAATATCTAGATAAGATCAGACTGAAAAGCCTTACGGCAATTGTAATGATCGTTAACTTTAATAACAAGGTTACCTTAATCATTAAAGAAATAATAGTTTTGTTAATCATTTGGATAGAGTTCAATTGTTGTTATGTATAATTAGGTAAAACAATCAGTTGTATCATAATGATAATTAACTATTAGATTTTATAATTAGTAAGTATTTGTGGTTAACCTTTACAGAGGTAATTAAAAGCTTCCCAAATGATAATTAATCTTGAAAAATTAACTGATGATGGGACTAATTGTAAGCATCAATAATTTAAAACTATCAACAAAATCAGAACTAAACAGTGAAGCTTTGATATTGTATTGTAACAGTAAAAAAAATTAATCAATTGACCATCAATCAAGTTGATTACAAGAGATAAATATTTACTTAATCATCACCATGGTCACTATTGTGTCAATAGTTAATCATTGAGATAATCAAAGTGTTTGACAAGAATACAAAAAAAAATTGATTAAACAATTGGTCAGTTAAATTGTGAAGGTAATCATAAGGAGACAGTTAAATGTTGAAATTAAAGGTGCAATCAAAATTAGCCACTTGGCTTAATCCAAATGTCAACATTGGAATCAGATTAAGAGGATTAAGTGAAAAAAGTAAATTTAAACCTCGTTCATTGTTACAAACTTGTGTTAATTGTTGTTGGTTAATCACTTTTCTTCAGGTTAATCGTTTCGGTGTGATTATCTTTCGATTGATTAATTTACTCTCAATAAGCATCGCATCAACGAGAATGGGAAGGACAAGTTATGATATTTTCAATGGAGTTTTTATCAAGAGACAAAACTTATTGAATGACAGGACCAACATGATGATCACTAGTTTTTTCAGAAATTCAGCCAATGTATCAACAATTTGGATCGGATTATCTCTTAATCTTCCTCTCCTTCTCAGCTCATTGGATTTACTCTGGTTTCATTTACCGTTCATAGAAAACACTACGATAATCAAAGAGCAACGGATCGAATTAATCAAAGCTAAACTAATACTTGCTCTAAGCTATGGAGCTGAATATTCATTTCGAATTGCAATCAAGTTAATCTATCCAACATTCAGTAATAATCCTGATTCGTTAATTTTTACCTTTTCGTATTATAATTCTAATTATGTAAATTATACCGAATCTATTTAACTTACATTTTACTAGTGATTAATATTTTCGTCTCTTCAGGATTTAATTATATTGCAAAACAATTAGAATCTGTTGATAAAAAAACTAACAATTTAGGTGAACCCAAATTGTTTACAGTATTTACTTATAATGGATCAATTTGGCTTCAAGATTATCGGAAATCGTTTGAATTGCTCAGTGAAATGATCCATGTTATCAATACCACTTTTAGTAGTTATCTTTTCATCAGCTATTTTACAGTTATTCCTATTGGGATAACTGTTATTTATGATATAATGTTCAGTCAAATGGAGTTCAAGTTATATCATGTAGCTGATATTACCATTTACTTCATTCATATTCAAATTCTAAACTATTATTTAAGTTTATCTGCACAGAATTCAGAGAAAATTTGGAATTCACTTTATAGATTAACGTTAATCAGTAAAAATGATTCATTACAATCTGAGGTTAGTGTTGATTTTGTTTCTCTTTCCAATTATTGCCAAAATAGAAACTGGTTGTTGCTCTGATTACCTTGATTAAATTACGTTCATGATAATTTTCATCTTAATCTTGATTAATTTCAATTTCTATCTCCGTTACAGGCTACCTTATTCATGAGTAGAGTTGTTCATCTACCTGTTGGAATTAAGGTCTCAGATCAGTTGATTACATTTGGAATAGGACCAAGTTTAATAGCTGTTGTTTTTACCGTTTTCGTATCGATAACTTCACTTAATTCGGTTTTCTTGAACAAACCAACAAACTCAACAACTACACAAGCATGAGAAGTTCTTACTAATCTAATCAGAAAATCTACCGATGGAAAAAAAAGTTCAACATATGAAATTGTAACGGAGAGAAAAAGTGAGAAATCAATTAAACAGAAATAAATTAGAGAAAAAAATGTAATTGGTCAATTTGATGTTAGAAAAAAAGAAAAGAAAACCTGTTGAAAATAAACGTAAACACTTGAATGTGCAACTGTAGAAATGGATAAAAAGAGATACAAGGAAAAGCTCATATGGTGAACAAGAGATGGAAAGAAGGAGAAGAAAAAGAAAAAGAAACAAGAGAAACAAAAATGGCCGAAAAGTCCATTGACGGTTTGGTAAAGGCCGAAGAGAAAAAGAAAGAAAGAGAAAAAGAATAGAATAAAATAGAAAATAGAAAACGGATATTATCAATTTCAGAATCTAATCATAATTGTGTCGATAGTTAATTGAAATGACATTGAGATGGTATATTTGTTGTTACTTTTGGAAAATTAAGAAAATGACAAATTCAATCTTGACAACAAGTAAATCACAATTTTCCCAATGGATTAACATTACAAAGAGAGAGAGAAACTGTTTTACCAAAAATGGTTACTAGTTATTTAACAACATTTAGAGAAAGATATTAACCAATATGAATATATAACACATATAACACATTATTTATTCCAATGAGAGATATAAAGGAAGGAAGAAGAAGCAAAATAGAATAGAATTTGAAAAAATAATAATGGAGGAAGAAAAGGGAGAGAGAGAGAGAGAAAACTAGGAACTAGAAAAGAGAAATAGAAATGAAAGATTTAGATAAAGGGGAAAATGGAGAAATTGGTGCAAACAGATATGGATTATGACTTTTTGAGAGAAACTTATTAGTCATAATTAGTTAATTACACACACAATCAAAGGGAAACAAAGGAGAGAAGAATATGAGAAAAGAATAAATTTCCATAACTTACCCAAGTAGCAAAAGCCAACATACAAACTAAATGTTTAACAAAAGCTCTACAACAACCCATGGTTATGGTGATATTAATCTGGATTAACGGTTAATCAAAAGTGGATTTAAGACACACACTGTAAGGTGAGAATGTTGAAGAGAAGGTAAAAAAAATAAAGGTAAAGATGTAAAAACATAAGAAAAGATTAGAGAAAAATTGAAAAAAGAATAGAACATTTTTGTTCCATGTTCTTTTCTAAAATTATTGTATCCAATTATTTGTTCTTCAAATTATAATCGAATACACAACAAAAAGAAATTAATTGATTGTTGAATTAGTGAAAATTCTGTGACAATCAAACGTGGAGAAAAGTTAATTGTTGATAGTTGAAAACACTTACAATTAAGGAGAAGAGAAATAAACAGTTGATGTAAATGTTTTTCTCTCTTTAAGGTAAAAGATATTTTGATGTTTCCACAACCGAAGATAAACTTAAAGTGGCGAAAGAAAAAAAAACTCTAAACAACATTTTCTCTTTAATCTTTCTCTCTCTTTTTCTTCTCTCTCTCTCTCTCTTCATCTTTTTTTCTTCTCTTTCGAAAATGTTCTATTCTCTTTCATCATGAGAACAGCAAAATCGCTCCAAAAGGCTCAGAATATTATTTCAAATTCTATGGAACAACCGATCGCCCACCAAAAAGCTTCTCATCAAATTCTCACCTTTTCTCCTTTGGTGGTTTTCCTTTTTTTCTTCTCTTCAATTTGTTTCATTTTCTTTTCTTCCAAGTGTCTTAATTATCTTCTTCTCCAATTGTTGATCATCATCTTCTTCTTCTAGTGATTAACTACAATTCCATAATTGTGTAACTATCAAGTTCATTTCTATCAATACACTTTTGGATTGTTGTTTTGTTGTTGTTCACTTTGGGCTTTTCCTTAGGCCTTTGGGTTCACTTGGATTTTTTTTCTTTTTCATTTCAATTGTTCATCTAATTGATTGGGATGGTAACAGTTACCATTTAATTTACTTTTCTATCTCTTTTTTAATTGTGTGTTTACCTTTTTTTTTGTTTTGTTCTTCATTCTTTTTCTTGTTCCTTTCATTTTCTCTTCTGTCTATAAATTGTGTTATTTTCTTACAAACAACATTATAGATTTGGATTATTTGGATCATCAGGGAATTGAATTTCTCTCTCTTTTTATTGAAGCTTCAATGGTCTGGAAAAATGGCTACAATTTAATCTAATTAACAGTTTTCCATTTTTCTCTAATTAATAATTGTTACCTGTTTTCCACTAACAATTAACAACCCAACCAAATCATACTGATTGTGTCACCTTTCACTGATTATTTTAAAAAGTGTTTCTCTTTTTGCTATCCCAATCAAACTGGTTAAACAATTTAACTGTATCCTTAATTGTTAACAAGTAACAATTTGGACAGTAATTAATTATATAAAATCCACAAAAATCTTTCATTTTTTTTTAAACAATTTATATCAATTCAAGTTGAGCGGGTTTAGGTTGTCATGGTAACCGAAATTTTTACCGCTTTTTCTTGTTCTTATTTTGATCCGAGTGAATCATATGGAGAAAAATTTTGTTTTTGATTGTTTAGTGTTAATTTTTTTTCTTCTTCTCATTTTCGTTAATTAATGTTGGTGTTTTTTCTTTTGTAGTTGATTAATTTACATTCGATCAGATGAGTGACAATGTTGACAAAATTCGCCAAAGGTTGGCTGCGAGTGCGAGTTGTTTGCATTCATTTTTTGAATTTATTTTTGACAATCCGTTGAAAGGTAAACCTTTTTTTTTTCTTCTTTTCTCTTTAAAAATTTGTAGTTTTTATTCTATTCTCTTTTTTATTCTTTTTCTTTTTCTTTTCCCTTCAATTTATTTAGTTGGTCAAGTTTTCGATGATCCAGTGCTTAGTTGCCATGCTAAGAAAGCTCATCCTGTTTTCAATTTTCTCGGTGATTTGGCAGAGGAGATTTCAAAGATGACGATCATGCATCTACTCAAATTGATAAGCTTATGCTTGAATTTTCGTGTCTCACCGAATGGGCAGTTCGTTTACTTTTACATATCTGTTCCCATATAACACCATACACTGAAAATGAGACAGTTAGACTTTTCATCGATCAGATTGGAAAATTTTTCAATCGTCTTAGTGAAAGTAAACGAGAACTTTTCGATTATCTTATGAAAGAATTTGAAGATCTGGTTTCTAAACTCTGCCTCTTCTATGATCAAAATCGGATCGGCCACAAATACGAGATCCTTAATCTAACGACTAAAAAATTGGCCCTGTTAACTGCTAAAATGAGAGAAACAGAAGAACATTATGATCCAACCCGTGAATTTGATTTCTCTCTGGAAAATATTCATCAAGTTGAATCTCTATTCATCAGTTGTATTGAAATTCTAATACTTACCGGTAAACCAGTTATCGTTTCCATTGGATTGAAAAATGCTTGTCAAATGATGTACAACGCGGTCTCTATCTGTATCTCCTTTGCAAGTCCCAAAATGGTTATTGCATCTCTCAAGTTTTTTCACACTTTTTATCCAGTCAAATGTATTCAACTTGATCCAAATGCTGGATTTTACTATAATATCTGTTGGCTCACAGTTCACTTATTTAAATCAACCAGTTTAGACAAAGATTTTTGTGTTTGCGTTGAGAAAAGTTGGGATTTGTTATTAAAACGTTTCGACCTGGAATTGCAAAAAGCACAAAAAGGAGAGGACACAATCGATATAAACGGAAATTTCGATGCAATAATAATTGTTATTGGTTGTCTAAGTAAAATGAGCCCAATTGGAACAACCAACTTGGTTCCTGATTCAATTGCCAAAGTGCTTCATAAGTTACTCGATTTATGTCATCTGAAGGAGCAAAAACTTACCGATATAAATGTTTTCGAGCTTCATTCATTATTCTGTGATAAAATTTCATCATCAATTAACCATGACAGTGTTTGGTTAACATTAATGAAAAGATTATATACCAAAAATTATTTGGAAATTAACTCTTCCTCTGTTCATAGTTTTGTTATTGACTCTGATATTGAGCTTCTCGAAGATGAGGCCAATTCAAGTCGTAAACATGAAACTTTCCTCACCAATTTGTGCCTTCAAAATACTCAAATTATTTCATCGATAACTTCATCCAAATCTCTTGAAGAAATTTGTCGTTTACATAATATGTACACAGTCGAATGGGAAACAATTGCCACTCTTAGGATGGTTGGTCATTGCCTCTTAAATCAAGGGAATTTTGTCCAAATTTTAAAATTAGCTAATTGGATTTGTGATACTGTTGTTACCAATATGATGGATGAAAAAATGTTCAAATTTATTCTGTCCCTGTTGATAACAATTCTTAAAGCAATCAAAGATTTCGCTCCAACCGATGTTAAAGATTTGGAACAAAAGATTCAATTGGTTTTTCTATTACCTCATGTTTCTGAAACCTCACCACAAGAGGTTCTTTCCTCCATTAATCGAGAATGGACAAAAAAACATCTCTCCTCAAATGAAGAGCTTAATATTTTATCCGTCCATGGATTGGCCTTGGTTAATTCTCAAACAACGTCCAAATTTATCTCCAGTATTTTAATCACTCAACTTTGTCGTTGGAAAGGAGATGATTACATGTTTAATCAAACACTTACCTTTGTCCTTCTAAAAAATGACCAATTGGTTAATCAAGTTTTCGCCGCTATCGAAGATCGTGATAATATGCCATTTATTGCTCGAAGTATCGGTTTAGTTACATGTTTCTTAAGTTCAGCTGATAGAAATGTTTCTTTTTCCTGTAAAGGTCCATTCGAAAGGTGTCACCTAACCTTTCAGTGTAATGGTTGCGCTGATTGGGATTCGTCGCACCAAAAGACATCATTGTCGGAAGACGCTGAATGTAAAATAATGGACATATTTCACGAACTAATTAAGAGCCAAGAGTCAAATCTACTAACGACTCTAGGCAAATGGAGCGCATCTCGAGTTCTTCGTCATTGTGGCTTCGATCGATATTTCATCACCTCACTTTTCAAACTTTTCTCAATCGAGGACAAAGAAGTTGTTGAAGCTCTTCGAACGGTCTTTTTACCGCTCATCATAAAGCCAATGAGCAGTGGATCTTCGAGAGTTCCGAAAAATGAGGTTTTCTTCAGCACTTTTAGTAAATTTTTCTGTACAATTCGACCTGAGATCAATTACTCAATTGAAATAACCGAAATCGCCAATATAACCAATCTAGCAACTCATTTGGCTGAAAGTAAACTCATTTATGTTTTCGCTGCTTTTTTCTGTAAACTTTGGTCTGATACTCAGTTGATGAAATACATCCATGGTCAAGTGATTGCAATTTCCTCTTTCCGTCAAATTGAACCTCGAACTTTATTCAACCGTAATAAAGCCGAAATTTGTACTAAAATTGTCCACCTGATAATGGATCAAATTCTACCTGAAAGTAATTTACGTGAATCCATTTTTCTCCTTCAAGAAGCCTTGGTACTATTTCTTGATGATCGAAGTGAACTTGCATCGCTGTTCACCGAATGTTTGAAATATTTCGTCACAGCGATCATTCTTAGAGCAAATAATCATGCCCGCTCCCTTCTCGAGATTATGGTTAAAGAGACTACAGACCTTAACTTGGACAGAGTACTTGAGACTAATACCGGGCGACTTCCCCGTCAGTTTGTTACTCGGTCACTCGAAAGTATCGAGAAAAGTTTAACTTTCATAAAGAATATTCAAGACAATCGATCCTTATCATCAATATTTAAAGGCGATTTCTTGTATTCAATGTTACTTGAATATCATCGTAATCCAAATGTAACTTCATATGTTGTCTACAAAATTTACATTTCAGAAAGTGTTGATCGTTCAAGAAAACTTTCATCGATTCAAAGTTTATCCAAAAGTTGGAAGATCATTTGGTTCCTTTAATTGTTTCATTGAACAAATTTCTACTTAAACAAGGAGATTTTTATGAGGACAAAAAGTGCGCAATAGAAAGTCTCGGTGATATACTCGTTATTCTTGGACCACGAACCATTTCAATCGCTAAAATGAACATCATGGGAATCCTGTTAACCGCTTTTGATAAAGCAAATGGGAATAATGATGTTCTAAAGGCTTTATTGAATGTGTGGCAAATTTTTCTCAACAATTGTGGTCCAAATGATATCGGTCCTCATCTATCTGTCATTTGTAAAGATTTGATTCCATATTTTGATGTAGATTCCAGAATAACTGCTTCAATACTTGGAAAGATAATCATTGACAACGAAGAGCATTTGAAGGATCATTTCAAAGAACTTCATTTTCTACCTAATCTTCCATGTATGAAAGAAATTCATGATGTTCTCAACAAATATCTAATCACTAAACCGCCGAGCGATGTTGTCGAAGCTCAAGATTATTTGGTTGAAAATATTCGCTTCTTTGATGAACTTCTCGACATCAATAATCCCGATGTAAAAGCTTTACACTGTCAAAAATTGCGACAAATTTTAACCGAATGTAAAACAGCTTTGGCCTGCCTTTGTGTTCCCAATAAGGAAGTTTCAACTGATAAAATGATCACTTTGATTATAAAAAAGTTACTCACAAATTCACAGATCTCAGATGCGAATCTATTGACACGAATTGCTGAGTGTCTTGGCGAAATCGGTGCCATCGATCCAGGTCGTCTTGATCTTAACCTCTTGTCCGCTAGTCAAAATGTTGACGGAGGATTGATTGAATTTGACGAACTTCCAATTACTCTATTATCTAAACTGGCCTACTCATTGGATTCCATTGACCAATCCCGAATTCGTGACTGTGGTTGTTACGCTATCCAAGAAACGCTTAAAAGTTACGATGTTACCGAAAACGATCAAATCTGGAAAAAGCTACCACCCGATGTCCAGCGTGATGTTAAACGCTTTTTGACAACTAAATATGTTTTCGTTGAACGGGAACCTGTCACATCTCCTGTTTTCAAGGCTGAAATAACTTACGAGGAATGGGTTTACCGCTGGTCAGTTGCGCTGATTGAGGTGATAAAACGGCAAACCCATAAAAGAGCCTTCGAAGCCTGTCTAGCCTTTATAAAGTACAATACAACTATCGCTCGATTTGTTTTACCGACCATTTTCTGGATGGCCTTACTAGATTCCGATGAAGACGAGATAAAATCTTTCATTGTTGGTGAAATAGATGCAATATATGAACAAAGACCTAAAGACGCACAAAACTGTCAACTCATTTTCAACGACACTCTAAATCCAGTTACATCTTTACCTCGATCTGATGGACAACAGAATAAAAGTGAATTCTCAAAGGCTAGACTTCGATGTGCTCGAACAGTTTTCGCTATTTTTGACAGTATTGCTCAATTGAAGCATAGAATGTTTCAAAATGTAAAAACAAGCTCAAAGGATGAAATTGAAGCAACATCACAAATGGAATTACTTGAAAAAAATTTAAACAAAGCTGAATTAGCTGAATTGGCTTTTGAATGTCAAGCATCAGCTCGTGCCTTGCTTTATTTGGAAGAGTTTATTGGTTCAAATCGTGCAGCTCTCGAGTTATCATCAACACTCGCGTCTTTTCAAAGTTATTTTCTCGCTCTCGATGAACCGGACGGAGTTGAAGGAATCAGTGCAATCAGGAGAGTCCACCTTCACTAGTCGACTCAATAATCAACCATGAGGCCAATAGTGAACTTCATTATTCACTATCATGTTGTGAAATTGCCATAAAAAAGGATCCAGATAATATTGTTTATCCTCAAATGTTATTAAGATGTTTGATGAATCTTGATCAACAAGCGACAGCTTTGAATTATGCTACTGGTATAATGAAGCGAAAAAAAGAATGGCTTGAGGCGATTTATCCATTTGCAGTTGAAGCTTCATGGAAATTGAATAGTTGGGATGATTTAAGTGGAATACTTAAAGAAAATCAAACAATACAATGTGATTCATTAGGTGTTAGTATTGGACATCTGATTGATTTGATTCGTAAACAAGATCAGATTAACTTTAATCTTATGTTAAAGGAGATGCGTAAACGTGAGATGGACCCGTTATCTGGATGTGCATTGGAACAAGGAGCTTACATTCGGGGTTATCAACATGTTTTACGACTTCACATGTTGACCGATGTAGAAATGTTTTCTCAATTTGTTTTCAAGCATCTTAATAGACCAGGTTGTTCAACAAATTATCAAGAAAACGGAATGGAAATCGATCTAGAAATTGATTTAGAAAACGATACGGAAAATGTTAGAAAAAACGATCAAAGTCTCATTGACTTTCAAAATCTCATTCGTGACTGGCAGCGTCGTAATGATCTTGTCCAATCTTCACTTCGATGTCAAGAACAAGTATTTAACCTTCAACGCGTTTTACTTTCACTGAAAGACGTACTACCTGTTCAAACCAGCTATGAACGCGCGACCTTTTCCTTGGCGAGCGCTAAACTTGCACGAAAAAGCCAAAATTTACAACGAGCGTACACTCATCTTGTAGAAAGTAAAGATTTAATCAAAGCCGCTAAATTGCCGATTGCCCTTGCTATGCACTCGGAAATTGAAATGGCCAAATTTAATTGGAGTAAAGGGGACCAAGAATCAAGAGAACGCTGTTATAAAGGTCTTAAAAAAGCTCTCGATAAGTTTCAAGATATAAGTGATTCGCCAGGTTTTGATCGTGGAAAACTGACCAAAATTAAATTATTGTTCTCAAAATTTTCTGAGCATTTAGCTAATCTTGAAACTGATGCTTTAATTGACAAGTACAAAGATATAATTAATGACATGCGTAACTTGAAATCGGTCTCTGAAGAGCCGTATTTCTGTGTGGCCCGGTACATGGACAGTTTAATGAAGGCCATGGAGCTGAAGAATCCTAAGCGGCCATCTTTAATGATGAAAGTAGCGAAATATTATTTCACTTCATTAAGATTTGGATCGAAACATGTTTACGAATCGATGCCTCGTCTATTATCAATATGGTTTGATTTGGGCTCTTCTAATGCAGAAATTTCAAAGGCAAAGGCCAATGAAACATTACGAAATGATTACACAAAATACTGTAATGATTTGACCGAGTTCATGGGTAAAACGAGAGGGTCAATACCCATACACCTTTTCTACACTGCATTTGCTCAGATTTTATCTCGTATTTGTCACAGCAATTTGGCAATTAGTGAAGTGCTTATGAACATACTCTCGAGTTTACTGCAAGAATATCCAAATCAATCGATGTGGATGTTGATGGGAGTTCTTATGAATGGTAAAAATAAAGTTCGTGCCGAGAAATGTTCACAAATAATCCGTAGAGCGATCGCTGAAATCGAGAAAAGTGTAACGGGTTCCAAGAAACTAGCAGATTTGACCCATAGAATGCAATATTTTGCTAAATTGTTGATCAAATTGTGTCACCATGAAGTTCCTCCTAACGCCCGATCATTTCATGTTAACAAAGTGGTGCCCGAATTAAATGATAGACTTACCAAAGGTCAACTAGGTAAAATTATGTTACCTTATCAATCCTCCATGAGTGTACGTATGAATAACAAATACGAATCACCAGGATCATTTCGACCATTTCCCAGTGATGCGGTTTACATTTTGAAATTCGACCCCGTTGGTGAGGTACTTTCTTCTCAAGCGAAGCCGAAAAAAGTTATCATCCATTGTTCGGATGGTAAAAAGTACGTGGTAATGTGTAAACCGAAAGATGACCTTCGTAAAGATGCTCGAACTATGGAGTTTAACAATCTTATTAATCGACTTTTAAAGAGAGATCCCGAAACTCGTAAACGGCGTCTTCACATTCGCACTTATACCGTTGTGCCGTTGGACAATGATTGTGGCCTCATCGAATGGGTAAATAATACTAGAAGTTTGAAAGACTCCATTGACCTTGCTCGTATCTTCCGTCACCCAAAGAGTCCTTATCCAAATGTCCAATATTTGGCCGCAAATGTAATGCATCCAAAGATAACCAAAGAAGGTCCAGAGGAAACTCGTGTGAAAAATTTTCGCGATGTAATGAAACTTTTCAGTCCACCAATTATGGGCGATTATTATGTTCAAACGTTTCCCGATCCAACTTCATGGTACATGGCAAGAGTTGCTTTCACCCGATCAGCAGCGGTAATGAGTGTTGTCGGTTATATCATTGGACTTGGTGATCGACACTCTGAAAATTTATTACTCGACTCGAGTAACGGTGAAGTATTACATGTTGATTTTAACATGTTGTTCAATATCGGTGAGAAACTAGAAGTTCCCGAGCGAGTACCATTCAGATTGACCCATAATATGATCGCCGCGATGGGAGTGACCGGTTATGAAGGTGCTTTCCGACGAACCTGTGAGGTCACTTTAAAATTGATGAGAGAAAAGAAAGAAGCGCTTATGAGTGTCTTACAACCATTCGTTTATGATCCACTTTGCGAATGGAAAAAACCTCAACCCAGAACTCGAAATTCGACCGCTCGAAGTGGATCGACCAATGACAAAGAAACCGTTGAAACGACAAACGTTTTGGTAAAATTGATTATCTATTTCTCTTTAATTGTTGACTATTTTCAATTTCTATTTATTAGTCATTTTAATTGTTGTTTATATTTTTTAGGCTGTTGAGTATCTCGATTTAATTGCGAATCGTCTCAAGGGAAGCGTTAAAACTACTTCTTCGTTATCTGTTTCAGGTCAAGTGCAATACCTAATTGACGTAAGCTAATCATTGATTTAATTTTCTTCTAATTGATTAATTAATTGCTGTTTACTTTTTTCTTTTCCAGGAAGCAACGAATGAAACTAATCTCAACAGGATGTACATTGGTTGGTGTGCTTTCTACTGAATCTCAACTTTAATCGACTTGATGACTTACAATTAACACTTTCAACAATTACTAATCAACTATACAATTATCTCCAATTATCAAAATTCATTAAACGAAATTGCAAACAATCAGGAATTAGATTTTCCATTTAATGACAATTCAAGCACCTCAACACTTACCCTTCCTATTATACTCTTGAAATTATTAATTATTACATGTAATTAGTTAAAATTATTATACACGATCAAGTACAAACTGACAAATTCCCTCTAATTGTTATAAAACTTTCTCAAAGACTTTTATTCTGGTAGATTAATTCAAATTATTTTCTCCCCACAAATCCAAAGATTCAATTTCTATTAATATTAATAGTTTATCAATTGTGTTAATTGTATCAAATCAACGATTCAACTTGAAATCATCATCTCAACTAATCATGATGCTAATTGTTACTCTATCTTTTGCCACCAAATGCAAAACTAAATTGTTACTAGTAAATAACATGACCAACGATTGACCTTGAAAACAGTTTTGCGTTTATCCTCATCCTCGTCATCTTCATCTTCATCTTCATCTTCATCATCTTCAACAGGTCAACCTATTTTTGTATTAAACTTAATGTTAACCTGGTTAATTGTAAGACCAGGAAAATTGTACCAAACAAAAAACAACAATAAATATGTAATTGTTTTGTTTTCCCATCTAATAATAATCAACTTCCTCTCTTAATTGTGATCAGTTTTATCCTGGACAATCAATCAATCCAAAGAGACAACTAAAAGAAGATCGTAAATGGTTTAAACGAAATGACGAGAAAATTTATTCTGATTGTAACTGTTAATTTAATTGTGTCAATCATTTGGATTTAATTTATGATGACCAATGGTCAAGCTTTAAGTGTGATGTAACCAATTAATTAATCCTTAAAATCCAAGTAAAATTTAAATCTTAAGGTTAAAAATTTACTCCAGTCAATGAAAGTTGGTTAGTGTTAACATTGTATAAAAAATGAACATTGCCCGAGGCGATTCATCAGGTGTTCAATATGTTCATGTAAATGAAACCGATTTTGATAATAATAAAACTCAAGGATTTTTGAATTAAGGATAACATATAATTAGAAGGAAAAAAAAGTTTTTCCTGATCAGATTAAATTGATTTTCTTTGTGCAAGAAAGTTAAAGTTATTAACATTAATAATCTTGATATTTAACATTGAATAACAATTATTGTGATTATAAATTCAACGATTTACCATCAAGACCAGAATGATATGAATGAAAACCATGATGGTTATATATGAATAGCCTGTGAAAACGATTGGATGAGAGATGTCATCTGCATACATGATGATTCTGATTATGGCCTCAGACGGAATGAAACAAGGAGTTAAGTAGGTCAATGGCTGAATGAAATAAACGACCGATTCGTAAGGCCAAGAGATGCAACCATAGGCATAAGTTGTCGCAGAGTAAAACAAGTTGATTATGAAACAGGTCACATCGGATTTGATTAGCGACCCCAATAGGATTCCCTTACAAAGGCCACAAACGACACAGCCAAATATCATCGGCAGAATTGATATTAAATGACCTTTGTATGGAATATTGAAAATGGGGATGAAAATTGCATACACCAAATAGTAAGCGGGAACTACGATTAAAGTGGCCAAAGTTAGAGCGGTGGTTCGTAGGTGGTATCGTCGTATACCCAGAGAGGCCAGTCGCTCGTTCATGGGTTCGTGCGTTTCCTTGGTTATCCAATAGGTTGTTAATAACATCGGGTAAGTTTCAACAAAAAGGGTCACTAAACGAATCAGAAACAAGGGCATGGAAACGAACAGTTCTGGGTCATCGGTTCGGTTGATTACTCCTTGAATTTTGATAAACTCGAGTCGATTACCGATTAGTCCTTTCGATTTGACTATAGAATTCATAATATCATTTAAAGCTTCGTAGATCTTTTTTACTACTGTTGACGAAATGATCGCATGTGAGTTATCTTGGTACATTGTGATTCGCCCGGCCAGTTGCAGAGCTTCATCGGTTGTTGAGCTGAGAGCAGAAGTGACTCGAGTTTCAAGTCCAAGGTCAAACTCTTGTGGGACAATAAAATAGGCGGAAGCTTGGCCACTTTCAACCATTTTCCGTCCGATAATCTCATCGGAAACATTAACTAAATGAATATCATGAGCAGTCAAATGATCAGTTAACTTGGAAATGTATTCCGATGAATTGGCCAAGTTAACGTAGGCCAATGTAAGGTCAACCATTGGGCGGCCGATGAAATTGGTCATAAAATAGCCGACAAATATTACCGATGTAACTAGTATGATAAAAGGTACAAGTAAGGTCACTTTCCAACGGAGTAAATATCGCCACATCAATAGAAGAGCTAATTGTAAACTATTATTGGTCAAGTTCACTTTTGGCTCCGATGAAGTTGACGATGAAACGGAAATCGATGGGACTGTGAACGGTGATGACGAAACTGATGAAGATTTTTCTGACTGTTGTTCGACTTGATAGTAATCAATTTCACTGATTTTCTCATCTTTTTGATACTCTTTCTTTCGTAAATTATATTTAATCAGAATCGCTTCTTCAAAAGTGATCGCACCAACTGACCTCATGAACTCTTTTGGTTCACCCTGGAACTTAATCTGACCGTTTGCCATGAAACCGAAATGATCAGTTTTAGTTACCTCTTCAAGATAATGAGTTGTAATCACAATTGTTGTCGCGAGAGTTTCATTTAATTGTCGCAAATAAGTCCATATTTTATGGACAAGGACAATGTCCGAGCCGACGGTTGGTTCATCAAGAAGTAACAATTCAGGTGAATGAATCAACGAACAGGCCAATGAGATTCTCCTTCGTTGTCCAATTGAAAATTGTGTTGACCTTTTCGATGGATCATCAATCGACATGATGGATAATATTTCACAACACTGAGAGTTAATTGTTTCAATTGGTAGTCCAGCTAATCGACCCAAGAAAGTTAATTGTTCACTGACAGTTAATTCATCATCGAGAGCAATTTCTTGAGGCATATAACCAATTAATGGACCAGGAACATTTGATCCTCTGGAATTGGGAGTTTGATTAAACACTTTCAACGAACCATAATCTGGTCTTTGTAGGCCAATTATCGTCCGTTGTAAAGTGGTCTTCCCACAACCTGATGGACCAATCAGTCCATAGATACAACCCTTAGGAATTGAGATGAACAATTTATCAAGCACAAAATTTGGTCTCGAAGTTGAACCAAGATTAACAGTCACATTTTCACCGTAAACGGCAAATTGGTCAAAAATTGATTGACGATTAATACTTTCTCATTTGAATCACTAGAGATACAGGTTGTCGACATGCTAACTCTTGATTGTTAACTAACAACAAGCTTGAAATGGGCGATATGATTAAGTTGGAACTTAATTTTCTTCGATTAATTCAATTGAATTAGAAAACTGGTTCACTAGATAATTTTAATTAAATTATAACATGTGTTGATTTTCATCTGATAAAATCGATAAATTCACAGTTAACATAGAAAAATGATTACATACTTTGAAAGATTGTAATTAATTGTGTTAACTGTAATAAAATTAAGCAGAAACTTTCTTAATAACGATCAAATTTACTTCGTTATCGAATCTGACCTTACTTTTCCTTCTTACTGGATATTTGAATTTAATTTTTTCGCCCATTCAATGGACGATCCTTTCTAATTAGAGGTCGTTTTTCCTTGTCATTGATCAATTCAAGGTCGATTTAAATAATTTCAATAACAGGAAGATGATAATCACATCCGAGGAAACGATTTTTCTGATCAATCAGCTGATTTTCAATCATTTTCTGACCAGTCGACTAGTTTTGACTTGAATAAAATAATAAACCTCTGATTACGTTAACTTAGTTTGGAGAGAATTGATAAATTGATTTATAGTAACTTTACTTCAAATTCAATTAATTAATCCATTAGAGTTTAAAAATCAAATCGAGTTGCATTGATTTTCAGTTTGAGACCCTTTTGGTTAAATTTGATTTGAATTCGTGAACATTTATGAAATTTCGAGTGATAAACAATAGTGATCTTTTCATATAAGTCATTAATATAATATCTAAATAATCACTAGATCGACAGTAAAGTCAATCTGAAAATCACTTTTTAGCTTAGCAATGTGTTAATTGTAGCATTTAATCAACAATCTGACTTAAAAATCATCGTTCCAAATAATTATGATGCTAATTGTTGATTTTCACTTTATTGAAATCAAGTTTTACTATCAAATGAAAAAACTAAATTGTTACAAGTAAATAACAGGATCAACGTCAACAGATTCTAATACCAGTTTGCCCTTAGTTCATCCTCATCCTCATCCTCATCATATTCATCTTCATTTTCATCTTCATCTTCATCATCTTCAACAGGTCAACCTATTTTTGTATTAAACTTAATGTTAACCTGGTTAATTGTAAGACCAGGAAAATTGTACCAAACAAAAAACAACAATAAATATGTAATTGTTTTGTTTTCCCATCTGATAATAATCAACTTCCTCTCTTAATTGTGATCAGTTTTATCCTGGACAATCAATCAATCCAAAGAGATAATTAATAAGTTTGTGGTAAAAAAAAGAGGCTTGAAAATGAGTCAACCCTTGGAACCATCAAAGTTGAATGAAATCATCAGAAAGGTAACAATGATTGTGATTGAAATTGTTACACTAATTGTTTCAATACTTGTTATTTATATCAAAAGTTTGATACATTTAATTGTTGGTAAACCTGAGAAAAATGTATCTGGTCAAGTGGCAGTAGTCACTGGAGCTGGACATGGATTAGGTAAACAATTATCACTACAATTATCTCGTAAAGGTGTTAAAGTTGCTTTAATTGATATAAATCAATTTGGAATTGATTCAGTTAAAGATGAAATTATGATGACCGGTGGTCAAGCTTTCGCATACAAATGTGATGTAACCAATGAATCAATGGTAAAACAAGTGATGGAGACAATCAAAAGTGACCTTGGACCTGTTGATATTTTAATCAATAACGCAGGTATAACACATTGTACACCTTTCGTTGACCTTTCACCTGGACAGATAAGGAAAACCTTTGAGGTGAACACTTTATCTCATTTCTGGACAATATCTGCTGTCCTAACGGAGATGATTGAACGGGATCAAGGTCACATTGTGGCCATTTCATCAATCGCCGGACTATTGGGCACTCCGAATGTGGTTGAATATTGTTCATCAAAGTTTGCGGTCAACGGACTAATGACCGCTCTCGAGAAAGAGATGCATATTGGCGGAGCAAATGCCAATGTCCATTTTACAACCGTTTGTCCGCTCATCATGAACACCGGAATGTTCAAAAGGCCAAAAACCCGTTTCTCTTCATTATTGCCAATCTGTTCACCTGAAGATGTTGCATCGACCATAATTAAATCAATGCTTCAAAATGATTCCTTAATTACAGTTCCTCAATCAGCAATGGCAATTTACAGATTAGAAAAGTAAGTTAATCAATTGATGTGACAATCAAATTAAACTAATTGTTATCCTTTTAATTGTTCAACAGGATTGTACCAGAAGAAGCTGCTAAAAAGGTTCAAGATTGGCTCGATTATGGAGTTGGTTCCCATTGATTAACAATCAATTCCTTCAATTGAGTCTATTAATTAACATGTTTAATTGTCTCAATTTGAGATCAAGTGATTTACTAATGATGAAAAGTTTTGATACTTTAATTGTAAACATTTTATGTGATATTAAATTGAGTTTTTCTTTTGATTGTTTCAATTTGAAAGTGAATGATTATTAGAATCCTTTGATTAGATTAATTGGAGAGCTAATTATCTTTGAGCAATTTAAAATGTCATCTAATTCGGTATCTAAATCTTGCGTGTTTAAATGTTGCCGATCGACCTGGAAAATATTTCGACCTTTAGTGACATCGACGATTTACCCGTGGAGACACTCGAAAGGTTCAACGGTCTCTCGACTTGGACTTTGGGAGTTTTATCAAGAGTTGAATGTTATTCGAGAAGAGGGAATTGTGATCATTGGACATTCGGTTAAATATTCCATGTACCATGTGCTTGTCCGTCGATCAAAGTCCAACCTTAATGTTCCAGCCCGAAAATTACGAGCCGTTTACACGGTTTTCCGTGATTCGGACGAGACGATTGTCAATCAAATCTGGGATCAAGTGGCCTCAATTATCAACGCACTTTTACCGTTTCTCAAACCTTACCTTTACCTGACTGAGATTCGGATGTTGACTGACATTATGAAAATAGTCACTTGTGATAATCCGAACTACACTTCAGCCCATGTTGCCGCTAAGCTCCAACTAATGCCAGTTTTTAATGCTAAAAATAAACTTGTAATCGATCATCTTAACGATCGTGTTGAGCCCATCGGACAAACGCCTTTAATGATTGCGATTCAATCTCAGAACTTTGTGCTTGTTAAACTGCTCGTTGATCTTGGGGCCAGTTTATTGCTGACCGATTTTCGTTCAGATTCAATTCTTCATTATGCCGCTTTATCGAATAATATTATATTTAAGTACTTATTGGATCGGGTGAAATCGAAACACAATTTGCTTAGTATGTTAAGACGTCGTAATAATAAAGGTTATTTGCCGCTTCATTGGTGTTGTTACTCAGGTCACGTTGAGAATATGTGTGATCTGCTTAGACTGTCACTTCCGTCATCCCTGTTACTCCTTGAACCACAAGTTAAGAGTAAATCCAACAATAAGGTCAAAAAATGTAACTCACTAAGTGACGACTTAACTGGAATTATTAATTACAAGGAATCGGAAGTTACTAACACTTCTCATGGGACTGGTGCTCAGCAAGGTCACTATTCGCGTACTTTAAGTTCCTCTGGTTCTGAGCGTAATGTTATGGTCTGTATGACAATCGCGAACGATGAAAAGATAGTATTCACTTCTGAGATGATCGCCGATCTTGACCCTTCAGAGATGATGCTTGGCGGGTCACCGATCCATTGGGCCAAAACTCGGCGTTTATTGGAAAACCTTCTCGAAAATACCAACATCCCGCTTGATGCGGTCAACTTTAAACAAGAAACTCCACTTCATGTGATGACTCGAAGACGTCGGTTAAAATGTGCGGTCATTTTATTATCAAGAGGTGTCGATGTACTCGCTCAAGATGCTAAAGGTAACACTCCGATGCATCGAGCGGTACAAAAAGAGGATATTTCTATGGTCCAAGCTTTGATCGCTTTCGATTCAGATATAAATGGCCTTAACAATCGCCGTCAAACCCCTCGACACATCGCGGCAACCAAAGGTTCAGCTGTGTCAAGTATTATAGTTAATGTTTTACACCGAGTGGGAGCCAAAAGATGCCCTCCGGGTAGGAAAAAGTGTAAAGATGATTGTGCACACGAAGCGAAAGGTTAGTCAACAATTAAGCGCAACAATTAACAAACAGTTAATGAGCATAAAAAAACCTCGACAACAAACAAAGCAATTAAATACTTTTACCTTGAATCATTAAAACCAATTAACTAGATAATTGTTACCAATTTGAAAACAATTTACTGATCACAATCAAAACCTGTAATTCAACCTAATTAAAGTTTGATTTACTTTCGCAATTCGTTCAGGTATTGGTACATCGTTTCCAAAATGGGTTAATTATGAAAACGAATCACCGTACGAAGATTTTATGAACGTTCGAGGAGCTGAAATCGAAAGGAAATTAAGTAAATGTAATAATCCCGCTCGAATGATTTGCCTTGACGGCGGTGGAACTCGAGGTTTATTTACTTGTTGCGCTCTAATTGAGATTGAACGTCGATTGAAAAAGCCACTTCGAGAATACTTTGAATGGTGGGTTGGTACATCTTCGGGTGCGTTGATTGCTTCGCTAATTGTACTCGGAACACCTTTACATCAGATCAGATCAATGTACTATCAGACGAAGGACAAAATTTTCACGGGTCCGAGGCCATACAACTCGGAGCTTCTCGAAAAGTTGATGAAGGAGCGGATGGGACCTTCAACGAAAATGGATGACATCAAAGACGGGAAAAGATTATTGATCACGGCAGTTACGACTCATCATAATCCGGCTGAACTTTACATGTTCCGTAACATCCCGTCGACGACTGAGCTATTGAATCCTGGCGAAGAGCCCGTTAGTCCTCCAAAATCATCGCCTTCGTCCTCTAAATCAAATGCCAGTTTACCCAATTTAGCCTGTAATTATAAAGATCATTTGATCTGGCATGCGTGTCGAGCCTCTGGTGCTGCACCGAGTTATTTCAGCGCTTTTGGACCTTTTATCGACGGTGGAGTCTTATCCAATAACCCGACCCTTGACGGGATGTGTGAATTTTTCCAATACAATAGAGCTCTTGAAACGGTCAACAAGAAAACGGAAATTCAACAATTAACTCTTGTTCTGTCCATGGGAACAGGTAAAGCACCGATTTTACCAGCGCATCTTGTTGACATTGGACCAATTATGGCCTCGTCGATATTTACTCTACCAGAAGCGCTCAAAACCGCTCTTTCTCTTCAAGAATTGGTACACATGATGATTACGACGACCCTTCAAACCGATGGTCATGTCAACAAAAGAGCTCAAGCTTGGTGCAGTTCGTTGTCCATTCCCTATTACCGCTTAACTCCACCGATGTCCGAGGAATTGCTGCTCAATGTCACCGATGATATCGAAATCGTAAACGGGATGTGGGAAACCAAGGCCTACATGTACGCTCTGAGTCCATTTCTCGATTCGCTGGTTCGAACTCTGGAAAGTCCCGTAAACAGATAACTAAAGTATGGGGAGAAAAAAAACTTTTTCGAGATTAATTGAATTCTTGAATAATCGATGAATCGATTTTTTTTTGTTTTCTTGAATTTGTCATTTTAATGATTATCATTTGATACTAGAGGTAAATACAATAATGAATAAAATAAAACATCAACATTATTTTTTTTTCGTTTGTTAAATGAGACCAGAGAAAGCAAATTAATGGGTATACATATTGATGATAAACATGATGATGATTAACAATTAAATCAACATTGGTACACATATGAGTTTGCAGGATTTGTAATTATTGTCAACCGGGTTAATTAAGATAATAAACAAATTATTTGGATTTTGTTTTGGTTAGATAAGTAATATGTTTGTGTATTGGGAAGGGGTAATATGAGAGAGTTTGTTGAAATGTTGATTAATGAAGATTATGTTTTGGTCTTTGTTGTTTTTGTTGTTGTTGTTGTTGTATGAGTTATACAATATGAAGTTTAAGAAAATCAGAAAAATAAATTGTGTTAATTTAATCTGAGATTGAAGTTAAACTAAACATTAGAGATTAAAAAATAAGAAACTATTATTACGTAAGGTTGATGTTGTTGTTGATGTTGTGCATATTTTAAAGATGTATGAAGGTGAAGAGTAAATTTCATTGAACATTTAATTATCCTTAAAGATTGAATCGTGATGGGGTATCAAGTTGGAGGAACAATTAATGTTAATTTATCTCTGTTGTTATTGTTGTTATGACGAATTTTTTTTTGTTGACTTTCCTTCAAGAAAATGATTACTTTTTGTTCAGGTGATGAAACTATTAGTTATGTTCACACATCCAAATTGTATCCATAGACTACTGGATATTGTTTAATGTATTACTACCCTCATAGGTAGATGAAATTTCTGTCGGTCTTGTCCAACTAATCGCTTAAATCAATTGTATGCATGTCTTCAATCCCTTCTTCATCGGATTCACTTCCGCTCAGTTCTCGGTAAGCCGTACATGTGAAAAAAACAATACGTTTCAACTTTTTGTTGTGGAAAAAATAGTTGAATGACCAGAGGCTACCATCTTCCGCGTAAGGATCTGAACTTAAATCAGGATTGTAACTGTAAATTTCACACTCGGAGCAATTTATTTCTGCATCAATTGCAGACCAAAGTTGACTTCGAATGGCAGCAAATGCTTGATGAGCCGAAGTTGATAAAAAATTTGAATCAACAGCACTCATAACCCAACGTAAACTTGGTTCCTTACTAAATTCATCGCTTTTAGCATCACTGAAATCATAATCAGGTTGAAATGATGAATTCAACGTAGAGATGAGATAGAATAAGGTTTTACGAGATATTGTATCACAAAGGTGACCATTACCTTCACCACCATCATCACTGTAGCTCAAACTTCGGGCTGGACTGAAGGAAAAAGATTGTATACTCTGTGGTGGAGAGAGAGCGTGAAGATCTGCAAAGGTTGTTCCAGGTTCGGCTCTCATTGTTTTGTATAATCTTTTATCATTACCAGCAAGTTTGCAAGAGTAGCTTTCAACTCGTCCGACAATAGTAAATTGTCCGGTATGAATTCTCAAAGCTGAATTGAGAGCTTCAAATTTAGTACTTTCCAGTAATTTCATTTTCTTCCCTCTTTTTTTTATGTTGTTGTTACAAGGATATTGTAATGTATGTGTGACTGTTGTTAAGGGTTTTCAAGAGGTGAGAATGAATGGTTGATGAATATCTCTTTTTTTCTCTCTTTTTTTTCCTTTGGTTTCACAGAACAAAATTATAAGATGGAATCTTTGTAATCACTTTAATAACGAACTGTTCTTACTTTGGCTTCCATTTTGAACGATAAAATTAAGTCTTCTCCTGAACACAAATACTGGGTGAAAGAATAGAGATGATAAGAAGAAAGGTGAGAACATTTGACCAACACGAACAGTAAAGGAAAATGAACGATGAAGGTGAAGAAGTAAACGATTTACAAGTAGATGTTGAAGGTTAAGTAGAGAAAAGAACGAAGAATAAAAAAATTGTTGTTGATTTAATTCACAGTGGAAAGGAAATATCAGCCAAAATTGAAGAGAATTTTTTATGTTGCTCAGAGATTGAGTGCAGATATTGAGCGAGAGAGACAAAGTGAGTGAGAACAGTAAACACTAGAGGTAATAAAATTGTTCACAATTGGTCACTAGTGGCAAATAAAGTAAGAGAATCAAAACAAAGATGATAGAAGAAAGAGAGAACCAGAAAAAAAGAGAGGGAGCGAAAGATGAAAACACAATCAACAGCAGCAGTTATGTAATTCAAGATGCTTAGATACTCTCACACAATAGAATGAAAGGACAGAGGAGGTAAAATAGAGAGAAATTCTCTCAGAGAATCAACCAAAGATATTAGAGAAAGAGAAAAAGCAAAATAAAGAGCAGGAGAGAGAAAGAGAAAGAAAAAAGAGAGAGGGAAAAAGGTTAAAAAAAGCGAAAACTGGAAGAGAGGAGAGAGAAGAAAAATATTCTGAGGTTGGTATAAACAAGGTTCTCATAGACAAAAAGAGAGAGAGAGAGAAAAAGTTAATCAGGTTATTCACTGAGAAATGGGGCAGCAGAATAAATTGTTGATAGCGATGCAATTTAAGTGGACACAGTTGATTGTTTCACTTAATTAATTGGATAACAATTAGTCAATCACCAAGAAAAAGGTTAATTAAATTGGTTAACTTGACTTACCGTTTAGATGACAGTTGGTTGACAAGAAGCTTAACACTGAAACTCCTCCTCTTTCCTCTTTCCTCTTATCTCATTTTTCTCTTTTTCTCTGTCTACTTTTCTGTCTACAAAAGAATAAAATTTTATTCTATTCTCTTTGCGTTCTGATGGTGGCGCCACTTTCGTTTTCTATTCTTTTTTGTTTTGGTTTTGTTTTTCTTTCTTTTGATGATTTAATTATGATTGATTGAGAATTTGATTGTAGCTACTGTGTTGTTTTTTCCCGTTTTCGTTTTTTTTTTATGTTTCTTAATTTCTGCTAATTGTGTGATTTAATTACTTGTTTAACATTGATGATCGATCATCTCCTTAATCTTAAAGGTCATTGATTTGTTTGTTTTTATCTTTGTAAGGAAAGGATTTTAATGTTGATGACCGATCGTTGAAGTGACTAATTGTTGTTGGTGTTTTTTTTTGTTATCTCTTGATTTAGACAATTTATCATTGACTCTTGTTAATTGTTAATTGTTTATCATTTTCTTATTCTTGTCTGGCATTTAATCAACTTTCAAGTAATCTGTTTACTGTTAATCTAAAGTCTCATGTTTCTTTTTTACTTCAAGTTGTTCAATCGGTTGTCATAGTTTTCTTTTCTCTAACATTTTGATTATTTTTTGAATATTAAGTGTTAATCATCATGACATCGTCAAGGTAACTATATTTGGTTGTTCATTTTTCAAATTCGAATAATTTTTACTAATTTTGTGTGTATTTTCTTCTCATTTTCTTCAGGTTACCTTTGCCTAAATTTATTTCTGATGATGAGAATAAACAACAACCCGATGATTCATCTATTGTTACATCTGATGGTCGAGTCCGATCTTATCCTCATGTTCGAGGTCAATGGACAACATTCATCTACAGTGAAGGTAAATCATTGTTTCCATTTGGTGACTTAATCGTTTTCTATTCAATCTAATGGATAATTGTTTTGTTTATTTCTCTTATTAGTTCCTTGTCATTCACTCATTCATTTAACTGATTATATCGCTGATTATGGTGATAATATTGATCTAATTGATGATATTCATGTTTCATTGATTAGAGGTCATCATGCTCTCTCTTTTCATCAAATTACTCCTTTTATATCATCTCTCCGAGATAGATTGTCTAATTGTCAATCTTTCGATGTTTATTTATCTACTTTCAAATTATTTACCAATGATGAAGGTACCAGATCTTTCGTGTGCCTTTGTGAGCCCAAATTACAAATTGATTCAACTAATTGTCGTAATTCTCGATTGGTTCGTGATAAGATTATGAAAACATTGGATGAATTTAAAAGTGCAGTTAAAATATCAACAGGTGATGATGAACGTTTCATAAGTGATAACTCAGAAACTGATGAGTTCACTTTCCATACTAGTCTTGCTTGGTGTTCACCAGAATCAAATGAATCAGCCAAAAAGTTAATCACACAATTAGATGTAAGTTAAAAGTACCTGTGAATTGGTTAATTATCTCAATTGGTCAAACATTCATAAGTTATTTTTACTTTTCGTTATCATCAACAGGAACTAATGGATGGATACCTAAAGATAAATATTAACACGATCAAGATTAATACTGGAAATATTTGCCATACAATTGATCTGAAAAGTTGATGAAAATGAAAACAAAATCAGTTGTGATTCATTTTTGATTACCTTTGTTACTAAAAATATATTCTTTTGTCTTGCTAAATTAATGTTAACATGTGAAGATTTACAGAAATAGAAAGAAAAAAGTATAAATTGAAGTGATATGTTTAGGTTTGGTTAGGGAAGTGTCACGGAAATTACTCCAGGGTTAATGATTTCATAACGATAATGTTTCTGTTTAAGATAATTAATGACCAAAGGTTTTAATCGAGGACCAGCAACACTATGAGCTCCTCGGCCAGTGATGATTAAAAGTCGAAGTCGATTCAATTTACGTCGATTCAATTCGTCAAGTTTATTGCTCAAGTAACTACCAAGTGTTGTTAATACTTCATTCGTATGGACTCCGTGTAGATCAAGAGTATTTGCTGGATTAGCTCGAACAACAGTCTCGATAACTTGACTTCGTAGTTGTAAGATTTTACGATCAAATTCCTGAGCTTGTCCTTTATAATAACTCGCAACTGCGTACATTTTTGCTTGGAAGGCGGTATTTCCTTTCTCAGAAAATTCCCTCTTTTTGTCAACACATTGAGTAATTTCACCGCGTAATTGTCTGATCACATCGCCAGCATTAAAGGAGCCACTTGGTGATGATGATCGTTGTGAATTGATGTAAAAAGTGGCTTCACCATGATCATTAACGTAACCAGTTTCTTCCTTGATTAAGGCATCAACTTCGGGAGTTATGGTAATCTGGATGCCTAAAGTATCTTCAATGCATTCAATTGTTTCCTTGATTCGGTAAGCATTGGCTTCAAACAATTCCTCCAAAGCTTTTTCGTCCAAACCTGGAAATGAACGTTTCAATGCTTCTCTCTTCAACTTTGTGGATATTGCATGTTTAGAATTGGCTTGATTTGGTTGTGATGAATTAAATTCCTTCCGACTAAGACTGATGGCCATTTCTAGATCCATGATCTCTTGAAAGGCACTTTTAGGCTCAATAGGCGCTTCTTTACTTATATTTGCTTTAGATTCCTTTTTATTTGTATTGACAGTGTTGGTTACCTTGGCACTCGAAGGTTTGTTAAACGATAAAAAGCTGAAAGGGTTAACGTATTGAGCGGGTTTATCTTTTGATTGTGAGTTGTAAGCATTGATCCAAAGATAGTGAATCAATCGGGCCACTTCTTTACTACAATTCACTCTAAGGTATTTCTCATCAATTTCGCCTTCTTTCAATACTTGGCCGAATGAAGATTGCAATTCAACAGCAAACGCAGGATCAAGATAGAAAGAATATTGAGCAGATTGTTGATCCAAATTTCCTAAACCTAATTGATTTGCAATGTCAAACGCATCATTTTCCAATTGACAAGAGTTGAACTCCTCAGCTGATGGTGATGGTGATGAAGTTGTAGACGATGATTCTAGAATATTCTCATCAAAATTGGCAGCATTAACCTGATTGCCCATTGTAGAAGACGTGGTGAAATGTTGTTCATTAAATTGACTTAGCAAATTAAAGGCCCATTGATAATCACCGTGACAGGCATTGAGTACTTCTTCAATGTGGGTTGATTCAGCAAGCGGGAAATCATAAGAAAGCTTAGCCACCTTCTCATCGTAACCAAGATAACCAGCAAATCCTTCACAATATGTACCCCGATCAATCTTGGGATCACATCGAGATCTAAGATATTCCTTTGAGAAAACAATCCCATCGTCGTCTATAGTTGTCTCAACACCATTACACCAACCACCATCATGATCAGGTTTAGATACACTTGGATATACAATCTCATCAGCGCCTAAATCAAAAGCAAACCCATTCTGCTCAACTTCCAATAAAGCCCAATCTCGATCTTCAACTTGGGTTGAACGATTGCATAAAAGTTTTACTTCAAATTCTTCCTCCACCTTTGGTTCAACCTTTGATTCTCCTGGAAATGGTGGAATCTCCCAATTGAATGCACCACCATTAGCACCCAAACCAAGTGAACCGATGAGTCTTTTGGGTCCTTTTTTTCCACCAAATGAACTTGCTAAAGAATTAGTAGCAGGCGTAGTTGTTGTTGAGGATAATGAGGTAGAAGATGAAGAAGAAATTGTCGGTGATCCATTCATCATTAACAGCGACTAAAAATTTAGTAATATGACTCAAAACAAACAGTGGCAAAGAACAAAAGTAAGATAACAAAATATCAGCAGAAAATGTGAAATAAAAACAATTGAAGTAAGAAAATAATGAACGTGGATTACAATGAATGGCAGGAATCAGATTAAAATGATGAAAAGAAAAAATTGAACATTTAAACAGATATAGTAACAATTATCATTCAGACAATTCCAATAGTAAGATTATCAATGGCACCAAAAAAAATAGAGAGCAAATAAAACAAAAACTGGAAATTTCTTTTATCTTATGGACTTTCTTAAACGTATCGGAAGATAATAAGGTTCACTGATAATGATGGATATTAATTGATTAATTAAATTATTAATTAGAATCATTTTCACACCGAATTTGTTAAGTGTTTATGACTGATGTCAACTTGTAATCACTAATTACGCTTAGGCTTAAGAGTGACAGCGCATTCTCATTAATTTGAGTCAATTTTTCAATTTGGAAACATGTGACTGTTGTTAAGGGTTTTCAAGAGAATTAATGGTTGATGAATATCTCTTTTTTTCTCTCTTTTTTTCCTTTGGTTTCACAGAACAAAATTATAAGATGGAATCTTTGTAATCACTTTAATAACGAACTGTTCTTACTTTGGCTTCCATTTTGAACGATAAAATTAAGTCTTCTCCTGAACACAAATACTGGGTGAAAGAATAGAGATGATAAGAAGAAAGGTGAGAACATTTGACCAACACGAACAGCAAAGGAAAATGAACGATGAAGGTGAAGAAGTAAACGATTTGCAAGTAGATGTAGAAGGTGAAGTAGAGAAAAGAACGAAGAATAAAAAAATTGTTGTTGATTTAATTCACAATCGAAATTAAAGAGAATTTTTTATGTTGCCGAGCAACAGTTGATCTTTTCTTACTTTTTCTCTGTCTACTTTTCTGTCTACAAAAGAATAAAATTTTATTCTATTCTCTTTGCGTTCTGATGGTGGCGACACTTTCGTTTTCTATTCGCTTTTGTTTTGGATTTTTTTCTTCCTCTCTTTAGATGATTTAATTACCATCGAGAATTTAATTGCAACCACTGTGTTGGTTTGAATTAAATTACTTCTACAACCGAGATAAAGTCATTTTTAAGTGTTTAGTTTCATGACATGGTCAAGGTGATTGGAAAAAATTTTCCAAGTGTCAAAATTTGAAATTTTCTTGTCACAGAAACAAAAATTCACATTTTGTTTTCTAAAATTGGCTCAAACTTTTTTCCTTTAAAACTATTTACCACTTCTGGATCAATGATGGAACTCAATCAAGATAAATTGATTGAAGGTAATCACTTAAGTTATCTAAGTTTAATTGTCAGAAAAAAGTTTAACTTAATCACAATTAATTTTTTTCAATCGTCTATTGGTACTGCGCATGTGTCAGAGTTTTGAAAAGAAACAAAGTCAAGTAGCTCCACCAGGTGATTCCTTATATAAGCTACTGTTCACTTCTTCAATCGGAGTTAATTTATCAAGGAACTAAATTTATTTGTTATCGTGTTAAATTGTTATAATTACTAATTGTTTCTGTATATAAATTAATTAGTAAGTGTTGGAGTCTCTTTTGAGACAATTACCGATTAAATCTGTTGATCATGGCTGGTGCTTCACAAGAATATGTTGTCAGAGCTCCAAAGTAAGTGATCTCTATTAATGATTTTCTTCTTGTCCTATCTCTTTATTTGTATTTCTTTTCATCCGTTTCTCTTTCACTCTCTGAGATTTTAATAACTTGATCTTTGGCGGTAATTAGCTTTCGGTTGAGATTGGTAGTTTGTCATTCATTTTATCTTTCGAATATTTGGTTATTAATGTTTAACTTTTTTTTTCTCTCACTTTTTGTTTTCTACAGTGAAAACAGTAAACGTTTCAATGTTATGCGATTTGCCAACTCATTGAATGTTGATGTTACCAAATGGAAGAGTGCTCGAATGGAAAGAGAACGAAACAATGTTAAACAAGCTGAAAGGGCGGTTACTGAAGAGGCACCTAAATTTGGCTTTGGTTCGGAATATGGTAAAGATGCTAAGGATGAGGCTAGAAGAAGACGATGGGGACAATATGCAAAGAAAAAAGATGATTGTCCATGGACTTTGAGAGTTGGTGGTAAAAATGGAAAAAAGTTAGTTGAAAGAGATTAAGAGGTGTTGGTCATTAGTTTATTTCTAAACATTTCTTGTGTTACTCATTAGATTTAAAGGGACCCGTGAAGGAGGTGTCACTGAGAATACTTCGTATTATGTATTTTTTCAAGCCCATGATGGAGCGTTTGAAGCCTTTCCGGTCAGTGAATGGTACAATTTCACGGCAATTCCTAGATACAAACCATTAACTTCTGAGGAAGCTGAGGAAAGATACGAAGAGAGAGATAAGATTCTCAATCATTTCGCTGTGATGGCCTCCAGGAAAAACACCGAAGGTGGTGAAGCCGAGCAAACAGGGACTAAATTACAGAAGAATGTTAAAAAATCGAAAGATTTCAAGGTAACTGATATTGATGACTGGGTTGACTCTGATCAATCAGGTGGAGGTAGTGATGAAGAAGGAGAAGATGGAGATACCAAAAAGAATGGTAAAGGTAAAGCCAAAGGAGCCGCTAAAAAGAAAGGAGGAAAAAAGAAGAAAAAAGGATCAGATGATGATGATGACGATAGTGAACCAGGCGAAGAAAGTGACGAGGGAGACCATGAAGCTCGAGAAGTTGATTACATGTCCGACACTTCGTCTGAATCAGGAGCAGAAGATCTAGAAGAAAAGTTGAACAAAGAGTTAAAAGGAGTTGAAGATGAAGATGCTCTTAGAAAATTAGTACTTTCTGATGATGACGAAGAAGAGGAAGAAGGTAAAGCAAAAGAAGATGTAGCCGGTACTAATAAAGGAAATGGAGAAGATGCCCCAAAGGGCAATGATTCAGACGGTAAAGTTAAAGTTAAACAAGAAAAAAGTTGTAAGTATTTGCGTTAATTTTGATATTCAGTTGATAAACCGAAATATTTATAAAAATGTAACGTAAACATAACCGGTAATTTTAACATTCTCTTTCTCATTTCTTTTTTTCTCTCTCTTCCTCAGCTGATTCTGATACTTCTGCATCGGATGATTCAGATGACTCAGATTTAGATGATTCCAAATTCCAAAGTGCTATGTTCTTACAAAAGAAAGCTGCGTCGAAAAATAAAAAAGAATCAGAGCAAAAATCTTCAAGCTCTAAGTCGAGTACTCCCATGGCCGATCAACCAGGTCAATCCAATAGCACCTCGAATAATGGTAACAACAAAGAGACTAATTCTAATGGTGAAAATGGTAACGGAAGTGGTACCAGTTCTATTGTTGGTAATAATGACGGAGATTCCAAGTCTTCGGTGAAGAGGAAATTCCCCTCGGCGGAAAATAGTCCAGTTATTAGTAAAAAATCAAAGACAAGTGATTCTGGAGGTGAAGCAATTAGCGAGGAGGCAGTTCGACGATATCTAATGAGGAAGCCAATGACTGCTGCTGAACTTTTACAAAAATTCAAAGGACGAAAGGTTCCGTTGAGAGGACACGATTTAGTTCAAACAATAGCTCATATTTTAAAGAAATTAAATCCAGATAAACAAACAATCAAAGGAAAATTACATCTTTACATTAAACCACCAACTGGACCATAAATGAATTCATTTAACATTTGACCAGATCAAACTCATCGACACACAAACACAAACACAACCAGTATCAAAAGTCTTGTCTTTTTGCATCATCTACTCTACACTCTCGAAAAGCAATGATTTATACACTTAAAGCCATTAATTAATTGTTCACAACGAGCTAATTTATTTATGAAATGTTAACTCGAGTGTTTATAAGAGCCTGTTCTTGGTTTTTACTCTTATCAATTTTTTTCTCCCTTTTTTTTTTTGCTTTCACCAACAATCAACTCAACAATTTATGTATATCAAAAATAATCAAGTTGAGTTAATTTTCCAAAAACCCGTTTAAATCACAAACAACCATTAACAAACTGTGATCAGTATGTAATGACAATTAACACTAACCTAATCGACACAAATTGTATGTCAACTTTTGCTTGTTCCTATTGAATGTTGACTAAAAATGAGTCGATCTCAACATAAAACAACCAACAAATCTAATGTCAATTATTACAATCAGATTGACATGTTAATTCATTCAATCGGATTAAATTGCGAATTAATATCAATGGTTACAAAAGAAAAGTAATTAATTTTAATTGCTTGATAAGAGATAAACAAGAAGAGAAGAAAAAAATTTATATATGAGATTGGCAATTGATATAATATTTGTCACCTTGGAAGAGAAATTAATTGTTAACAATCAATTGTTATTGATACGTTTCTTTTTCATTAATTCCCATAACTCTAATACCTGATCCTTTTTTGATTCTAATTGTTGATTATAATGATCCCAAGGATAATCAATATTAGTGCCACCCAACGAAGCGGGTAAACAAGATTTTGGGACATAATTGTAAAGACTTGTTAAATTGTGACCATGAAAGATGATACGATTTTTTAATTTCTCATCAAGAAACGGTTTGAACAGCGAATAGGCCAAATTGGTGAGTCGATTCTCGTAAATAACGTGAAGATTAATCAACTTGAAGGGAATATACTTGTCGGTCAAATCGGAGGCCAGTTTAGCGTTGGTAATGCCGACATTGTAGATCTGTGACCAGCCCAATCCTCTCATATCGATGATACCGATGAAACCATTTTCTTGTACCTGTTTATCAAGAAGGGAAACCTCGTCAAAGAACAGGGTGGTTGTGATGATCGTCTCAATGTTGAACGATCGGGTGTCCCAACGACCTGGATGACTGATCAACAATTTACATCCATTTGGTGTTTTGACCGGATAGTGATAGTACATATCGGATGAGATGACCTTTTTGATTGAATCGCTCCAGGCAAATATGTCAGGTCGATCTTCAAGAATTGAAATGAAACCTGATAAAACCTTATGAGATTCCCGAAGGTCATAATCACGAGAACGCAGAAACTTCAAGATAATTTCATCATCAAGATCATAATCTCGTAATTTAGTTTTAGAGGTTAATAGTGAACGAAATTCAATTAAACATTTTGATTCATCTATTTTCATGACAATTGGTTTTATCGATGATTTATCATCAGAATTAATCACTGAAGATGTTGGTGTTGTTACTAAGCTGGTTTGAGTTACTGGAGCCATTTTCTCATCACTTTACAAGGAAATCAACTTGGACAATTAACTGGACACACTATAAATGAAATACGACAATTAAGTTGAAAGCAATAGAGAAAAGGGAGAGAAAGAGAGAGAGAGAAACGAAAGTGAGTGAGTGAAATAATTATGTTAATTGATGAACGAAAACGAGTTTCTCTTGATAAAAAAACGTATCACCTGATTCTGGGAAGAAAAAGATTGTTAATTTACCGCTTTTTAATTAATTCCGAGATAATTAGTTGATGGTGTTTACTAGGATGTGATCAGGATGATGATTAAACAAACAGCTAGAATAATATTGAATTGAAATTGGCAAAAGTTGTCACATTGAACTAGAACTTAAACTGATTCGATTGACTGAATTTTTTGTGTTTCTGTGCCACGAGTGAGATGAAAATTCACTTCAAATGTATATTCAGTGAGTGGAGATAATGTAAAATAGGAGAGAGAGAGAGGGAGATAATAAGAAATTCCTTGAAGGAGTTGGAGGAAGGAGGGAGCTAAGGATGATAAAAGATGATAGGAAATGATAACTGGAAAGTTTTCAAGTTTAAAAGAAAGTAACAAGATGATGATTCATTTTGAAAGAAACAACAACAATCAACTATCCATGAAAAAGATTAAGGATTAAGGTGTAAATAGATTATGATTACTTTCACCCTGTCGAATTAACAAATTGCCAATGGCAGGGGATTGGAAATTAAACCGATCAAGATGATAAATCTCGGAATGAACTTTAAACAGGTCAGAGTTTTTGTCCATTGTAAAGTTTTAACATGGAAATGGGAAACATATCATTTCCTATCGAGTTTATCTCGTTACAATCTCGATTTCCCCTTGAAACTTACCTGGTGTTTTGATTATTTCCGTTTGCACCTCTGTGAGAATCAACTGATTGTTATAATCTAAAGTTAATCAACCTGTAAACTCAATGAGACCTCAAGTGATCCAGATACAAATCATTGACTTGTGATGGAGAGGATATCAACCATCAAGAGAAATTAATTTCTACAGTTGAAAGGAACAATCAATTTCCATGGTGGAGAGAAGTGAATTTCAACTAATCAGACACCGAAAGGATGAGAGATTCCCAATCAATTTAATTACCGAAGCGTAAACAATCAACAATTATAATCCAATGAGATTAAGAGATAAAAACAATCAGCAAATTGCTCGGAAACTTAATCAAAACACTGATTAGTTATAACATACATATGAGACTATTTATTGATTGTGAATGTAAAAAGTTAGATGAAGTGGTTTTCGAGTTTACAATTAACGTGAAAATAAAGTTAATCATAACAATTAACTTTTCCAATGGATGAAGAGAGTGAAAGAGAGACCAATCATCAGAATAATCAATTCCTTCCATCATCATTTATTATTAATTGTTAGAGACAATTTTTCTTCTGTTGATTTTAATTCTCGTTTGAGTTTATCTGCCATTCCCAAAGAGTTGATACTTGATCCGTTGATTTAAACCTTTTGATTGTTGTTAAATTGCGATGATTACAGAATCAATTATCAATCTTCATAAGAAAGAAAGAAAAAATTAAGAAGAAGATGAAAACAATTGCAATTTGGAAACGTTAATTGTAAATATAAAATTGATTTAAATCATGTCCATGTGAAGATAAAAGAGATTGAGAGAGTGAGAGAGAGAGAGAGAGAGAGATGAGGATGAGGATGAGGAAAAGGGATCAATGGGATAATCCAATCAATGTTAATCCGATAATCGATCATCTCAACTGATTATCTCAAGGAATGATTTGAACAATGATTAAGCCAGTGTGATATTTATACGGTCAATTTAGTGTAGATATAAAAACCATCATCGACATTGTAGTTTTCTCATATTGACCCAATTAAATCAGGTCACTTTTGATATTAAGATTGGCCTCCTTTCGAGCTCGTAGTGCACAATCCTCCAGAGTGACCGCCGCTTCGTATTTCCCTTGACGCCTGTACAGTGCACCCAAATTTTTTAAGGTTGTAGCCACGGTGGGACTGTAGGGAAGGAGGAGAAAAAAAATTCAATTAAAATCATTGGCAAAGAATTAAATTCCCATCGAATCATGAGAAGCTGATTAAAAACAAACAACAATTTAGTTTGATTGTTGATCAAAATTATTTGATCAACAGTCTTTGCACTTGGATAGTTGGGGTTAATGAAGGTTTTCCAGTTGAACAATTAAAACAATCACCAAACAATTGCTCATCCTAATCTGTATTTTAATGGTTAGTTGATGATAAAATTTGTCTTTTAATTAATTAAACAAAAATATAAATTTAATTAATCAAGAGACATTGGAAATTACTATTGCCTGTTAATTGTTATAATTTGAGTATCACAAGTAAATTGTCTTGATAATTTACTTGATTGTTATATAGCAAACGTAAATTGTCATTGACAAATAGCTGTAAATAGTAATTATAATCACCTAATTGGAAACAATTAAGGAAAATGATTAAATTGTTAAGGAGGAAAAGGCTTAACATCCTACATAAAAAGTAAAATGATTAATCTTAATCATTTAGTAAAAACTTATGATCCAGTTAAGTTAAACTACAATTAACATAAAAATAGTTTTATTATTAAAAAACATTAGTTAATTAATTGTTGTTCAGTAAATTGTAAGTTCCTGATCATCATCATGATAAATATATAAATAAAAACTTACAGAAAACAACAACAACAACAACAACTAATTGATTATATTTTCAATTAACCACAAAACATGAAAATGAATCGAGAAATTAATTAAATGAAACAACAAGGAATGAGAGAAGCAAAAATTAAGGAAAGAGAGGAAACAATTAACCTAAAGAAAATTCAGTTCGATTATCAATTAATCAAATTAGAAGGATAAACAAAAACAACAACAAGAATAAAACAAATTGCTGATCTCACTTTTCACTGATTTCTATTATCAGAATTGTGGATCATCATAATAAACAATTAGAACACATGATAACTCATCTTCATCTTTATCTCTCTCATTTCTCTTCCTATTCACCTTAAATATCATCTGATTGAAAACATAATCTGTTGACCTAATCAAAGATTCAGGTAAATGAACAGAATGAAAATTGGGTTGGGTTCGTTGATCACAATGAATTAAAAGGTATAATAATAGCAGGAACATGCAATTGGAGACCGTGTTAAATGCTCTTAAATTGTTCCTCTCTCTCATATGATGATGAATATAAAGATGAAGATGATGAAGCAAATAATAGCCATTGTGAACGCTGTTTGGACAAGAAGAAAAAAGAAAACAAAAAATAACGGTTAATAAGAGTAACAACAAACACCCTCCTTAATATCATGTTAACGATTTCATCTCTTCCTCTTAATTTTTGTTGATTCATCTTTAGCATCTTCATCATTATCATCTTCATGTATGTGTGTATATATATTTTTATGAATGAGATGCTGTTCAATTAAATGATCATTTTCAGTAAAATTTGTTCTTCTTCTTGTTGTTTCATTAATAGTCCTTTTTTTTGCAACCCCTGTAACAAGTACAATCAGTAACCTGAATTGTAAATTTCAATCATGCTGAGGATTGAATTTGTGGATTACGAGATTTCAATTGGTTCATCTTGAGTCTTTTTTTTATGTGATGGGATGAGAGTTAAATCAAATGATAATAATGAACAAAATATGAAATGAAATAGATGATAAATTATAATAATAATAATAATAATAATGATAAACGTTAAAATAATAATAATAGTATTAGTGATATAGGGACAATAATAGTAACAATTAATAAATAATAGTTTTTAAAATGGAAATTTAAATTTAAAAACACAACCAATAACAGTTAACATGTAATGTTAATCAATGACAACCATTACCATGACCAGAAAAAGTGTTGTTTCAATTGATTGTTTGATTGTCTGAATTGTCAATGTTGAGAAAAATAGTTTCAATATCATAAATCACTTGAGGTTTTTGGGTTAGTTGATTAATATCAGAATTATGTGAGAATCATAAATAATAATACTAATATATATATTTGGAATGGGAATGGATAAGGTAAGAGAGATTAGAATGATTAGTGAGTGTGTGAGAGAGAGAGAGAGAAAATAACGAAAAAAATTAGTCCAGAACATTTTCTTTTATATCTTACCATTTATCGACTGCTTTATACCAGGTACCAGAATCTACATTCGGGAAAGGTGTATTATCCTTATTCTTATTTTTACTTTCTTCTCTTTCTTCTGCTATCTGCCATATTGGCTTGTTTTCACCTTCTATGTTACCAAATTCTCGAACATGGGCTCGAGTTAAGACTTGTTTGTACAACATTTCGGCTTCCTTGTATTTGCCTTGCTTAAGGTAGGAAGAGGCAAGATTGTTTTTCGTTTTCGCTACATTTGGATCATCAGGTCCAAGTACTTTCTCATAGATTTCCAGTGCTCTTAAATAATATTTTTCCACTTCATCATATTTTCCTTGATTCTGACAGAGGAGAGCTAAATTGTTCAACTGTTTAGCAACATCCGGATGATTTTTACCCAAAACACGTTCACGAATTTCTAATGCTCTCATACAAAGTGGTTCAGCTTCTTTGTAACGTCCTCTTTTACCATAAAGAACCGCTAGATTGTTTAATGTTGCCGCTACTGCTGGATGATTCTCTCCAAGGGTTTTCTCTCGAATGGCCAGAGCATCGTTTAAAAGGTTTGCAGCTTCTCGATATTTATATTGATCACGGTAAACAAGTGCCAAGATATTTAACATGGTCGCCACATCAGGATGATCATGGCCACTTGTTTTCTCCAAGTCTTCCAGGGCTTGTTTACACAATGGTACTGCCACTTCGTACCTTCCCTGAGATGCATATTGAATGACTAAATTGTGAAGGGTTCGTAGTCGAGCAGGAATCTCATAACCAGCATTGGCTACGGCTGCCATTTGTCCAGGTGGGGTTGGTGTTAAGCCCTCGGGATGTTGTTCCTCTTCATCATCAGGAAAACCAAGATCAAGAGGAGCTTCACTTTCTGTTTTACTTTTTTCCATGGGATCATCGGCTGTCGGCTAAATAGGCAGAAAAGAAAAAAAGACAGAGAGAAGAGAGAGAGGATAGAGAAAGAGAGAAAGGAAGGAAAATAATTAGACAATTTTGTAAACAAGAACTTAAAATAAACCGAATGCCGGTTAATGGCCTAAGTGGAAAGAAAAACATGAGTACACTAGAGAGAGAAAAATTAGATGAATTTACGTACACTGGCTTCACCGAAGTCATACTTTTTAATGGAATTTAAAAACTCGAGATGTTTTTTCTCCTCCTCAAGGTGAGCAACTTTTTGTTCAGAGATTTGTAAATTTTGTTGAGTGTTAGCCAACTCATCGCGAAGCCAAGCATTCTCTTGACACAACCTTCGAACCTGTGCTCGTAATTTTTGTTTCTCTGCTTCAACGGTTTGCAAGTGACCCGCTAAAGCGATCATAACTTGAGCCTCAGAAAGTCCAAGTTCAATACTTTCTATTATTTTATCGACAATTGCTGTCTTCTCTTCCATCAGTCTAAGATTAGAATCATTTTCACAATGTTCTGATTTTTGAATAGCCTCTAATGATGATAATAAGCCACTATGGATGGATAGATTTTCATTTCTCAGAGCATCAAGTCCTTGGATCACAGTTTTGGTATTTGCAACGATATCTTCTTGCGTCATTGCAGTCATTTTGACGAGATGGAGGTGGTAGTGATAATGGTGAAAAGGTGAAAACGATTATAGCTACAAAAATAAATAATAATCCAGAATGTAATATATATAAAATATATGTAATTAGAATGAGAGAAGAAGATTAAAGACAAGAAGAACATATAATATAATAATGAAAACAAGGAGAAGATAATTGATTAAACATGAAATTGGAATAAAACAATTTAAGGAGAATCACAATGTTATTGGGAAAGAGACGAAACTTAAATTGAACGTCACAAACATACAACACACACAAAAACAAGACAATGAACACAATAGACTGAAAGAAAACCAATAATAATTAAAAATGGAGTTGTATTCAGTTTGGTTACCAGTAACCAAGTGACTTGTTACTTGACAACAAAAAAATAAACCAGTAATAGTAATAGTATCACTTCTGTTGTTATTGTATTTACACACACACACACTTTCATTCATTCCCAACAGAGTCACCTATTGAGATTGTATTGTAATGTTATTGGAAATGTTTTCATGATGAAAAACGAAAACGAGACGAAATTGATTTGGAGAAAACGGTTTACATAATACTAGGCAATGGTCAATGGAATGGGGTTAATGTGAATTACAGATTAAATGGACATTGAGAGTGAGAATATGAAAAAGAGAACACATTCAATCGAGAGAGAGAGAGAAAAAAAAGATCATGGAGAAAAAAAGAAAACATTGAATTCTATTAATAGAAAAAAAGAATTCTCTTCAAAGATTCTTCATATTCTACTTACCTTAACTAATCACTAAATCATTCAAATTAAAATAAGATGATTGACGAACAGAGTTGATGTCACAATTTAATAAAAAATGTCACAATTAAAAAGTAATCACAATTAACTGTCAAAGAAAAAAAATTAAATTCTTCAATTAAAATCATAACATCAATTCAATTGTTTTCCTCTATCGGAGTAACTTGGAAATAGAAAAAAGAGAAAAAAGTGGCTCCATCTTTCGATTGGAAAAGTAACATTTTGAATTGGATTTTTTTCTTTCTAAATAATTAATTAGTTTTTTCCATTAATTAGAAGGATACGAGAGAAAAAAAGAAATGAGAAATAATCTAATCCAAGAGTATGTCTTTGGCAAGGCTGTTGTTGTAGAAAAAAAGGTTAACATGTTGGTAGAAAAGTGAAAAGAATTTGTTTTGTTACCTTGTTCGAACTTGAAAATCAGTTCGATGAATTGTTCTGGAATTTAGTTCTAACTGTCAAAGAACAATTTGTTATGGATAAATTACGAACAAATTTACCTGGAGATATTAAATCAACCATTTCAGAAGGTGTTAAACCGATTAAACTGTCAACTGATCCATTGTTCACCGTAATCCAAATAATACCCGAACTCCAAGGTCGATATGAGAAAATAATTTTCTGCGGTCGAATTTTAAGTTTATTCGCAATTCTATCGATAATTATGTCCATGGTGGCCACAGTTTTCTACGACAATAAACTGCACCTTCAAATCATGGGATTAATCAGTTTACTTCACATAATCAGTTTAATCTTGGGAGAAATTAATCAAAAATTGAAACATCGATACATTTTAATATCGTTAATTGTGATCAATTGCCTTTGGCTTGGATCGACTTTAATTTTCCTGATGACTTATATTTTCTTACGTAAGTATCAAGTTAATCATCACACGACAATTAATCCAATCAATCGACCAGAATACTAATCCAATACCAATCTAATTACAGTTGATTCCAAGGTTAATCCATCTAAAGCTGATTTTTCCAAAGAAATTCATTTCCATGTAGTTGTATTGTTTTATATTGGAATTGCTAATTGTTTCTTTTACCTTTGTGATCAACTTTTCCGGAAATTGATTAAAAATCCTCCCGAATCATTAATTCAACGACCAGGTAAATCATCACCGATTAAAGTAACAACCGCACAAGATTTAACTAACATTGTTGTCGATAAAGTAATTAAGCAACAGCAAAATTTATCCAAAACAATTAATCAATCGATTAAGGTAATTGCCAAATCAACTAATACAATTGGAAAGACTAAATCATCACCAGCGATTTTATCAAAATCAATTGGTCAATCAACTAATCCAAATACTAAATCATCAATAGTTAATTCATTGGAATCTAATAAACTTAAATATAAAGATTCAAGTAAATCAAATCAATTTAAATTATCGCAGAGTAAATGATTTAAGTTGATTAGTGTAAATATGGATTCCAAATGTAAAATAAACAAATTTGATTAACAATTTCTTTCTTCATCTTCATTCAAGTTAATTTATTTGATAGTAAATTGTTGTTGTTGTTGTTTTGTGTTCTGACTCAAGAGGATTAAGGAAAAAGGATTAAGAGAAAGAGAGAGAGAGAGAGAGAGAGAGAGAGAGAGAGAGAGAGAGAGAGAGATTTGAAAAAATATAATCATAGAGAAATAAATCAATCAATGTAAACCCAATATACCAAGAGAGATACATTTTCGTGATAATTGTGTGTTGATAGTTAATTAATTATCAAGTGTTTCCTTCGGTGTTTTCTTTGTTAAAGTCAAGGCAGTATTACAGTGAGAGTGAAAAAGTTGCAACGACAATGACTAAATGATAATTGTAACAATATGAACCGGGTAAGAAATTGATTAAGATGATTTGTTGTTGCTCTTGTTGTAAACCAATTTAAGCTGATCATCAATAATCATGTCATTTTGTTTTTGCTGTGTAATTATTTGTCTAATCAATGCTTTGGTTCAATTTTAAAGGGAAACGACAAAAGTAAAGAGAAGGAGAGTAATTAGATTATCAAGAGAATTGTTTACAATTGAATAATTGGTTTCCTGTGAATTTTGTTCATCATAATCATCATCGTCTTCCTTTTTCTTTCTTTGTTTGGTTGTATATTGTGTTGGTGTCTTTTTGGTGTTCATGCTAAATAAATACACGGATGGTTGGTAACTTAACTCGCAATGAAAATATCGTTCAGTTTTCTTGAAGAAAGGAGAGAGAGAGGGAGAGGGAGAGGGAGAAATAATTAAAGGTTTTGGCTCAGGTAGCTAAAGAAAATGGGGATGAGAGAGCTTCTCGTGAAGAGAGGGAGATATATATTCACTTGTTATATAAGGGATGATGAAAGTGAGCTCTTTTCATTATAATACATAAACAAAGAAATTTTCATTAGTTGTTAAATTAATCATCGATAGTGAAGTTTTTCAAATTAACTAGAGGGAGACTAAGTAATAGGAAGAGATGGAGGGGAGAGAGAGAGAGTTTGTGTGTGTGTGTATAGTAGGAGGAAGAGAACAGCAAAAAATAATGATGAATCTTTCTCCGAGAGTTAATTTTACAAGAGTTTTGTGATTGACATGCACTCTTATTGTCGTTTGTATAATTTCCACTTTAATTTGACCAAAATAGTTTTATTAAATTGCCTTGTCAATGAAATTGGATCCTAAATGGAAAGGTGGCTTTTTCTTCTGGTTGTATATGTGTGTGTATTTGAATAGATCATGTTCTTTGAATAAATATTTTCCACATTAATTTAAAGCAAAATGAAAAAGGTTTCATAGAACCATGGCAGATTTCCATGGAAATTATGAATTTAAGTTGATAAATATGATGTGGTTAATGTAAGTGTTGTTGATTTTTGTGTACGTTGGTGTAGAGTGATCTCTCTCTCTCTCTCTCTGTATGTGTATCCGTTGGTCAAATGGTGATAATTAATTGAATAAAACACCAATTAATGTATATATAGAATCTTTTTGCTTCCTTGGTGGAAAAAAAATCTTTGTAATAATGTAGTGATGGTGGTATAAGAACGAAAGAAGAGGAAAAAAACAGTGATAAGAATCAATGAGAAAGAGAGAGAGTGAGAGAGAGAGAAAAAAAAGCAAATGCAGATGATGATGGAGATGAAGATGATGAATGAGACAGACAAAAAATCGAAAAATTGAAGATGAAATGATGATGGTGTTCATTTGGTTTTCCTTTTGCTTTTTTTCTCCTTCTTCTCTCAATGAAAGAGAGCACATTCATGTCACAAAAAAAGGTCCATGCAAAGCGTATATCAGAAAACCAGGTTGCATACCAATCAGATGAGAGAATTTAGTGAATGAAAGATGCGATTTGCTTTGTAATATCTTCTTAAGTCTTTTCTTCCATAAATAGTAAGTTCTATAGATCCAATTGATTTCCTTAATTGTCTTCAAATTGACTTGACGTTTCGCCTTTGCTTTTTGTTTTAACACAACTTCCAAAAAAAGTGTTCAGATGTATAATATGTATATATAGAGAAGATAAAATGGAAAAGAGAGAGAGAGAGAGACAAAAAAATCACATCCACTTGGAAGATAAAGAAATGATGATGTTCCTTTCCCAGTTTTGTTTTTATCACGTTGGATGTTTCAATTTTTTATGTTCTTTCAGATAATCTTTACGAGAATATGATTTAAGACAAATGTCACAAACATATCTCTCTCGATCAGCAAAGTGGCGCTGCATATGCCTCCTTAAGCTACTATAAGCTGTAAATGTTAAACCACAATGTTGACATCGACAAATTTTGCCTAAAGGAAATGAATTTATAAAGAAAAAGAAATGAAAAACATTGATTAATAGGATTAGTGGTGTTCAGGTGACATTAATTGTTCTGTACCTGTGTTGGATGCATTAGATGGTGTTGATCCCGTTGAGCCTGGAGATAATGAAGGATAATCCATATGAGCAACAATCATGTTTTCCGATGAAACTGACATATTGTTCATTGATGCACCAACCGAACCTTCATCAAATGATACAATTGGTTTGATATCTATCGATGTGAATAAGAGATGGAGAGGAAAATAAAATTATTAGAATGTAAAGCAAATAAAATCACTGATTATCAATCCAAGATAAAGAGAATTAAAAGAGAGGGAGAGAATAAATTAACTGCAATTAAATTAATTACCAATCATTCCATTTGATTCCTCCGATGCATCTCCCATTGGATTGTTCATAGACATTTGCTCACCATCTTGCCACGTTTCGGAGCTCTATTATTATTATATGACAAATGAGAAAAGTAAAGTTATTAGTATAAATTGTGTGTGTGTGTGAGAGAGAGAGATGGTTACAAAAAGCATATTATTTTTTGGTGCAATATGGTTACACTTACATCATCTAAATGTCCATAATCACTGTTATTTACTAATTCTCTGTGAGATTGTAAACCAGATGAAACTACAGGCGGTGGAGGTGGTGGTGGTAGGGCTAAAGGTTGTCGCCTTCGAGAAGTCAAGGAATGATTTGAATGATCTAAACTTGAACTGTTTCCTTGTTGCGGAGGTATTGGAGGTTTTAACCTTTTCGATATTGAATTATCACCTGATACAGAATCATCGTCACCTGAAGCGGATCCAGAGGCTTCATCACTTCCAGACCCTTCTTCAACACTAGAACTATCAACTGATCTTTTTGACCTCCTACGACGTCGTTTACGGGGTTGTATTGTTTGTTTATGTAGCGTTTGGGGTAAAGATGGTTGTTGTTGTTGTTGTTGTTGTTGCTGCTGCTGCTGTTGAGCAGCAAGTTGATTAGTATGAATTTGTTGAGACACATCTATGTCTTGTTTAATCTGAGGAACAAGGGGAGCAGGGGGAGGTGATTGTTGAGACAGAGGTGGAGTGAGCGATTGTGGTTGAAGTTGAAGTTGAAGTTGAGGTTGAGGTTGGATAATAGGAGTTGGTGTTGATGTCGGTGTAGGTTGTTTCTGGATTGGAGATAGAGGAGGTTGTTGGTGATTTTGCTGGGGTTGTTGTTGTGGTTGTTGTTGTTGTTGTTGTTGTGCTGGCTGAGATTGGGATTGTTGCTGTTGATTCAGATTAATTTGAGGTTGAACATTATTACTATTATTACTATTATTATTAACTTGTGATTGAATTTGAACTGTTGATGAAACCGCGAGTGGCTGAGATAAGGTGAGTGCTTGTTGTTGTTGCTGCTGCTGTTGGGAGATTTGTTGAATAGGATGTTGAGGTGGAGGGGGTTGAGCTGGTGGTTGATAATGTGCTTGGGAAGAGACACCGTTCATATGGCATTCATTTTCTGTCAAAATAGTTGCATGATCACCAACAACAGTTCGGGGTAATTCATTATTAACCGGCTCATTTTCTTTATCCATTTCCCTCATCTCTTGGTTTAATTTGTTCTCATCATCGTCATCCTTTGCCTCAGTTAAACCTTTAACCTTAAGTATCTCGGCTGTTTTAAGAAGAGCACCAAGCTGATGTTGGAAAACATTTATCTCTCCTTTATACATGAAATCAACGATCGCCTTTAAATCATCCATTTTCATATCTTTCAGTATAACAATTGGGTGTTTACATGGATTAGATAGAAATAGCTCCTTAAAATAGTTAGAACAAGCAGATAGAACGACTTTATGAGCTTTAATTGATGATCCTTCACATGCCAGGGTAACATCAACAAAATTTTGATCATAAGCCATTGATGAAAAGGTTTTCACTAAATTATATGAATGGTCATTCCATTTGAGACAAAACTGTTGAGATACCGGTGGTGGAACCATCATGCAACCAGGATGTTCTTCGGTTAATTTACTGGAACTGAACATTATACATCATCACCATAACATTACAAGTACGATTTTGTTTTCAATTTAAAACTTATCTTTAAGTTAACCTTCCTCCCTCATTAAATCTCCATTGAAATCCAACCTCTGAGATCAATTCCTTTGCTTTTTCCTTCTTTAATTTAACTTATCACTTTTCTTGAAAATTTTACCAGCAGATTTTAAGAATAAGATAGATAAGCCAATCAAGAGGATTCACTATTGATCTAGATGATGGAAAACAAGATCACTGGTCAAGGATGTCAATCAATTTAAGAACCATAGACAATTTTTTTCTTCCTTCAAGACAAATGATAATATAAGAGAAAAATAGAGAGAGAAAAAAATATATAAAGATTAGAAGAAAGAGAATAAAAGTAAGAAAAACATAGACATACAGACACAGAAACAAAATAGAGAGAGAGAGAGAGAGAGAGAGAGAGAGAGAGAGAGAGAGTAAATGAAAGACACGGTGAGAGAGAGAGAAAGAGAATTTAATAAAAACGAGAGAGAGAAAGTGATATCGAATAGATGAACATAACAATTAGCTAAATTACCTTTGTAACATTGATAATGATGGAAGAGAAGAAAAATAATAATGGTGGAATAAAGGTAAAGATAAAGGCAGAATTTACAGGAAAGGGAAAGAGAAAGAGAGAGAGAAGCACAGAGAGAATGAAAAAGAAAGAGAGAGAAAGAAGATCATCTCTGATACTAAGGAGGAGCAATGGAGATACACTCACAATGTGAAAAACTAACTACTCTCACTAAGGAAAATAGGGAAACCTTTTCGATTGTTTAAACCATTTAACTATTGAAAATGTTCGACATGAAAAGACAAACAGAGAAATCGTTTACTTACCTAATTAAGGTTTTATCGAAAAGAGAAATCAATTAATTAGTTGATTACAATTAAGTTAAAAATTTGAACCATCACCAGACATGCGATCACTTTTAGCTTTTTAATTGACAACAAAGAGAGAAAAAAAAACAGAGAAAAGTTCATAATTCTAACGACAGATGTCGCTCGAAATGGAAAAAAAATCAAAAATATAAACAACATTTTCTCCTCGTGTTGATTTGATTCACATTTTTTTTTGTTTCTCGTTTGGTTTTAATTAGTTTAATTGTTTCTCTCTTTACTGGATTAAATTTTTTTTTCTGTTATGAAGAATGTCTATCTCATCGGAAAATGATATTGATCTTGTCAAGAAACTTGCATCTCTTGATGTAAATGTTGATCAGAAACGAATTCAATCAAAAGCTTATCACCAACTATCTAAGGAACAATATGAGGTAAGATTAGTTTTTGGAATTTTATTTGTTTTAATTGTGTGGTTGATATTTATTTTTTTTTCTGTGTTTTTTGATTTATTTGATTGTTTAGGTTATGCAAAAAATTTCTAAGGCTCATATTGACTCTTTTGATTATATGATTGATCATGGATTGATTGATGGGCTAAAGGTAAGTACTTTTGGTTAATTATTTTGGAATTAGTATTTTAATTTGTCTTTTTTGTTGATTGTTTCAATTTTCGTTTCTTATTTTGATTTAGTATCTACGTCCAGCAGAGGTGGAATTTCCCGGTGGTCAAATTCTCGTCATTAAAATAACCGTAAGTAGTGAATTTGAACCGAAAAGCTGAACCAATAGACATAAAATTCTGGTTTTTCTGTAGACTTGATTCAAAGTAAATTTCGTTCCAAATTCATGTTTGTTTTCAATTAATTCTCCGATTTTTTCTTTCTTTTTTTTCAGAGATTCGAAGTAGGAAAACCTATGATCCACAAAGATGCTGTTGCCAGGACGAAGCAGCTTTTCCCTGCAGAGGTAGACTTTAATTTCTAGTTCCAATTTCGACAGAATTTTAAATGAACAGTCATCATTGATTTTCTATTCTTTTCTCCGCCATATTCAGTGTCGAATGAGAGGAATCAGTTACAAGGCTCCATTACAAGTGTCATTTTCTCTAACACTAAACGGAAGACTAATCGATGAGGTTACCGATATAGTCGGTGAAATTCCAATGATGTTAAAAGTATTTTTCTTTTCATATTCTCCTATTACTTTGATCATAAAATTCTCTTTAGAATTGATAAGATTTTCTCATAATTTCCTTGATATTTATTCTTTCAGTCGAAAAGATGTAATCTCTATGGATTATCTCCAAAACAAATGGTTTCCCGTTTCGAGGATTCTGAAGAACTGGGTGGTTACTTTGTAATCAATGGAAATGAAAAATTACTCCGTTTTCTAATAGCAACTCGACGTAATTATGTAAGAAGAAAACTTGAAGAAAACAAATAATCATAACTAATCACTAATCGTTCCCTTGATTATCTCTTTCAGCCATTGGCAATTAAACGATCAACATGGAAAGACAGTGGTCAACTTTTCACCGAATATGGTATTCTAGTTAGATGTGTTCGATCAGATGAGATGGCAACAGTTAGTAAATCAACAGTTTACCCTTTCCAACAAATGGAATCAACAATTTAACTAATTTTCACTATTAACCGATTATTATTATTCTCAATTTAGAATATGGTTCTTCATTATCTCAATAATGGTACAGCTCGATTGCGACTAATTTACATGAGGCAAATTGTCTTCCTACCAATTGTCATGATATTAAAAGCTTTATGTGATTCCACTGACCAATACATTTACAAGGAATTGATTAAGGGAAGGACAGATGATACTTATTATCAAAGTTGTATCGTTAACATGTTACGACTTGTCCAAAATGAGGGTCTAATTACTCAGCAGCACGTTAAACAATATATCGGTGAAAGATTTCGTATTAAAGTTAATCTACCTCATTGGTATTCAGATGAACAGGTTACCGATTTTGTTTTAAAGTGAGTAAATTATCATCATTGAAATTCATTGGTGTTGATTGTTAATTTGTTTTCATTTTTCTCCTTTTCTACAGAAATTGTGTTGCTACTCATTTAGAAAACGATATGGATAAATTTAATCTTCTAATTTATATGACACGTAAATTGTACAAATTTGTTAAAGGAGGTTGTGCCCCAGAGAATCCCGATAATCCAATGTTTCATGAACTTCATCTTAGTGGTCATATTTATTTCACTTGTCTTCTGGAGAGGATGGACAATTTTCTTGAAATGACCGGTAGAATAATTAAGAAAAATATCGATTCAGCAGCTCAATCGGGTAAAGAATATAAACCAACTAGTACCACAATTCGTCGGGTTTTAGCCTCAACTTATTCTTCAATGACCCGACCATTAGATTACATGTTAAGTACTGGTAATTTAATCTCTCGAACTGGAACTGGATTAATGCAAACAGCGGGTCTTTCAATTGTCGGTGAAAAGATTAACTTTTGGCGTTTTCTGGCTCATTTTCGTTGTGTCCACAGAGGATCAGCTTTCACTGAACGACGAACCACCGAAGCTCGTAAACTTTATCCAGAAGCCTGGGGATTTATGTGTCCAGTTCATACTCCCGATGGTACACCTTGTGGTCTATTAAATCACTTAGCCGATGCTTGTTTCATATCTAACTTTCAACCGCCTGTTGATAAACTATTATCGACCCTTGTTAAACTTGGTATGCGTTTAAAAGATTGTCCATTTAACATTGACCATTCAGATTACTATTCCGTTCTGTTTGATGGTAAAGAAATTGGTTATGTTGATTATGGTGAAGCAGGAAAACTTGTTGAGACAATAAGAGTTATGAAAACTAATCCCGAATCTGGTATCCCATCGGTTACGGAAATTGGTTTCGTACCAAAAACCGATGCACCGACTCAATATCCAGGAATATACATTTTCACAACACCAACACGAATGTTACGACCTGTGATAAACCTGAAAGCTCAGAAAATTGAACTTATCGGGACTTTTGAACAATGTTACATGGATATTGCTCTTGTTGATGGTGAAATACACGAGAAAACGACTCACAAGGAGGTCAAACAAACCTCGTTCTTATCGATTTTAGCCTCATTCATACCCTATCCCGACTTTAACCAAAGTCCACGTAACATGTATGCCTGTCAAATGGGCAAACAAACAATGGGAACTGCAACTCATACATCAAAATATCGAAGCGATAACAAAATGTATTCCATACTTTATCCTCAATCTCCTCTAGTCCGTCCAAAGTCCCATGATATTTATCATATGGACGATTATCCAATAGGTACCAATGCAGTTGTGGCCGTTATTTCATACACCGGCTATGATATGGAAGATGCGTTAATATTGAATAAACACTCGGTAGAAAGAGGTTTCAAGTTTGGTATAATAACGAAAACTCAGAAAATTGATCTGCGTCAATTGGACAAAGAATCTTCAGAAGTACTGTACATATTTGGCCGTAATCCAGCCGATGATAGACATCGAGATAAAATCGACGACGATGGTTTACCAATTATTGGTGCTAAAGTTGAATACGATGATCCAATTTGTAGTTACATCGATATGTCCACCGGAGTGGTTAAATTTGAGAAATACCATTCAATGGAAACCGCTTTTATTACCGATGTTAAAATTTGTGGCAATTCTCAGGGTAAAGGTATTCTTCAAGAGATACACGTATCATTTTACATTCCCCGTCGACCGGTGGTCGGTGACAAGTTTGCCAATCGTCACGGACAAAAAGGAGTTTGTAGTTTCCTTTGGTCTTGTGAAAATATGCCCTTCACGGGCGATGGACTAGTGCCCGATGTTATTTTCAACCCTCACGGTTATCCCTCTCGTATGACCATCGGTATGATGTTGGAAAGTATGGCCGGTAAATCGGCCTCATGTCACGGTTTAATCCACGAAGCGACACCATTTATTTTCAGTGAAAATAATAAAGCATCTGAATATTATGCTGACATGTTGAACAAAGCGGGTTACAATCATTTCGGTACCGAAATGATGTACTCAGGAATCGATGGTCGTCCACTTCGAGCTGATATTTTTATCGGTGTCATCTATTATATTAGACTTCGTCACATGGTTGGCGATAAGTATCAAGTCCGTTCGACTGGACCTATTGACCCAATAACCCATCAACCTGTTAAAGGTCGTAAAAGGTGCGGTGGTATTAGATTCGGTGAGATGGAGCGAGATTCCTTACTTGCTCATGGAGCTTCATTCTTGATTCATGATCGTCTTTTCACCCAATCAGATAAGACAAAGGTAACCATTCAATTTTCCAATAATTGAGATTTTCCATTAAATCAACTAATTGTTTATCTTTCTTTTATAACCCAGTGTTATGGATGCTCGAAATGTGGCTCAATCATATCGACGACACCGATTACCAAGGATCTTTTTGATTCTAATCAGAACAATCTTTGTAATCAAGTTTGGTATTGTACTTCTTGTAATACAAATGCTCACGTTTGTTCATTAAGTCTCCCCTATTCCCTACGTTATCTTGTCGCTGAATTGGCCTCCGTTGGTATAAAACTACAATTTAATTTTGAATAATCAAAATTTTCTCAGCTCACAAAAATTTAATAATAATTCAAAAATTATGTGTAAATGATTGAAAAATATTTTTTTCGAGCCAAATAATTGTTAAAATTTGCAAACAAAACATTAATGTAATTGAATTAAATTCATTTACCACAGTAATAATTTGCTTAAATGTTCAATTAGGATGTTAAATTGCTTGGAATCAAGTGTTACAATTAATCTTGTAAATAATTTAGCTAACAGTATGATCTTACATATACATGTCTAAACAATCAAACTAATCAATCAAGTAGCAGTGTTGAAAACAAACCATAATCAAAGGAACCAAGAACCAACCAACGATTAACCCAAACAATTTAGATTAGTTTTTGATTAATAACACTGGTGTTTATACAATTAGACTGTAAACTTGAACCAATTATCATTAATAATCAGCTCTTGATGATGATTATTATTATTGATTAAAACAAAAAGCATGTTAGATGAACATAAAAATTAACTACCAACCTGGAAAATTAAGGAAAATAAATTAACCAACAGTTGAAGGTAATGATGGAAAACTGGTTAAGAAAAAAGTTCTAACTTTCGAGTTAGAACCTTTTGGGAAACCATTTAGACTCTTCTCCCGTCTCGAGTTTTTATCGTTATTATAAATGATTTCGAAGATGAAATGACGAGAGAGAGAGAGAGAGAGAGAGAGAGAGAGAGAGAGAGAGAGAGAGAGAGAGAGAGAGAGAGAGAGAGAGAGAGAGAGAGAGAGAGAGAGAGAGAGAGAGAGATGATAATGATGATGAACTTGAGATCAGTAAAAAATTGAAGAAACCATGAACCAAGACTATGATGAAGATGGTTAATGAATCGACTTGATCTGAGTCAATGGAATACAATGAAGATGAAGATGATAGAAATGATGATAGAGATGATGATAGAGATGATGATAGAGATGATGATAGAGAGAAAGTTCTGATGAAAAAAAGTTCTAACCACGCAAGTGTAAGTTCTGAAATAATCTGAACTCGGGTTAGTTTATCACTTGGAGTGAAACAGTTTGCCATTGAGAAGATAACAGTTAACATTATCATTATTTAAGCGAAAATCAAATCAACTTGTATGTTAATTGATTCCTCAGTTAATCACCGCAATCACAACACATATCTAATTGATCAGAACAATTTGCTTGGAACAACTTTAATCGACAAAATCGATAAAAAAAGTTTTCTTTCAACAAATTCAATTGATTATTATTCCGATAAACATAATATCAAACTGTGAATTTTGATTATTTTTAATTCCTGAGTCTGAATTAAATTGTTCAACTGATTAACATTACAAGTGCATCATCATCAACATCAACAGTACAACGTCATTACCATAATCAAGTTGATTGTTTGGTGATTTAAATTGTTTGATTTCAAGTAAATGAAAAACTAATCCAATTTCAAGTTAACCAAACGGAAATGATTCCAACCTAATTTTTGATACAAGTTAATTTCCTGTGTATGTTTGTTTTTAATTGTTCACAATCAAAACCTAATCAACAATACAATCAAGTGGATTAACTACAAGTGTAACCAAGCAAAACAATCAAACAGCAAATACTAATTAACACATAACCAAATTAACGATAATCTTCAATCAGATTTATTGGAATAAGAAAAAAAACCGAAAATACCAAAAAAAAAAGATGACCAACAATTTAATCAATTATCTCAATGATAATGACAATTTAATTTGATCATAATCATGTTTAAATCAGCGACCAACATAACATGATAGTCACCTAATAGTTAGTAATTAGCTAATCATCAGTTTAGAATTGAAACTTTGAAAGGATTAGAATCCGAAAGCCTGTTGATATTTAAATCCATTTAAATCTAAATCGTTTTGATAACAATCATTAAATTGTTTTCGTTGCCACCACAATTTACCATCACCTCCACCTCCATCCACCCACTTTCCTCCTTCCTCTGAATAGGAACTAGAATTTAATTCATATAATCACATGAGTTACTCTCAATTTCATTTGTTTATCTTTTTCTAATATCGATTTTTTTTTCTTTTCGAACTTTTTTTTTCTTCTTTTCTTACCTGAAAGAAACAGTTACTTCTCGATTCTGTAACTGAACTTTATTTTCTTCTTGTTCTTCTTAAGTATATTTATATTATTACTTTTACATCTTCATGATATTTTCATGATCTATGCTATTACCATGAAAAAACACTGAGACAGAATTGATGAGATCAGAACTTTTTTTTTATTAGAAAAACAAAAATTTGAAATAAAAAATTTTCAATCAGAACTTTTTTTTCACAATAAATATCAATACATTGAGAAACTTATTGACTTTTAATGAGAAGACAGTTACATAAGTAATCAAATTATGTTCACAATTAAGGGAATACTTTATTTACCAGAACAATTAAATATTCACAATCAATCATTACTGTTGACAATCAATTGCTTTCATAGAGTTAATTGCAGCCAACAATTAATTTTACTCCAATCAATGTTAATCAATCAAGTCTCCCAATCCCAATCAATTAATCAAATCAAATTGTTATTATTTACATTAATTGTTAATAAAGGATTGAACGAGAATCATCAATTTATACCATTTGATTGTAACAATTAACGAGAGTAGTAAAAATAATTTCAACTCCCAACAATTAGTTCAATTGAAATGGAAAAGTTTGTTTTATTTTCTGTGTGTTGATGTTAGTGTTTTAATCAGTGTTTGTCTGTGTAATTATAATCATTTAGCAATTAACTAATTGTCACCATGCCATCAGATAATATTATCATTGATTCAACTGATTTACGATACAAAAATTCAACCAACAATCAAATTTACTCACCACAATCAACAACTGACAAATACTCAGATGGAGACAATGAATTATTATTTTCCAATCAATTGATCGAGTCAAACTTTTCCAATCAACTATTAAATTCATTATCAAATGTTGATCATCATTTATCATCATCTTTACCTCATCATCACCATCGGCAACATTATCAACCACCATCAACAATATCTACATACACACCAACTGAAACTGAGGGTGGGTATTCAATTGAAGAGAGTGGGATAATCAGTCCAAATCAGTTCATCATATCAACATCATCTTCATCTCATCTTCATCAACAATCAAATCACAATTTAAACAAATTATCATCATCATCAACACCAACACCAACCTCAACTCCAATCCCACCAATATCGGGAACAATATACCGACCCAATATCACCGGTCGATCAGCAACAATTAACACCAATGGAAACATAATTTACAACAACAAAAGTCACAATTCAACAAGTCAATCAACAGTAATCCGAATTAATGGAAATTGTTCAAATCATTATTCATCATATTCATCATCATCTAATCATCCTGTTAATCATCAACCTAATCAACAACAACAACAACACCAACATCTTAAACATGTTAATCATTATCAATCAAATGCCAATAATCACTCTCGTCCCCATCACAATCAACGTCAATCAACATCATCATCATTATCAGGAATGATGATTACAAATAAGCAACTTTTATCACCATCAAATGGTGATAATAACAATGACGATGATGATGATGATTGTGATGATGGTGATGATGAGGATGATGATGATGTTACCCTTGATTATAAAGCTGGTTTTATAACATCAAATTCAAATGCAAATACCAACATGATACTCAATGGTAATCATCATCATCTTCATAATGGTAACAATAATAACACCATCATGATGAAATCATCTCAATCAATGGGAACAACTGGATCAATTCATTATCCATTGTATTCAGAATTTGTTCAAATAGATTCAAATAACAATAATAATGCTAATAATCATCATCATCAACAACAACAAAATCATCTTCATCTTCATCCTCATCATCAAAACGATAATACTAATTCAGTTTACAAAAGGCTTTTCCATTGGGATGTTAAATATAATGTCGCTCTTTGTTTGATAATCATTTTCATCATTCTCGGTATAACTGTTATCGTTTTACTATTACAATCATTATCAATTGGACATCAGAATGGTGAGTAAATTTATGATAATCATCATGTTCATCTTCATGCATTTACCTTCATGAGGAGATAACAATCAACTTGGAATTGTAGAGAAAAAAAAATTGGAACTTTTTTTTTTACTCTTCAACTTTTTCTTTGTATTATTTATCTTTGTTGATAGAAAGGTAAACAATTTAATTGATTGTGATGATGATTAGGCAATAGAATAATTAATTTAATGTTGATTAATTAAATGGGAAAGTTTTTTTCTTCTTCCTCTTGTAATTCAAATTGTTGGGAGTTTATTTTAAGCTTCATTTCTCAGCCTAATGAATTGGAACTCTTTTTTTATTGTTATTATTTAGTATATGTATTAACCATTGTAACATTTTACTCAAAGTTTACTTATAATATGATAGTTAATTTAATTCAATACTGTTCGTTTTGTGGTGATTATCATGATAAATTCATGATCATCATTCATTGGAACGGATAAAAATAATACTTACCTTGTATTCATTATTATTTACTCATTGCATTTACGATTCATTTTCATTCCCTCAAGGTTTTTCCCTTTTCATTTGCTTTCCATCAACTGATCAATAGTTAATTGCCCGATTCTAATTAGTTTAAGTTCATTGGTCACTTATTAAATTGTCTGACTTTTAATTAATACAAATAAAAAGTTTACCCAATCAACAAGTTTATTATCAAAGTGATTAGAACTATTTTTTTTCTCAGTATAATGTAATAGTTAATACTTTGCAAAAGAAAAATAATAACAAAATTATTGAATTAATTTTCGAAAGGTTCACAATAATTAACATTGATCTCTAATTAGTATTATCAAGAGTCAATTTAATCCGATTTCAATGTGATCAGAATTATCTATCGAGATACTTTGCAGGGGAAAATAAATATCATCATGATACATTTAGAGGTTTGTATTAGTAAAAGCTCAGTTTTGTTCAATTCCCAGAACTGATAACTGATCTTCTCTTATTATTATCATCATTTTCTTCCCCATGAACATTTGATTCTTGGAAAAATTTATCCAACCCTCAGAACTTTTTGAGTTTCATCTTCTGTATTTTCCTCTGTAATCATCATTCTACCTTGATATTTAATTCCTATTATC